CACAACCTACAAGAGGAAAAAATTGTCTCGATCATTTTATTATAAAACTTAACTGTGTATATAAAAAGGCTAACATTGCGATTGTTGATACAACTATAACTGATCACTATATGATTTGCTTAAAAATATCTGACCTATTTTATAATAATAAATGTATTAAAACAAAAAAATCTCTGAATATAGAAAATGCATTGACTGATCTAAAAAGTAGTGATGTATTAGATTTGATAAAAATAAATAATCCGAACACATTGATAAATAGCTTAATTAATAAAATTCAACAATGTCTTATTAATAACACTAACATAATTACAATTCCTGTACAAAATAGAATCCTTAAACCCTGGATGACAGTAGGATTAGTGCGTTGTATTAGGAATCGTAATAACATGCAAAAAAAACTAAATTTGGATCCACATAATGAAATATTAAAAATAACATACAAACGATACCGTAATCATTGTAATAATCTGATTAAAAATCAAAAACGAAAATATGAGCGAGAAAAACTAAGTAAAGTACAAAATGACCCAAAAAAATTGTGGAACACTATAAACTACATTACTCAAAGGAATCCTAAGAAACAACAAAATTTGGATTTACTGGAGATAGCCTCAACACCTTTGGAATCTGCAAACGAGGTAAACAAATATTTTTCCAATATTGGCAAGGTACTGGCAGATAAAATTAAGGTTGACTCCTTCGCTACTCAGGATCCTAATATTTATGAACCTAAAAATCCTCCTGTTTTTTCATTTGTGCTATATGATACAGACCCTGCTGAGGTGCTTTCAGTGCTGATGAGTTTAAGGTCGGACAGTGCACCTGGAATTGATGAAATACCAACTAGTTTTTTAAAAATAGCACATGATGTGACTGTACCTCTATTATGCCATCTAGCGAATTTGTGTTTTGAACAGGGAATCTTCCCTAATTGAAGCAGGCTCTTATAACGCCTGTGTACAAAGGAGGAGATGGTAACAAACCCGAAAATTACAGGCCAATTTCAGTCCTAACACCTATTTCAAAAACTTTAGAAAAATTAATTAATAACCGGTTAACAAATTATGTAACTAAATACAATATATTATCATCGCAGCAATTCGGTTTTAGACAGGGGCTTTCTACTGAGGACGCAGTTTCGACGCTTGTTGCTAAAATTACAGAGGAGGTTGATAAGGGAAATAAGTGTTTAACTGTTTTCCTTGATATCAAAAAAGCCTTTGACACTGTTTCCGTTTACAAACTTCTGTACAGACTTGAGGGTATATATAAGAGGAATACCTCTTAAACTTTTTAAAGACTACCTATGTGAACGGAAACAAAGGGTTAAGATAGGCGAATTTATCAGTACAGAAGAAACAGTTACGTACGGGATCCCGCAAGGAAGCGTCCTCGGCCCTACACTGTTTCTTATATATATTAATACTTTATGTAACATGGCATTAGAAGAGGGATTAGTTATTTCATTTGCTGATGACACAGCTGTTATTTTCACAGGAGAGACTTGGGAACAAGTAAAGTTACATACTGAGAGCGGACTGGCTAAAATAGCGGATTGGCTGCAATATAATCTACTGACTTTAAATGCCATTAAATCTAACTACATCTGTTTTACTAACTATGATCGTACACAACCACAAAATAGATTTAATATAAAGATCCACAAATGCCGAAACTATCAAAATTTAAATTGTTCTTGCGCTACAATTAATAAGGTACATAACACCAAATACCTGGGAGTAATTATCGACCAGCGTTTATCTTGGCACCAACACTCTGAAATAATTATGAATAGAATTCGAAAGCTTATTTGGGTATTTAAAATGCTACGTCATATTACTACAAAAACCTTATTGCAGCGAATTTATGTCTCCTTGGCTCAATCTATCCTTGTTTACTGCTTAGCAATTTGGGGAGGGGCAACAAAAATAAAATTTCTAGAACTAGAAAGGGCACAGAGATCGCTGTTAAAGGTGATGTACTTTAAACCATTTCGGTTCCCTACTGAAAGCCTTTACTTAATAACCGATCTTCTGACAGTAAGAAAATTATATGTACTTCAACTTACATTAAAAAAACATAAATCGCTAACATATAATCCTGAAAAGAATAAAAATAGAAGAAAACACAAAGTAGCTGATACAATCACAGTTAAAACTACATATGCAAAAAGACAATACACCAGTCAATCATCAAAAATATATAACAATTTAAATAAAGAACTCGATATATATTCACTCAATTATCATAAATGTAAAAAGACTCTATTTACTTGGCTTAAAGCCAAAAGTTACGATGAAATAGAAAATATAGTCTGGAATTAAAAAATAACCATATAAATAATAAATAAAAAGTACAAAAGTAAAAAAAAAAAAATAATAAAGAACACAAACTATATTATTATATATATCTATACCATACACACAAATTCACACATACACACACACACGACGCACGCACGCACGCACACACGCACGCACGCACACACACGCACGCACACACACGCTCGCACACACACATACACACAAGAACAAGCACATACACGACCGCATTTATTATCATAAATAGACATTTTTTCTTTTTTTATGATATGTAATTTTTTTAGTATTATTGTATAAAAGTAAAACAAAGTAAAATTTTTAATGCTGATTAAGAAAAAAAGAAAAGTAAATTGTAATGATCATGAAATTTAATTATTGTTGTGAAGGAGCGGTTTCTCCTAACACAAGCAATTTTTGCTTAACAGGAGATACCAAACCCTGTAATGTAACTAACTACCTTTGTATAAAGAAATAAATTTATTATTATTATTATTATTATTATTAATTAAAACAATTTAATAAAATAAATCGGTCGCAATAACTAGAGCAGACCAGTCCCTACAGGCAGCACCATTCACGAGTACGACGGATGACCCAGCCATCATTGCACTCAACCATATTTTAGGGTACTTAATAACCTGGCCCACTACGCCACTACCTGTCTGGGTATTTTAGTGAGCATGATGATAGAAAGTGATAATGGTCGCTTGTCAAGAGATGTACAGAATTATGAATATCACACAATACACTGTGAATCCCATGTTTACTCTTTATGTCTTGAGGATCATTTATAATATTTCTCAGGAATGGCAGGTAAATTATTATATCATAATATTTTTTTATTTATTTTTAAATAATCAACTTGTAAAACGGTATGATGTAGTTGTTTATCAAATATAATTATATAATGTAGCTGCATTGGCACTTCAGCTTACTAATACATAGATAGATAATTTTTACTATTTTCTCAAAAAATATATTAGTAAATTCAGTAAAAATACAAAAAAGAAATTTCAAGAAAAAGTCACACTGAGTAAATTATAGGCGACTTTATCGCTAAAACGATGTCTTTCAGCAGCTTTACTAATCTTTCGGGTTGTATCAGTTTCTTTAGTTATTCTGCAGAATCATAATAAAATGATTAATTTCTTGATTGTTTTTTAAATATTTTATATACATTACACGCACTTTCCTTTCACTTTTATTGTGTTTATACTCATAAATTTAGGCACGTGTAGTAACTGGGTGTGTAAGATGTTTGAGATACTTAACTATGTTCCATATCGTCATGCATATTTATATTGATGCTAAGTAATGTGTAAGTAGTAACAATTAAGTAATTAATGTTAAACGTATCATTACAAAAACCTTTTCTCAACTTATTTGTGTGATATAAAACAGATGTAACAGTAACCTGTAATTACCTAATGTATTACATTAACCTGTATATTATGCGGGATGAAATAACATTGTACTCTTTACAAATTATATTGACTATCTACCGTATGATACGAGTCGAAACCGGTCAGTATTATATAATGAAATAATTTTGGGCCCTTGTTTTTAGAACTTTATAAAGGAAGTCAATGTTCTTCAGCGCCCGATATTATTATTCATCCCAGAAGAATATTAAGTTTCTATTATTTTAGATATTTATATAGTTGAAACGGTGATGATGCTTTTACCTAGGTGAATTTAATAAGCAAATCAATTAATAGAAATAATAAGTATTTATAAATAGTTTATATGTATTTTAATTATAATATAGTAAATAATATATTTATCCTCGTACTTAAAAAAAACTATTTCAAAAAGGAGTAATTTCTCAATTCATAAAAATCTTATTTTTTTTTGGTTGACTGGCTGTTTTGGATCTTACATTGATTTTGACATCCAGTTGTTAAAAATAAAGTATTTCTTTTTATATTTAAAATTGAGTATTATAAAACCAATTAATGAGGATTAAGATTAGTTCATGGACAAGTTAATCGATGGTCTATTCGAAATACAGTTACGAAGACTAATTAGCAAGTTACCCAACTTCACACGTTGGGTGCGTACCTACCTGGTACTATTGATGCAATCTAATTGTTCACTTTCTTTAGAATAATTCGATTTCCCGCATCAACAGCGCGTAAAAGTATTTTTAGGAACATATGATTACACTTCATGATTTATTACGTCGTTGTGATGATTACATTGGACTTGATTAATAATGCTATACTTTTGAATATATAAATTTATATTTTTTGTGTATTCATCTTAGTACGTAGTTTACTATTTAAAAGTATTCTAACTTTAGTTCACTAAGGTTCATATGATTTTAAAGTTAAAATTAACGTAATTCAGTCAGTTGTTGATATATTAAATTTTATAATATTAAAAATATTTATAATGGAATACTTAAAGTGTATAAGTTATAAACAAATATAATAACTGCAATTGTACGTAACTGTATTTCGATGCTGGTTTGAAATATAGATTTTAAAAACAAGCTTTCTGTAAATAAATTCATACAATATAACATATAAAAAGAATGACTTCAAATTAGTGTAGTCTCAATTTATGGAAGACAACATGATCACCAAAAAATACTTTTTGGAGTTGTTTAAAAAGAGTATTAGTTTTTAAAATAAAAACTACAATATAAAGATTAAATTAAAAAGTTTAATTATAAATAGTATACGTTATGATTAATACAGTCTGTGTGCGTTTATAGTAGTTTAGTGGTGGGCATATTGCGCGGGCGCAGGTTGTAGGGGCGCGCGCTCCTGCACGGGGGCGGGTTGTGCGGCGTGCGCGCTTGGCGCCGAGTTATGCACCACCGCGCTAAAACTGTTGACAAGGATACAGGTTGTAATACAAACTATATATGCCTATATATATGAGTATACTATAAAGATAAACATAAGTGGAGGAACGTTCTTAGAGAAAATGTAATTCTGTGAACAAGACCTTCAATATTTGAGGAACATGATGTAAGAAGAAGGAAGAAGTATGTACGAAAATTCTGTTGCTATATCGTCGTTAACAGCAATCTCCATTACCAAATTCAATCCATTGAATTTAGTGAAATTTTGTAAATCTGCTTTTTCTGTTTGCTCCAATTTATTAGAGACAGGGTAATTTATTATGTCGATAAGTGAAAATGGATCCGTAAATGGTGGCAGATGGTAAAACGTTTGTTGTGTTAACTAGTAGAAATGTAGATTTCCACATTACATGTAAGATTGAGATATTTGTTATTTTAGCCATTACAGACAAAAAATAAATACTCAATAATTTGTGAAAGTAAAAGTAAAGAATAGTTAAAGTATAGTTTAAACGTATAGTTCAAATTATAGGTATATATAATTTGAAATTTAATTAAATTAAAATTAAATTAATTAATTAATTTTAATTAAATTTTATATTGACTTAGTATATTTGACGTCACCCAAGAAAAAAAAAACGTTTTTCGTGGATGACGTTTAACGAATGATCTTGCATTAAATATTATTTATTAATGCTAATGATTATCATAAATTCCAATTAAGTTTTATATAATTAAATATCGAGATGGTCTCTGTCCACGCCGTTGAATTCTTTTTCATACAATAATGAAAGAACAGTATTAATTAGAAATAAACAAAATTGCAGCACAAATGTAAATAATTTGTGTAATGATATTATCTATTTTATCGTCCGAAACAACACTTTGTTTTAAGATAAAAGCTTCGAACATTGCACTTCTTTACGTGAACACAAAAGCTATTAGTCTCGCTAGGTCCGATTCTTTAGCAATTTATACGTTGGTTGGCCTTCATCGACATTTGATATTATGTAAGCCAATGGATGAGCATCAAGTTCAGATGAATGGAGTCGAATGACTTCGTATAATGAATTGAATTAGGGTTCGCGATAGTGTTACTGCCACGTTATTAATTTTGCTACTATTTCCTTATTGTTTGTTATTTAATAAGTTTGTAATCGATTAAAGTGATTCACGAAGTTTAAATGCTCTTATTAGAATGTTCAATAAATGTAATAGCCAGTACACTGCAATTTAGTGTTAAACTACTGGAATTTAGATTTTTATATTTTTTATTTCAGAACAATGTGTAAGCTGACCTGGTGGAAATTGGTAACTGTCGCCTATAGATATGAACAGTATCATGGACGTCACATGACACACAGAAACGTTCCTGCGCTTCTATTTTTAAGGACAATAGTATTATCTCTCCATAATCTGTAATTTCAGTGCCATAACCTTCCTTTTTTGTCTTTAAATTGAAACAAAGCTTTATGTAAATACAGTTGCTTTACAGCGAAATATGAGTGGAACAAAGGTATCGAAGTTGATGACGTTTGTACAAAGTTTTCCTCTTATTAATAATAGTTCTTTTATTTTGATCATAATTCAGTTTTTATATTGAGAATTAATTTAGCTATTATCGTATTAATATAATCTATTCTGTTAATATTTTTCAAAATGAATATAGTATAATATGTAGAAAAAATACTGAATTAAACATTACACATATTACATACTCGTATTATACGACACGAGTATACATACTGTTTATACATATATAGTTTATATAAAAAATTATATTATCAATGTTTTGAATTATAATGTATTATATATATGGCTTACCCATTATGATCATCAGCAGTGTATTCTACTTTACGGATGGAGCCATCTGGCTGGAGAAGAGAGTATTCTCCCTTCACGATGTCGCCATCGCGACTCTCGTGTTGTGACTTGTGATCTCCAGTAATAGGATCTTCAACCGAGTACGAGAATTCGTACTTGGCAGGAGCCTGTTTTAATAAATAAATAAATAGATATTATATCACAGTGCCATCTTTACATGTACTAGATAAATTAAAAAAAAGACACATTAGGGCGCAGAATTCCTGCATTTATTTTTTCTGAATGAGAATTACCTGAATTAAAATGGTCTATTATTTTTTTTTTCAAAATAAATAGATCAATGTAAGATATAAACAAAATACTAAATTAAAACATTATATTAAATACTCAATTGTATAATAATTGAAATTATAATGGTTATGGTTCATAATATTTTTTCGTGTAAAACGATACTATATTGATTTTGAACGTGATCTTTGTAATGAATTCTTATCACGAGGTCTTTCCTGAAATAGTAAAGACCTTGACAAACACACAAATAAATAAATGGATATAATTTATTATTGAATACTATTTTTAATTTGATGAATTGGTCGTTCCACTTTATCAGTATAATTTAAAGCTAATATTTTGAATTCAGAATAAAGAAATAATGAATATTTATTACATTATTTCGCCATGATGCCATTGTAGAGAAGGAAAAAGAAATAAGGAACTTTCTGTATTGTCTATGATATGTTTATATATATATGTAGAAATTTTATGAATTTCCTAATTATGAAGTCTTACTATCCGGAATTATATTATAATACTACCATTATAACTAATGAAAATATTTTTTAACTTTTTTATTTATCTTTTATCGATTAAAAAGGTTACTGCAGGACATTTGCAATATAAAGGGTATACCAATTTAAGTTTAATCAAGTCAATAATCATTACATTAGGTTTTAGTTATAAAACTTTTGCTATATTTTCTTATAAATGTTAACTTTTAATTTTTATATATTTTTTTAATCATGGCATGCAGCCGTTTTGTTGGAGTGATCAAATTATCAATAATATGCTAAATGGGCCGTTATTTTGCTTAAACTTTAAAGTTCTACTTATATAAGTAAATAAATTAATGCCCGATTAAGAAAAGGAGAGGACAATTCAATAAAAGTGTTACAGAGTAGCCTCGTAAATTAACGGTCATTAGTAATGATTTATATAAATGATAAATAGATATTAATCCAAAGCGCAGCGTGATAGATTGCCCATAACATTATTACAAAACTTTCTATGGTCGTATAATGACAAGGAGCTTGCACAATAAACATTTAATTGGGTTGTATTAGCTGATCACATTTTTAATCATAATATTATAGTGTGTAGTTTGCCTTTCACTTTCTTTGTGTTTGTATTTGTAAAGTTTAAACCACACATTAACTAACCGGGTGCATAATATTTTTGAAATAGCTATATTTTATATAGTTATCCTAAAAAAATAAACTAAGACAATGATTACATATTATTTGTGATTTGATAGAAACATTTAGTATTCAGATGTGTATAGCTTGCATTTATTAATAAAATCTATAAATAAGTCAGTCTATATTTTTTAAATAATAAACTATTTTGAAATGTAAACCATTAGTTAGTATTTTATCAAATAAATATATAGCTTTTTGATAAGAGATTATCAAATATTGATACTCGTACTACAATGAGCGCATTGCTTACTCACGTAATGTAACTTAATACGAATATAAGAGTATATATTAGATTTTCTTTCGATATAACAAAAGATTTTATATTTTGAACCGACTTCACAAAAAAGAAAAATAATTCTTAATTCGGTTGAATATTATATGTTTGTTGCCTCATAATTCCGTCATTTATAAACTGATTTGAAAAAATATTTTTTATTTACATGAATATATTTCCATATTGGACCCACAGAAACTATCAAAATCGGTTCTTTAGTTTAGTTTTTAAATCAAAATAAATTGCCACGATCAAAGCTGGTGCTTATTTTGTACATAAAAATTGATTTCCCATTATTTAAGATTAGTTACAACAAATCTTAAATAATGGGAAATCAATCTATTATTATTCAGGTTTCAAGTTCATCAAGCATCTATAAATTTTTGCTTTTTTTTAATTCATACAAGCAAATCTAAGAGAGCCTGCTACAAATATCTGATGCCTACTACATAGTGTTTATAATGTTTATGAAAGAAACAAATAATCTTATTTTATTTTTGTGTTTTCATAATGAATGCATTTAGTACAGTTTTATCATTTGAAACTGAACATTAAACTTTAGCTTTAAGGGATTACTTTATTAATTTTAAATTAAATTATTGTATTTAAAATGTATTTAGAGAAAAGAAATTATTTTATTTAACAGCTACGTGATATTAACAATTTTTATTCCTTTTGAAATATTTGTGAATATTTGTGATTTGACTCTGTGGTCTTTTATTATAAATGGAGTTCCGACGACATTAATCCAGTACAAGTTATTTTTATGTGCTAAATTTTATTTAAATCTATTCAACTATAAAAGCATGATTGAATATATTAAACTTCTAAATATATATACACGTAGATTGCAAAATTAAACGAAGAAAAATTTGTTTACAACTTTTTAAATTCGTTTGTATTGGAATTTTCTGGTGTTCCATTATGTCTATTTCCCAACAATGAGAGACAGAACATGACACATATGAATGTATATATGTATATACTAGTTCGTGTTTATAGTAAATATATTATTTTTTTATACTTATCAATACAAGTTAAAGTAATATAAAAAAAATAACTTACATGCTCTTCAACACGTTCTGCATAGGCAGAAGCTGAGTTAACTTGTTGAATAACTGGAGATTGATGAACAGCAGATGCTACATGATGAACCACGGGTGCTTGCACTACTGGAGCAGCATGAACTACTGGGGCAGCATGAACCACTGGAGCGGCATGGACTACAGGAGTAGCATGAACTACAGGTGTAGCATGAACTAGTGGAGCGGTATGAACTAGCGGAGTATGAACCACTGGAGCGGCATGAACGAATGGAGCACTATGTTCAAGGAAAGATGAATGTTGGAGAATGGGGGTGGCATGCTGGATTTGTACTGGATGATGGATATATGAGGGTGCATGTTCAATGATAGGAGCCGAGTGTTCTAAGACTGGTGTGAAGTGTGAACGTTCGCTGGGTTGGTCATGACGGACGATACTCTGCGAGGAGATTGCGTGACTGTGACTGTCATCTATTACACCAGCTTGGCAAATCGCCACTACGACGCTGATGAGTATTACCTGAAAGAAAAATGAAAAAGATTTTTCAATTACAAGATGAGTTCGCATTTGATTTTACCTCACCTGATGGTAAGTGATGATAAAGTCTAGGATGAATGTGTTTACCCAGAAGATACTTATTTATCATCGACCGGAAGTGTCCCAAATTGTATTTAGTATGGAACTAAAATTTTTAATATAATCCTGAAATAATAAAGTACTGATGTGCGATGTAATTTAAATGTTTTAACAGTATAATTTTCGAAAAAAAAAAAATAGATTTACTGTATTGCTGTTACAAATATACGGATAAAAGCATTCAATATTATCGAAAAATCCCGCAACATTTAGAAAGTAATCAAATACAAATTTTCAGCTATCGTAATTTTTTCCATTAATGACTTTTTTAGTTGATGACTTTTGATCTTAGTATGACTGATATCAGAATTTAAGTATTGGAGATGTTATCTAAAATGTCTCATATAAATACGAATAAAGAAAACATTGTATCCTTACTTTGGAATACATGGTGATATACAGACTAGTGGACTACGTTTGGTAAAGGTCCCGGTAAGGTGGTAGTTTTTATACTTGGGATGACGATGTGCGCGTGCATGTCACACGATACCGTAGAACCGGACCCGACATATGACACCGCTGCACACGATCGCCTTTACACTGACGTAACGACTGCATTGATAATTTTACATTTTCGCCCAAGGTTATTAAAGCTCTCTTCAGAAGATTTACTTTCAACACCTTGTACGGTGCATTGATTTTAATCAATTTATTATTAATGCCACAAAAATCAAATGAGCCTACTGCAGGCGAGGGAGACATTGGGAACAATAATTTCAAAGTGTTTGCAGATATTTTCCGGTGAAAGTTAAATACCTATTTATTTATTTTAGATGGATACTCAAATGGATTTTTTTATATTACTATGGTGACAAATAAGTATATAAGTATATAGGATAAGATGTATCGTTAACGTTGTGGAAGACTAATAATTAAAAATTTAGATAAAATTTGTAGATTTGGGAAAAAATGGCTATCTTTGTCCCAAAATAAATAAATAAAAAATACCTTTATTATTTTTTATTATTTTATTTTCAGAAAACACACATAAAGTGAAAAGATTAAATTTAAAAAGATGGATTAATATAAATAGAAAAACCATTTATGTTTTATTATTTAATAATTAATATTATGCATGAATAAATTGCGTCAACGGATTTCCGTTAAATCTAGTCTCATGCTAAGTGTGGTAATGCAAAACTAAATCTAGAATTGTACATATTACTAGAAATAAGTATCATTGCATATGCATCCGTAGTCCAATGTCCTAAAATGAATTTGAAATAAGATTCTAATATCAGATCCCTGTGTTACATTGTGTTCCAATAAATCAGCTATTTTTCAAAGTTAAATAAGGTAATTAAAGAAAAACATACTGTAAAAGTGTGCGTTACATTGTGTAAATAACAGAATAGATAACCTTCTTATATATATCTAGACTGGGAATGATTACAGTGAGGCTAATTTGATTTTAGTAGTACAATAAAATAAAGATTGTATTACTCCAGTTATGATATTTTAATGTGCCACACACATTAAATAATACTTTGTGAGATGCAACCGCACATACTTGTATTATATCATCATGAATTTCGTTTAATTTCTTTTATGAAACTAAAGATAATATATTTTCATTATTTATGTAAATATACATATTTATTTGTATATATTTATTTAAACGCATTAATATATTATGTTTGTATAAAATATTGATTTAAATGAGACTACAGTAGCAGACATATTTTTAAGATGTAACTGTAGATGTATTGGTATTGACGTGTGAAAGAAGGGCCTATTATGTAAGAAGATTTAGAAAACTACTCCTATTATTTTAATACGGATAATTACCAAAATAATAGATTATAATTAAAAATGACAGACTTTAAATTAATATAATATTTCTAAACATAAAAAAAAATATATAAATCGAGAAAAATAAAAAATAAAACAGTCTCATCGTACAAGTAAGGAAATGGTAATACTATCATTTCTAGTAAATAAAATTCGTTGTAAATAATACGTTTACATTTGATACCAATTATTTGGTGTGAACGTATTTAATTAATTTATATTTAGGTAAATAACAATAATAAATTGTAAGAACAGGTAAACAAGAATCTGGTGTGGACGAGTCTGTAGCGACGGGACGGCAAGAAAGTAGCGCTCTGGGTTGCTCCAGTAAACTATTGCGCAATAGCAGGCTGAGGATATACTGAGACCGTTTTCATTGTTTATACTTCAAAATCAACAAATATTATCATAACTTTTTGTTTGTGTTATTAGTTTGTGTTTAAAAGATCATGTCAAGCATGACAAGAGTTATAAAATATAATAAATTAAAAATAGTTATATTTTTAACTTACTTGATTAAACAAAATTTAACGCTTTATGTTCTCTGAGCCGTGTAGGCTGTCTATAATTGTTAAAAATATTTGCGTCTTTTTTGTGTAAAGTAGGAGAGACAGAAGTGGAGGTGGAATATTTGAAAAATATGTTATGGGATTATTTTATGATTAATTAGAAAAAAATCCATGTAATTTGTATTGATTGATTGAAATAATTTGGTTGTTGATGAAATTTGAAATTAGTATTTATAAGTGAGAGCACTATATAAACATAATAGTAGTAAAATTTGTTTAGACATCCATGATAATCAAATCTGAAAAATGTTTTACATGTTTTTGGTTCACGCAACTATATATAAATAATTATAAAAAAACTGTGACATTTGATTGGTTGAGATAACTTCGATAAAACAATAAAATGTGTTAAAAACTTAATGTATATATCTTATTAAGTGTGTTGACATGTAACAATTATTTAAATTAACAAGATATGAAAGTTCTCGGTGTATCCGCAACATAAACTGCGTCAGCGCAGCTGGTAACAGCTTCGCATAATTCCGTCGATCGGCAGACAACATGAACGCGATTGTAGCGGCACGATAACTCTCGCGCGGCTTTCTGTGAAGGTCGCTCATTATTGCTTAATCTGCCAATTATAATGAAACCTTCCAACGACAACAATTTTTTACCATCTTCTTTTAAGTGAAGTTGTAAATTTTCGGCACGTCATGGTTAATATATTAAAAGATGCATATATAGGTTGAATGTTAATTATTTATAATGACGCAAAAAGTTAATTAAAAGTGATTTATAAAACAACTGCTTGAATGTAATGAGGATTTATTTGTTTTATTTATTAATATTGACTGCTGTGTTGGAAACTTTGTTCAGTTTAATCATGAAATAATTTGATAACTTAGGATAAGAATATATAGGATACGTGTGTATGTTATAACATTATATATGTACAGAATGCACGAAATAAAGGAGTTTTTGTATTTTTTCTTGTAAATTTCATTGGTTTTCATTTTGTATCTTTATGCTATGTTCACGCATTCTGGGCATTTTATTAAACTCGGAATTTCGTGTCAACTTATTTAAACATTGTTTTGTGATATTCTTTTTGTATAACGTATGACAAGAAAGTTATATATGATAAGTGAAAAAATATTTATTACTGTAGTGAAAAAATATTTGATGGTATTAATACGATGTCGTCTCATCTGCAGTTGTGGTTGATTGTACTTAACGACTATCCGAATTTTTACCCGAATTCATTAGCACATACCATTATTGGTGATGTATGGATGAAATTTCATCATGAACATGAATGGACATTTTAAGTCGTATATCATCACCATAAATAATGAATTTAACAATGAAAATGAAAAGGTAAATCTTTATTTTCTTTTTATGTTATATGGTCGTGTGGGAATATACATATATGATTTATCACTGTTAGTGATGAAACAATATATTTAGGCTACGGTAATCCCTTACCATCGGGTGGGCCGTATGCTTGTTTGCCACCTCAGTGTATAAAAAAAATTGATAATAATAATATTCAGTGTTTTATATTGACTTTTATATCATACATAGATACAAATTAAGATCGACATTTCTTAGTTTGTCTTTATAAATATTCCTGGCCAGGTTCTTTTTCTAGAGCTTACAATATGATTTTTAAAAATAAAAAAAAAATGCTCTGTCTGTGGTATAGGGTCCTTCAAAAAGGATGTACTAAGGTTTCTTCATGGCCAGCAACGCGCACATAACACCTCTGGTGTTACAGGCGTCCATTGGTTACTGTTACCGTTAATTATCAGACGGGCTGGAATGCTTGTTTGCCACCTTCGTGACACAAAAGAAAAAAAGCGATCATTTTTAATAATAATAAAGGTTTATTCGGGGTCGGCAATGTAAAGGAACACCTGTGTTCAGGTAATTTTTTACTAGCGTTGTAGTAATCAATTAGATGAGTTGTATCCTTATTTACCACCATTGTAGCATTGACGGTTCCCTTAGAGTCGTTAGTATTCATGACCTGCAATAATCACTTACCATCAGGTTATCCGTATGCTTGTTTGTAGGCTCTTCATATAAACAATTAAAGTTGAGTTTAAAATACTACACTTGTGCTACATTTAGTATAGGTTATGTGCTATCAAATTTATTTATTTATTTTCGAACCAATACGACAATATAACCTTCAAGAAAAGAGTATATTTCTTTTTATATATATATATATTGCCCCCTGTGTTGTAAAAAAAAATATCATATATATATTAAACATCATAAAAAAATATTACCATCTGTACCATAATGTCATAGTATGCCTATTCAGTAGGTAATCAATTCACGACATTGATAAAAGTGAGTTACATTGCAATAAAATTATCTTCAAATCTTTGTTTAATTGGTGACGTAACCAAAGCTTTTAATAATGACCTTTGATTTAGGCATAACGGATTTGTATCAATATCATTTTACGAACGTTTTATTATATAGGAGCACGCAATTGTTGCCAGTCACGTGAAGGCGCATTTAATATTTACACCAATGTCATTGTTTGGGTATAGTGATTGAGTCTATTAGGTACTTAGTACCAGCCACGTAATGTGTGGAAATGAAAATAAAATAAAGTCTAAATTGCTCAGCAATACTTAAAAATATTTTAAAATACATATCTCTGCATTCGGGAATCCTAAATAATAATCTTATAAGGTCGAGATGCAGGAAAGTTATTATTAATCTATTATTGAACATTCCCGAATGCAGGGTTACACATTTTATCAAAAGTGAAGCAGTTTAGTATAGATTAATGAAAGAAAAATACCTATTAATCTATATACTTATATTTAGTGAAAACATTTTATTGATTCAAAGAATTAAATTGGATTTTTGAGAATTGGGTTAGTAGGTCAAATAACTATTCTTTTATTTATAAGTATAAAATAATAAATAGACAAATTTCATACGATATACACAAAATAATAAACAGAGATATTTTTTCTACCTTTAACAAATGAACGTTCAGGATATGACCTATTTATAGATTGATTTAAAAAGCAAAAAGTTATTATTAGGTCCTAAAAAGATTTTATTGAAACGTACAAAAGGAAATTTACTTTTATGTAATAATTCGATATTAGTTGCACACAAACATGCCGACAATATCGGATCGGTATGCTTTAAAGCGGTCTAGTACAATGTACCTACTTGCAGACCGGCGACATTACGTTACGAAATTGCGACGGATTTCCTTAGGCTGAGTCGATATATGTAAATAAAATATGTATATTGAAAGTACATTTTATTTGAAAAAAAAAGTAATATCTTTATTAATAATGGATATTCATAAAGATATTCATTTTTAAATTAGCATCAAATACTGTCAATATTATATATTATTTAATTTATTTAGTCATTATTTAATTTATTCGCATAAATTTAATGAAGGTAAATACAGAAATTTATATACATATAAATATTATGAAAAATATTTACTCAAATTTAAATAAATTTTACACAGGTACAATACATACATAATTGATAACGATTTCGATATCGATGTCGTCTGTATAGTTAGTACAGTATTATACTATCTGTATTTGTCTAAAATTCTTCTCAAAACTTAAAATTCATATTGTTTAATAAGAGAAGCAGAAAATTATCGCACTGAAATAGATACGATAATATCTTCGGATAAACACGTCAAATGAGCATAGATATCTTTTATTTACGAGTATCAGCATATGATCTATTCAATGTTTAAAAATATATAATACAAAAAAATCTTTATATTTTATTTTTACATTCGGCGTACCTACTCATCAATTAATTATTATCGTGATGAATAATGATAAAGTTCGTCGCTTATTATGTACGCAGAAACCATCAATAAACGATCGTTTACGAAATGGATGGGCGACGTATTATGATCCGAAAAGGGCTTTTGTTTCGTAACGATTCAATCGTAATCATATAAAGTTGCAGCTGATTCTACTTTGTATTTATTGTCTCACAACCTTGTTTGCGTGTACTAGCTTAAATACATATAATATAACGTTATACTAGTAGCCCCTTTTATTGACAGTGACAACGAGTGTACTTGATAAAGTCACAAAAAACCGATTGCATAAAAAATTATTGACAGTTTATGGCCGCCATATTTTATTATTCTTTTCACTCCCACAATTAAGCTGACTTTAATGGCAACCGATTTAATAAAATCTGTCAAGTATTTTAGGGTGCATGTACTCGCTGTATTTATCGATTCTGCATTGTTATGGATTTTAATATACTTAAAATATAACAGCCAAACTAGATAATCTTTCTTTATTTGACAATCAAATATAAATATCTTAAATATTCTATTCTATTTTTCTTCTATGGCAAGAGGTCTATAAAGGTGTTAAATGTAATTTTCATATTTGAAATGTTGTCCTAGGTCAGAGTTCGACGTCGTAGTCAAGTGCCATTAAACTTTATGGAAAGCGTAATATAAACATACCAGCTAAAATGAAAATAATTATAATATTGTGTCCTACAAAAAAAAAAAAAAAACCGACTGCAATTGTGACAAAACCATTTTTTCATCTAGAAACTAAACTACTTAATCTATTTGTATAAAATTTCTATGGGATCAATTTGTAAGCATATCCTTTCAGACAAAATAATTTTCCAAATCGGTCTAGAACTAGACGGAGTTATGCGGTAACTAACTAAAGAAATATAACCGAATTGAGAACAACTTTCTTTTTAAAGTCGGTTGATAATATTATTTAAAAGATCTTTTACCACAGAATAAAACATGTTAAAATTGTTAAAATTTTGAATCTACCATGATAGCATAGTGTGTACAGTAGACACAATGGAAAGTTCTAAATTTGTTATCGTCTTACGACTTTTGTTTCTTTGAGAAAAATGTTTAAAGTCACTACTAGAAAGTGTCTTACTAATGATATAAAAACCGTTATAGAAGTGCCTTTAATGAATTCTAATAATTTCAATATCTACTGACTAATAAAATCTCTGATACATATGAAGCTTTACCAAATTAGGATACAGGCAAATCGAAAAATGATCTAATTCTCTCCTAACTTATATAACTATATTTTCATAATTTTTATTAAAATCCTTTCTCTAGATAATATAACTGATAAAGTAAAATAAATACAAAGACATATATAAATACACACATGTGATTATTGGCAGTAGTAAGATGAAATGATACAGTTATTTGCAGTTGCTGAATTGGCAAACTATGATGAAATATACAATGAGCAAATGTTACCGAGTAATGAATATAGGCTGGTGTTGAATAAGATTAATTAGGTGCTTAATATATTGTTAGAACATTAAGCAACATATAAAGAGCTGCTTTAAAATATAATAATACGATGATGAAATAATTCTATCCTTGAATAATTGTATGAACAATGTATTTAATTATTATGTGAAAAGTATAAATGGCTTATTTGGAGTACATACTTGCATGACAATTAAATGTATGTGCTCCAAATTAATTATAATAAACTAAGCGTACTTTTATATTAGCTATCTTAAATAGTAAGGCAGAATTTGTTAAACAAGGAACTACAACTGTTTATACAGTCACGTCGCAATATCAGAGCAATCTTGGTTACTAAATGTAGAATATTAAACATCTACCATTAGGATTTTGATGTCCTGTTCATGTACTTGATACTGTCTGTAACACTTTCTCTTGTTACAGTGAGAATGTTCCAGAAATTACTTGACTTGTTTGAGATTTTTTTCCCACGGTCAGTAGGTTTACAATCATGCAGCTAATTAGCACATGGAAGGGCTATAATACGACTTTTCGTTTCGTTCGTAAAGGCGACTTATTGTATTGCGTAATATTCAAAATGGCTTAGATAATTGCAAATAAAATAGCAAATATATAAGTATATAGGCACTTAATAAATATGTATATGTATATGGTAATATGCAGGTAAAGTTAAAAAAAAATCGCATGTTTTAATTATTTATTTTATTTACAAATACACATAATATGCCACACGTTTTCATTACAATCATGCATAAAATGTAATCACATAGTTTGTATAAAACTGTCGTGAATCATTCGTGATTACAATATTGATTGATGGTGTTTATTAAAAATAATAATCACTACATTAACATACAAATTTAGAAAATGAGAACATTGCACACTATAAAAACTAACGCATAATTCTAATATCACAGATTGCATACACGTGGATGTCTAATGATGGATAACGGGTGGTGTGTTGTGTACGATTGCGTTGAATCTGTCAACAAAATACAAGTATTAAAAACAATATTAAAAAAATATATATTGAAAAAAACTGACTTTAGACTTGACAAAATTAGTATCAGACCAACACTGATTTAAAATATCTAAATATTTTTAATTAAAAATCAAATATATCAATCAAAATAGATCCAGAATTGGAGAAAATATTGTCCGCTTTACTATAATGCACAAAAAAAAAAACATATAGTCGAATTTAGAAGCTCTTCCTTTTTCTATGACGATTGGAAAATGACGAACATTAAGCTATGTCGAAGTTAGATATTACGACTTGTCTATTTTACAATTCACCACGGATGTACTGCATATCTCATTCGTTTGCAGTGTTGCTTAATACTGAAACTGATGGCTTTCATTTGGTATGCTTGTTTTTGTCTAAGATGTCGTTAGTAGAAAATATTATTTGTTATTAAGAGTTTAAGAAGAACTATGAGAATATTTGAAAATAATTACAATTCGTTATAATATGCTGTTGTAAAGTATTAATGTATAATAATAATTTGTTTGTAAAATATATTATAGTCGTTAGAGGCATTTTATTTTATTACTCTTATTAAGTCTGTAGGTATACGAATACCAATATTAGACTGTCTTAAAATGTATATTTTCATAAATGTGACAAGAAAGAGAAAATTGTCACGGATACATGAAAGTCACCGTTTGCATTCTGATTTGCCGTTATGTTGAGTTTACCAGTGTGTGTTCTATGTATAATGTTTTTTTTTTATTATTTAGATTTTATTTTCTTACCCGTTGTGGTGATCAGCAGTGTAGGTAACCTTGCGGAAAGAGCCGTCAGGCTGGAGCAGGGAATATTCGCCTTTTACGACGTCACCGTCGCGAGTCTCATGCTGGGACTTGTGGTCTCCGGTGTGAGGGTCCTCCACGGAGTACGAGTATCCATATTTGGGATGAGCCTGAAATTTTATGTTTGAAGAAGTAAGTTAATAATATTAAAATTCTGTAACTAAGAAGTCTAGATTACTATTTATAGGGAAAATGGCTGTGAAATATATCAGTATTATAAGTATGTAGTTTAGCTAATATTTTTTTAGTATACCTAATTTTTTTTAGTAACACTATAATATAGTCAGTAACAGTTAATAAAACAATAGAACATATAAACGTAAAATTGATTTAACTATAAATAATTTGAAACAATATGAATTTATATACTTTTAAGTTATTGAAATTATAATAGTTAATTTCCAAAATAGATCCCATTCGCGTTGAATCGCGATGCCATAAATGTACTGCACTGTTACGTTATGGTGGTTCTTTTATACATTGTTTTTCTATTATACTTCAAATACGTACATATTCATCAACATAGTGATCCTCCTGATGAGCCTGAGCGAGATGGATGGGAGCAGCATGGATTGGTGCAGAGTGGAATTCAGCAGCATGAATGGCTGGTGCTGCGTGGATGATAGGGGCAGAGTGGACCTCAGCGTATTGGATGGGAGCCTCATGTTGGATTGGCTGGTCGTGGCGAACGATGTTCTGAGAAGACACAGCCGGTGCGTGCTGCAGGAGACCGGCGTGGCAAACAGCCACTAGGGCACAGGTTAGGACGATCTGAAAACAATATGTTTTTTAAATGATAATGATCCAGCTTAAACAAATTTCAGTTCTAAAACTCAAGTGCATGCAAATGCAATGATCATAATTATATGTATTATAAGGCTGCAAGCTCCATTGTGTCCGTAACATGGTTTAGTTTGCTACACGAGCAAAATTATCTCGGTTACGTAATTTTTTTAATGTTTTGGAATGCACTGCTTACTTTGGAGAACATTTTGCTTTAGAGACAAATGCCTTGACGACTGGTATAGCTGTGATAGTGCACTCTTTTTATATAACAAACAAAACATAAGCGGAGGTGTGGAGGGGGTCTATTCCCGACGATATCCGATCGGATCACAGTAATTGCCGCATTGCCAATCTGCTCACTTTATCGGGTGTCGCAACACTCAATATGGCTACAATGTGTAGATAAAATGGACATTAAGTGAGAGGCTGATATTGTTACAGTTTTTTGCAATTGTTTAATCCGAGAACTGAGGACGAGATGATAGCTGTAATCTTCATAACATTGATTGCCAGATGGGATAATTGGCAACATATAAAACTTCTGGTCAATACATCGCGAACGACACACGGGAACTTGCATTACGCGTTCATCTTTATCGTTTCAGACATTTATTGCTCTTCTATTGACCGTCATGCATTAATTCGCACAAATTAAGTATTATCGACTATAATATTATTAAAATATGAAAATGATATTAAATTTAATCATTAAGTGATTGAAAAATTTCGAAGTATTATCAATTTATATTAGGATAAGTAATTATTTTTGTGGAATACGATGAATTGTAAATTGTATTAATAGGTCTAGCAGTAAAAATGGAGAAAGTTTTGTTGTTTTTATTAAGTCTTAATTATATTATGGCCGTTCATTCGGTTTTCTCATGAACTTTACATTTACGTAATTTATGAACGGTCCTAATAACCTATATTCTGAAATAGAATTTATACTATCCCATACATTTTTACATGTAGACAATCAATGCAATTATAGAATAAAAAATTCTCTTTTAGAGGCTTGTGTCCATTTGCGTTATTTTCTGGAATAGTATTCATTGGACGGTCTTGCCAATCTAACACACTACCAACGATCCAATCGGGAGAACAAGGCTTAATATTTTGTAATTAGGATTATATCATTTGTGTGTAAATATAGTTGATTGTACATAATTTATTATACAGATATTTTTTTAAGGAAGTCGGTTAATGTTATCTAACTCGAGATATAGAATTATCCCAGTGAGTATAACTCAAATCACAGTGATATAGATTAGTAGGCCGGCCGTTGGTTATGAGAGCATTCGCAATTTATTGCACATTGCTAACAGTTATCTACAGAAGGGTCCAGTAGCGAAAGTGCTGTTCCTTGTCGCGTACTGGTTTTATTTTACCTATTAATTATATCTAGGTAGACCTAGTTATTCAAATATGTATATTACGGCCTTAGCGTGTCGGCTGCCATATTTAGAACGGTTACATGAATGCACGTCAAGGTATATTTTAGTTTGTTAACTGTAATTTTGTAAATTAATTGTAATGTTTAAAGAAGACTGATGTTGGGCAATGCATACGTTGCCATATATATTTATATATGGTATTTACATCTATACATATATTAATTTCACCAGAGGGAGACTTTGTACAAAAGTTGTCTGCTTGGCTACTTTTGTCTCATTCGTGTTTCTGCCGTAAAGCAGTTGTGTTCACATAGCTGTGTTTCTGTTTGAAGGGTTGGCTATGGCAATGAAATTATAGGGTGCAGAGGCATAATTCCTTAGTCTTGTGGAATGGTAACGCATGAAAGGTGTCATGGGTGACACAGCATGATCAGTTTTGTCCACGGTACTGTTCATGTCTATAGACAACGTTTACCACTTTCTATTAGGTGGCCGTCAGCTTGTTTGCCATCCTAAATTAAGTAAAAAAATATATAGTGAGAATTACTTTTCTTGGTTAATTCATGGAAAAAGCAGGCGACGTCAAACGATTTTCTTGACGATTTTGATATATCTGAGTAATGATTAAGTATAATCAATTGTGGGATAGACATAGAGGTATTTATCGACAGTTTTATGGTGGTGAACGTAATACTTAACATTCCGAAATTTGGCTGAGCATATTGGAATGTAACATATTAGTTTCCAAGCGTAGCAACTTGGTAACTACTGGCAAAACACCTTGGGAAGGCCTATGTTCAGCAGTGGATAGTCTATTACTGATGTCTTGATGACGACATTAGGATCTAACAGGATGTCTGGTGATGACACCAGAGACTTGTCAGATATTTAAATTGGAATATATAATTTTTAGTATTATTAAGATTCGATCTCACTTTTTCGGAGTCTATAAGTCACGTTAAATATTGGAACATAACACTCTCAGTTACATATTTTGTTAACAAGTATAGTTATTTATATATTTGCTTAATGCATTGTTTGTTTGAATAATAATATAGTCTATCTATGTATTTCAATTTAAGAGGTATCACGTGCGCGTTATCGACCCTGAAGAAACCTAATACTTACTTTTTGAATACTATAGTTGTTAGAGAAAACCTTAATAGGGAGCTCATTTCATAGTCTGAGCGTTCGTGGAAGGAAACTTCTGTGAAACCATATTAATCGTGCTCATGTTTTTGTCAGAAGCGTAAAATATCCAATGACTTCTCTGATAGAAGATACAATGTCATTCTATGATATTTTGATGTTAAAAAGAATTAGTGATATAGTATGGTCTCATTTCATTATTATACGCAGCACTGCTGATAGGTAATAATTATAAGAAACTAATAATCAAAACCATAATTTGATAATCATTTTATTTTATAAACGTGAAGGACTTTTATCAATGGCAAGAGGCAAAAGTGAGTTATATTGTCTTTGTTACATGCAATTAGACATTGACTTTACAATTTTACTGGCGTATCGAAAACTGTAATTGAGCTATCGTAGTTATTATATTAACTACAATATTTTTTTATTCGCAAATAAAATATATTCTTTACAAATTTATATCTTCATCAGCATTTAGGCTTTGGTGATGTTCTAAGAAGGATGCTGCTGCCCATCCCTCATTACTACCCCGCGGCTTTGGGTAAGTAATCTTTATATAAAGTATCCTGTATTTTAAATTAGGGTATAATATATGTGTGTACCAAATTTCATTTAAATCCGTTTAGTAATTTTTACGTGAAAAACTAACAAACATTTATTCAACCTCACAAATTTTTATATTTATAATAGTAGAGGGATATTAATAATAATAACTTTATTGCATAAACATAATTGTAACAAACTCAGCACTGAAATCAATGCAAGTACTTAAATTCATTAATTATTAGTAAGAATGTTATTTTGAATTATGTTATTTCTATAACATAAGAAAAGTTTAACAAATGCAGTGTTTAAACTCATATATTATACGTACAGATATGCAAAACAATTAGAAATTAATTAGAAATTAAATTTACGAGAATCTGAAGATATCTACATAGATATTTTAAATATCTGTTAAAAAAGTGGTAACTGCAATAAATTCTGAATACGTAATGTCAATGTTATTTTAAAATAATGTCAAGAATCTGTGTTGGTTAAAGAAAAGTAAACATGTGTGTAATTATTTTATGAAATAGTCATTATAAAATGTAAAGCATTGTAAAACGTACTAAGTATTATAAGTATGTCGTGTATACTTGTGCGTAAAATATATTTCATGCAACGATGGAGCGTCTTGCATAAACGGGCGTAAAGTAAAATCTGAATTGTTTAAAAGTGCTAAATATATTTAAAAACATTGTATTGTATACATTTTGAAAGAGGATTATTTTATACATGGAATGATAAAATAATACTTAATGACAAAATATCATTATCATTTCAACTGTTAATTGTCCATTGCTGAACATAGGTTTCCCACATATAATGCCATAAAGAACGGTCCTGAGCCATTTTGCATCTACTGACACAATGCAATGCATTTGAGGTCATCCATCTAGTATGTAGTATGTAGAATGACCCACACTACAGTACTCCGTTTGTGGTCCTTTTTTTCTAGGGAATACCGTTTCCCTAAATATTGAGAGTTAGTTACAGTTCGCTATCGGGATACCGGTGTAACGGTGAATTAACAGTTTATTTCTCCGTTTGGGCTTGTCACTCCATAAATTTTCTACTCATATGTATATATAGCTATAAATGCGATTATTATATAACAGATAGAAAATAGATTGGGGGAGAAGAAATTGTTAGTAATGGGGATTGAAAACCCCACTGCTAGAAATCTGAGGTCGACTTGCATGCGGTTCACCATGGAAACCGTTCTGGTTATTTTTTGATAATTTTGCTCACTAGTGTCTAGTAGTGTATACACTAAGGAGAAGATTTATTATCATCTATTTAAAAAAAAATATTAGGTCGACCTTCACGTGAACTTCCCTGGAAACTATCATGATTAAATCCCGTTGAATTCGTAGTGATGCGCTAGCTGAAAGTATTTTTTATAGAAGTCAGAATGATAAACAAGTTGACTGCGTACCTGATGGAAAGTGGTAAGCCTATACACAAAAACAGTATCATGGACAACAGAGTATAATATATATATACTCTGTGTGTGAGATGACAGTATTGTCATCTCACCTATTTATCACTCGCTTGTACCTCGCCATAGTATACTGATAGCGCAGCAGGTAAATATTTTACTGAATTAGGCGTTATTATGCGAACGTCTATATCAGACACTATATAATGGTCAACAATTGATGACTAAAAGCAAAGGCTGTAGAACTAATAATAATAATTAATGCTCAAAGATTGAAAGTCGCACACATACGAGTACCAACAACAGCGGGATTAAACAAAATAATTGTACTAACCTGCGTAGGCGGAGTTACCATTTCATTCTTATCCATAAAAAAACTATCTTCCCTATACCGAGCTGGTTGGTCGTCGCAGTAAGAGTAAGGGATTGTAAGTATTAAGGATATAACAGCTCTATTGCTAGCAACATACTTTATCAGGTCGGTTCCTCACGCGGTTTCCCTTTGAAACCATCGTGGTTGATTCTTATCTAATTCGTTACGATGGGCTAACTGACCTGTTTTTTCATTCTCATACTTATTATCTCTCATTGGAATCCCGTCAGCGTTTGCTGATAGCACAGGCGGGGTCGCCATTCCATGTTCACTCATTAAAAATAGATAATATGACAATATCTAGGAGTATAAGGAGAGATCCATACCGATCAGCGGAAATTGGTAGGATGCTAATAGGTTGTTCATATTTGTTGATGATGACGAGGATATCTATATAATATTTATTTATTTATTGAACTTTAATACACCGATAGTATAAAAAATTTACTTAACACCATATGGTGTTATCTATTTGTTAACTGTAGATAAGAATAACAGAAAGTATTTTTTACTAAATTAACAATAATAAATCTGCATACCCTTAAAATATGATATACGTTATAAATCTATTAGTGTCGCCATCTGTGTTTCTTATTTTTAAACACGTCAGTATGTGCTTTTTTTGTGAAAGGTAAATAAATATAATGTATCATGATATTTAGTTGTCAAAGTTTATATAAGCAGATATAGATGGTGTTAAATTTTGAAATGGAAACAAAAACACAATTTCTTTTTTTTTATAATTCTTTTACTTCGTAAATTCAGTCAAACAATTGTCTATAGTAATTGTCTTGCAAATCTCGCAAACGGCTTACTTTTCTAAAATATTATTACTAAATAACAGTATTTACATTACATGATTTACTTAAAAAACTGACTATTAAAAACCTACATAGTAAATTTTAGAGTGGTAATATGATGATGCTACTTCAGAGTCCGAAGATGATTGATCTCTGTCTTTTTTATTTTCATTAATTTCAACATTGTTATTTGGTGTATTATTAGATTCCTTCATTAGAGGCATCATTATAAGATTATCTGTGCCTATTTTTGCATTATTTTGCATAATCATTGATACCGCTGTTGGAATTATTTTAATTGGCACATTTTCTACTGGTTCCATTTTTATAATTGCCGGTTCAACTTCAGCTTGATTTGTTTCAGGTTTTACTGTTTTAGAAGATAAATCCTGTTCAGGAATTGGAGCTTCAGAACTAGGTGTAACATTTATTTCTTCAACTTTTTTAGGTTCTAATATTTCTTCTTTTACCGGTTTCGGTTCTGTTTCATGTTTTTGAACAACGTCTTGGTAATAATAGTCTTTCCCAGGAAAATAGTGGCTTATCTTAACACCATGTCCAAATTCTCTTGTATGACCAAAAATCGAATAAGCATGGTCACCATGTTTGTTGTAAGTTTTACTTACAACCGCATTGAAACTGTAAATCATATTGTTTATGTTAAATATATAAATAAATATATTTTAGACCGCAATCTGACGTGGTATAGCCTGGGACACTTATAACGTATTACCGTCATGTTGTCACATATTTATACTTTATAAATTCAAAGAGCAGGCGAAAAGGAAATGGCAATTTAAAGGAAATTTATTTTTCTTTAGTATGGGAGATACTTGTAGACAATTTATATAAAATCGTTATCAGGAAAGGTAAAGACCAAATATAACAACTAAAGATTTTGTTTAATAAATATAAATTATTATAGAACAAATATGAAAGTAGAAATGAACTCTTTCAATTAAAAATAGAAATATTAAAATCGCTTGAGAATTGTCGGTAAAGTTTTAATATATCCTATATATTATAAATGCGAATGTTTGTAACAATGCATGGACGAATGGATATTTGTTATTCTTACATGCAAAAATTATTGAATGGATTTGAATGAAACTTGGTATATTTGTAGAATATATTCGAACCTACAACATAAGATATTTCTAATACTGATTCACAATATAATTGTGAATATCCTCTTTTTGAAGTCTGTAAAAATACTTTATTTTATTTTATTAGTAGTTAAAAAAAATCTTATTGACATGATAGTCTGTAAAAATGTCCGAATATTCAATACTCTATCAAACTTAAATGCTCAATTTGAATGAAATTTGGTAAATACGTGTACGTCGTATTTAGATAAATAGTTATTAATTTATTTTATACGTACCCATTGTGATCATCAGCATCATATTGTACTTTGCGCAGAGAACCGTCAGGCTCGATCAGGCTGTATTCACCGCGCACTCGATCACCATCCCGTGTCTCATGATGGTGTTTATGATCACCAGTCTTTTTATCCGATACTGCATATTCGAAATCGTATTTTGGGTAAACCTGAAAATAGTGTTTAAAATTAAATTTTATCCCAAAAACATACTAACAACAGTAAGTATTTTTTATTATTTTATTATTATTCCAGCCGTTAAATGAGCATTGCTGAACATAAGCCTTCCCCATAAGGGGAGTTTTGCTAGTAGTTGCCACGCTTGGCAGGCCGGTTGGCAACCGCAATTAGGCTTTTAGAGATGTTTTAAGAGGGACGCTGTTGCCCATCTCTCGCCCTCCCTTAGTCGACTATTACGACTTCAAAATAACGTGAATTTGCTTATAAGTTAAATAATATTAGAATTATTATGTACAGTTATTTAAAAAAATAAACAAGCATTTTTTTATGATTATATCACAATACACCTAAAAACTTTTTCTCTCGTGCTCCGAACTTAGAAAATAACTTTTCGAATTCGTTAAAACTTAAAAAGAATTATTTAAAAGTGCAAAAAATTGTGAATATAAACTTATTTAAATAAAAATTACATTAATTTATTTATATACTTACATAATTATCGTATTTATGAATGTACTTTGAAGTTGGATGGTGATACACATTGATGTACTGCCATGTTTTCAAATTTTCTTGCCTGTCCTTATAACTTTGACTAGGATCTATCACAACTGCTTGACTGAAGCCCACGAAGCAAATGAATAATAAAAACTGTAAAAAATATAAACGGATTGTTACTAAATTGATAAAATTACATTAAGTATTATAATATTAATTTTGCAATATACATTAATATGAACTTTGTAAATAAAAAAAAAAAACATAAAAGTAGTAGCAAATTTATGAAATTATAATTTATTTTATATTATTGCACAAAATATATGGGAATATTTTTCTTTTATGACCTTTGAGTACATTCTGCGATGCTTGGGGTGAACCGTTACCAACTAAATGTACTAGTGGACTGTTAGTTAAATGTAACAATATAAACCATTTTATACTATTTCAATCGCTATTACATAAATTTCTTTAAATTTTGTACTATTGGAACATTTATATTAAAAGTAAAGAATAAAGTGGATGTTCTGGGTGCCTCATGAGATATTCTATGAAAATATTTTTTCTTATTTAAATACCAATACTGTTATTATTTATTATTATATTAGCCATTATCTGTCTACTGCTGTAAAAGGCCTTCCCCATAAGGGGAGTTTTGCTAGAGTTTTGCAACCGTAGTTAGAATTTAGTGGCGTTTTAAGAGAGACGCTGCTGCCCATTGCTCAGTTATTTAGTTTCGTTAGTCGCTTCTTACGATATCCACGAGAAAGAACGGATGGTCCATTCTATGTTAGGGTTACACGTCAAAAAAGAGGGTATTATTAACAATTTATTTTGTAAAAGTAAAAAAAGAAACTAACAGATCAACAGTTTGAAACTGCTTCCTTATATTATAAACTCATAAGGAATTCAAAGTAGAGATTCAGTTCTAAGAAGGGATTTCTCGAAATTCATGATATTTAACTTAAGTTTTCCGGCTAATCTTTTGGTTTACTGTAATATAATTGATTGAATTTGAATTTATTAATAAATGTATTGATTTGTACTTGTCGTATAGTTTTAAATAAGTGGCTAAATGTAGTATTAATAATACATAATATGTCATCACATTAGCCGTTAACTGCCCACTGCGAAACATAGGTTACACGCTATTGGAAGGAACACAGTCATGTATAGGGACAAAAATAATATAAGTATAATTTTTTTTGATTACGAATAAAAATCTAATTGTTTATATGTAAAAAAGTTAAATGATATATCCATATTTTCTAGCCCGGAAATTTATCGTATCATCGCATCATAATCTTAATCAAAGAAGGTATTGAGGTGGTATTGAGTTCGTTTTTCTGACAGAGTAACGTCGGCATTATTGGTACATATAAATTTGTTTTGTCTCCGTTATAACGAATATAATTATTTTATCTAAAAATATCAAATCATTTTTGTTGATTGGCATTAAATATAAGAGAGTACATACTATTTATTTGTAGGTACGTATCTGCACTGTTAGTACTTGTATTGCTATAACATTTCGGAAACGAAATAATATTTACGCTAAATGTATTTATGATAAATGTATATTTATTTTAAAGAGCATAGTAGAAGGAAAAATATAGGGCAAAAGAGGAAGAGGAAGACCGAGGAATAACTACATGGGGCAGATAAAAGAAACACTAGGTGTCATGTCGTAGTCGTCGTCAAGGATATGGCTTGGGATAGAATTGGCTGGAAGAAGATGCATGAAGTAGTTGTACTGACAAGAGGAAATTCTTAAATGAAAAAAAGAAGTATATTTATGTTATTTTTTTATACATTTTTTTTTATTAGAATGACAAATGTTTCCATTATCTCGGTTTTTATCAACATTTATGGTATGGTATTAAAATTCAAATTGACTTTTAAGAATTATTACGAATCGTTTGTATAGGAGTATAGAAAAGTGTTGTTTTTAGACTTTTAGGCAATTTTTTAAATTTATATCTCCGAAAGAACCATCATGTACTTTAAAGAATATTCTAAAAAAGGAATTAGCGAAATCGGTTCAGCTGTCCTTGAGATTTGCGCTTCGCAATACATTCAGCGATTCATTTTATGATTTTTATAGATTATTATTATTAATCCACGTTTTACGTCTTACGACGAATTGATTGATTTTTAATAATGAATGTTGTGGTGAATAATTAGGTTAATTTCCAACGAATATTGAAAGCAGTTTTTTGCTTTCATACTAATTCTGTCACAACAATATGTATATGTAAATATTTAGATACACATACATACATACATACATATATATATATATATATATATATATATATATATATATATATATATATATATATATATATATATATATATCATTAAGTTTTGATATGGTTTTAATATATAGAATATGTTTCAATTTAGCCCCGTCTCCTGTGTAGCGACAATTCCTTCCAAAAATTTTTATAAAAGAGAGTGGATCTGTGATCGTGTGTTATCATATTGGGCATCGGCACAATTCTATAAACTCGACGAATGTATTGTTCAATGGCTGTGTAGAAATTGCTATTTATTCGAGACAATCGGTGAGTGAGAATGAAATCGATAATTTTTGATATAACTCTTAAGTTAAAAATCCTTTCGAACTGAAGTAAAGTTAACTGTTTTTATCTAACTGCTAAAGAAAGAGGTTAATTGTTTTTTTCTATATAAGCGGATTGATGACATTTTATAATTATTTTCAAATAGTGCGGTAATTTTGATTGTCAAAAAGTCATAGAATACCTAGTGGCCATAAATAGCGGATGTTAAAAATATGCAAAAATGTTTTTTGTTTAGAATTAGGTATAATAGTGAAGGTTTTCTATGAATTTATTATCTTATCATACATTTACTATCATGAAAAAATTGGGTGTAATATAATTTTGGATATAATTATACATTTTGTTATTGGTATATTTATTTGGTTGTACGTATTTCTTAATTTTAATTTAATTAATATTAAAGTCGTCTACTAGCTTCAGTTATAAAATACTTTAACCTATAACCACTTCCGTATAAAACTTTTTAATAAGCCTGTGCAGTTGAAAGTTGATCAATCCGGAGAAACTAAAGTTCAACTCGACAAGCGAAATTAAATGCATCAATGTTTCTACTGATGCATTCAATTTTGGCAAAGACGAGCTTGAATTGGAAATAACACGATGTTGACCGTTAATGTAATTAATAGGAGGAAAAATAGGTGATTTGATCACTGATTGTTGTAATTAATAATTAAATTATCAACCGATTTTGACAATTCTTTTTGCTAATTTTTATCCTGTTTTATTTGTATTCGTTTTACGAAATTCCTTCGTTATAAGAATAATAAATTAATAAATTTCGTAAAACTAATACTTTTATCCAAAACTTCATACGTCTAGTGTCAGTCAGTATTATAATTATGCTAAATAAACGTTTAACTTTAAGACTATTTTTTAACTTAATGGTATAAAAACTTATCAAGATGTAAGAGTTATAAAATAAAATTACAGGTTCTATTAAATTATATATTACTTAACAATAAACAGCAGTAGTAATAATAGTAATATAAATATATTATTATTATTCAAATGTAAAAATTCTAGTGCTTATGATACTGAATTGATTGTATAGACTACTAGAACGGGAGCTTGTGTTGAGGCAGAGTTGTGCACAATCGCATTACAATCATTGTGGTTATTGTCGGCATATTCCATAGTTCTGATGGAGCCATTAGCCTCATGGAAGGAGTATGAGCCCCTCACAGTGTCATCGTGGCGAGATTCCTGATGTAACTTGTAATCACCAGTATGTTCATCAGCTACGGAGTATGTGTACTAGTATTTGGGATAAGCCTAAATTAAAAAATTGTAAATTATTAATGAAAACTGGTTAAATTTGTATAAAATGTATCTCTTTATATATACGTTCGTATATGTGAAAATACATTAAAGTACTAATGCGTTAAATTATCTACATGTTTATTATTTATTTACTAACTCGTGCATAATTAAAACTGGTCCATATTTCATTGATATGTACCAACTAGAAGCTAAGTATAGTAGAGAAAGCCTATTAAGTTGATTTAATGTACGAAAATAAGTGGTAGTGACTATTGAAACATATGTGAACGAAATCAACTAATCTAGTAAATGTGCGTGTCATATTTGACTTACAATTTCTTTAGGTTGGGAAGTGAAAATTTTGTAGCCGGTGCTCGGTAAATGGAGGTTGATGCCTGATAGACAGGTGCGATAATATTGACGATAAACGCGGTGGCTTGCAGTTGGTCGTGACGAGTTTTCTGTGACGAGACAGCTCCTGAAGAGCAGGCGACTGGTCCAGGTACCTAAAGACCAGCTTGAGTTATCCAGCGGATGCACACAGACTTACTAACTGGAATTAAAATATTAATAAAGAAATAATTAAATATTCTGCTAGAATTTCTTCTTTGCTTTTAAAAAACTTCGCTGTTTCGAGCATACTAACTCTGGATGGTGTCATTTAGTAGTTAACCATTAGATAAACAGAGAAACAGGTAAATTCGATTGTAGCAGACTTCAAACCTTCCAATATTTCGAATAATTTAGATATAATAATGTCATTGAGTATGAATTGGAAATTTAAATTGCTTTAAAGTTATTGTCGGCTTGATTCGATTTCAGGATATTTGGGGACTAGAAGTATTAAGTATATTTCTATAATAATTTGTTTTATTTTCCTTATTTATGAATAAAGGAAAAAAATACTATCCACAATTTATTTCTATAATTTATAAACTTACTACTGTGATAAACATTTTCGGTACTTTCTCTATCAAGATTAGTTCGATTATGTTAATGAAGTGAAGCAAAAACAAAGTTTTATAGTCATTACCCACCAACGCACGAGAGATTATTTAGAGTAATCCTAATTGAACTTGTCATTTAACCTTGCCTCAGGCTATACGTTATTACAAATTTATCCAGTATTGAAATTTGCAACAGAATAATATCAGGTTTTACCTGTACTATTCCAAAATTTCCAGCAAGTATTGCAAGTTATACAAATAGCAATATTAAAGGCGACGCTTTTTTGTCATTAATTGTAATTAATGTTACATATTAAATACATAAGATTATTTTGTATGTACACGTTTGTTTGCCCTGTAGGACCCGGTATAGAATAGGTAATATAGTCCCCTTCTTTTTCCGTGGGTGTCGTAAGAGGCGATTTAGGGAGTTTATGGTGGAGGGATGAGTAGAAGCGTTACTCTTATAATATGACCAAAAGACAAACTGCGGTTGCCAATCCGTTTGCCAAGCGTGACAACTACTGGCAAAACTCCCTTATAAGGAAGGCTTAGGAAGGATTATTTGGAGCTAGTATAGAGTTCACTGCTGAATATGTGGCAGTGGACTTTATACCAGCTCCAAATAATTGAAAAAGCCGGAAAGACGATCATGAATAATGAACATAAATCTATTTTGTAGATTACCAGTTTATATAAAAACTAGCCCACAATTGATTAAATATCTCAACAAAGTACATATAGCTATCGTATATTATAATATATCCTACATCGAAAAATTAAAATCTTTATATTCCTCTGATCTCTCCCTTTCTGATTCAAAAAGGTACTTGTTATCGAATTATTTTCCTCCCAAGCCGGTATTGTATTATACTATTGAAGTATATTCAATCAATTGTAAAAAGTATTCTAAAAATCGAAATATATCGCATAACAACAAATACAGAACAAAAGAATTGTGAAAATTTTCTCATCTTTGAATGCGACTAAAAAATAATGAAGCAGCATTGCTATATATGATTTTTTATTTATCCGTATATTTCAAATGTAATTTAATTACATATTTATATACCTATATACTGTTTAAAAATGCAAAAATTCGCAAAAAATAAATTGAGTAGCCTCTTTAAAAATTCTTTTTTTTTGCATTATCATCATTATCATTACCATCATATCGCCCGTTGACTGTCCACTGTAAAATATTGGTCTTCTCCAGTAGTTGCCACGCTTGGCAAGCGGATTGGCAACCGCAGTAGGTTCTTGGTGATGTTTTAAGAGGGACATTGCTGTCCATCTCTCGACCATTAGGTTCCCTTAGTAGCCTCTTCCGACGCCCACGGGGAAGGAAGGGTAGCCTATTCTGTGCTGGGACCACACGGCTTTTTTATATAAGAACTAGATACTTGAACGTTTTATACAACATTACTAACTATAACCCGTTGCTTTGTTATAAAGACAAACGTAGTAGGATTTTTACAAATTTTGATATTTGTAAGTTTAGTAGGATTATGTAGGAAAATCTTTTCTTTGTTAAATGTAATTTACGTATTTAAAGAATATTCAATAGTATATAAATTAGGTAGGGAAATAATTATTTTCATGCTTATGCAAATATGAACTACATTCGTAATTAAACGTAATCGTTTATTGCTACAAATAAATAATAGTTAACAAACCATTCAGGTTATTTATTAATTCACTAAATTATTTTTAGTTCTAAATCCGTATTATGTATTTAGTGGTAATAGGCAGGGGCGGCTTTGACTAGTAGGGGTGCAGCTTTGTATGCTACAGGAGCGGCTGTAGGGGCGGTGTTGTGGACCACCGCGTTGAAGCCATTGTGATCATCAGCGGTGTACTCAACAGTCCTGATGGAGCCATCAGCTTCATGGAAGGAGTACGATCCCTTCACGGCATCACCATCACGGATTTCCTGTTGGGATTTGTTGTCACCTGTGTGTCCATCAGCCACGGAGTAAGTGTACTCATATTTGGGGTAAGCCTAGAACAATTAAATTGATATTATAATTTAGAAATTTCAGATTAGATAGATAATTAGATTAATTTAAGCGTAATTGTTTTTTTGGCTATTTAGGTATGATAGTTTTAATATAAATAAAAAATATTAGTATTTAGTATAAATTATGGAGGAGATACGTACGATCTCTTCGGGCTGTTGAGCTACCACTTTGGCAATAGGGGCATGGTAGGCAACGGGAGCAGGGGCGTGATAGACAGGGGCAGCGGCTTGGTAGACGGGGGCGGCAGCGTGGTACACTGGAGCGGCGACGGCGATTTTAGCGACGGGTGCAGCTACTAGCTTGGTAGCTTGAGGTTGGTCATGGCGCACAATGCTCTGTGAGGAGACTGCAGCGGCAGAGGAATAGTGTACTGGCTCAGCCAGGAGACCAGCCTGGGATACTGCTACCAACGCGCACAGGACTACAATCTGGAAGGAGAATAATATTTCAGAATATTTTCTATATAATACACAATTACTATTTTTAAGAAACTTTGTCTTACTTTGGAGAACATATTGATTGTTCCTCTGAAATGCTCAGATTGTTAATGATATCTGCTATACCAGATACCCCAATATATACTTGTACTCAGTAAAGATCATATCAAGTAGTGGAAGCTGTCAAACTGGCTTAGGACTTGCCACGACCGACCTTGCTCCAGGTCGCATATCGCACTTTCGTTAATAATTCATCCATTCACTGAATTGATTCATGTATATGAAAAGATATTCAGACGTACGTACAATGCTGTGTTGATTCATTATGTTTGAGTTTTTATGAGATCATTAGAAACATTTTATAATAGATAAGTTAACTAACTGGTTAAAAAAAATCCCTAGTTATTAATTATAATATGAACGGTGATAATTTTAATTATTATGATTTCACTTTCATAGGTATTTTTTTTTAAATAATTAAAGCAGTTTTCGGCTAAAATTTGTTTTTATTTCTCTTTTAATCTCTATATGCTAAAATCTTAACTTCAAAGAAAGAAGATAATTATTTTTTTCATTCTTTATTATTGGCTAATATTAATATGATAAATAATAGTAGAAAGTATTGCTATCCGATCTAGTATTATTTATAATATAATATAATTTTTAAAGGTCAAATATCATTGTTAAAAATGTATGAGATAAATCCTTACGACTGATATATTTTTCTATATTTTCAATTTATAAAATATATTATAAAAATCTCATCCAATCATATTAATTTGTAAACAAATTGCGGAGATAAGATAAGGAAGGTGTAAGATCTTATAATTGAATAAAAAAACTACAACAGAGACTATAGTTACTTAAATAGGAAATAAATATCTTATTAATATAATCTATCTTATTATATAATATATGTTTAACACATTTTATATTTAACTACATTATTTTATGCTTTAATATAGCGTCAGGGCTGTCCTTCTCTAAAAATCTGTCTGATTCTAGTATATAATTAGGGGATACGCGTATACCCCCGGACCCCGGCCTGTAGTGTCCCTGTCCTTTCCGCAACTGAAGTGCCCCCCCCCTCCCTTTCCTTTCCCACATAAGTCTCTTATTCCTCTCTTTTACCAATTTCCTTTACACATTTCCAATGTTACCTTCCTTTTTTCCTTAATCCTTTCCTCCATATCGTAGGTGGAGGAAACCACCAAAAAATGCATTCTCAAAAAGGGTTGACGTCAGGCAGGCGGCCGGTCGTAAAACTATAAGCCAAATCTTTTTGTAATATGGATAAAAACATATTACGTCCACCCCTAATAATAATTGGGATAAGGGTAGGAAGATGATGATAATTTTATGCTTTTATAACTAAATTATCATACAAAGAAAATAAATGCTGTTTATATTATCTATAAGGGACCTGTGTATGCGAGTTTGACTCATACTTTTGGCCAAGTGCGAGTCGTTGTGAGTTTGTCTAAAGCTTGATTACAGGCTACATGGATACTACTAATTCATTAAAATAAATAAAAATCGAGACGTGCGTTTATCCTTATAATATATAGTATATTCTTATATACTTTTTAATTAATATACTAGTTTACAGGATAATATATTTTTGAAGAAAATGTTCAAAAGTTCCTAAGCAAGCACATTCTTAAAAATAAGAATCACAATAAATGTTTAAAGTCTGATTATACTATCTGTGGCCTGATAAATAAGAATTTATTGGTGAGAGTATTAAATATAGTAACAACAGAACGGTAAATTGTAGAATTGGGATAGTTTACAACTGTCAATCTCTTTGGTATTCTTATACTACCTTATGGCTTCGTTTAAAGGACAAGTCAAATCACATTTTCTTTCACTGTAGTTACTCTTTTCCACTTCTTTGTAATTTTTGGACTAGATTTATCATATTTCCTTGTGTGTGCTATGTATGTATTTATATATATATATATATATATATATATATATATATATATATATATATATATATATATATATATATATATATGTGTGTGTGTGTGTGTGTGTGTGTGTGTGTGTGTGTGTGTGTATATGTATATATATTGTTATAGTAAGTAGTTTAATAAATTATATGTTATTTATGCATTACATGTTTTTGTATTTTATGCACGAAAATTATTAATTCACTCTTGCGCCACCTGCCTTTTTCTATCTGTTCTCCTTTAACTAAAGGTTGTCTGTAAGAGATTGCCCTAGCGATAAGACCGCCTTTTGTACCTTTATGTGTATATTTCAATCTGTATTTATGTTACTGTATTTCACTTGAATTATACACTTGTCATTGTATATTTTTATTTATGGTGCAATAAAGAGTTAAATAAATAATAATAAATACTATAAAGAGTAAACAAACTAATAGCCTAACCGAGGAAAGGTGGTATCCATTGTCTGCAAGTATAAATAAAACTGTGAGTATAACACGGGATAGCAGAGCTATCTATAGTACCTCTCATGTTTTGTCACTCCAAAAAATGGTCGTACAACTTTTATATCTGGAAGAACATTATATAAAAGTTTGTTAAATTTACAATACTTTATAATTTACTTATAAAAAATATAGACATCGGATAGACGAGAATAAAAGATTCACTCTTACATTTGAAATTATAAGGTATAGAAATAATTAAATTAAAACGGTTTTATTTAAATTATATGACATAAGATAGATATATAACGTTATTAAATTAGTCAAAAGTAGACAAAATATGGCACCAATATCATTATAAAAATATTTGCATTCCTACATCACTTAAGGTAATTAAACAGGCGCCAAACTAATGCTATGTGGCCTATGTTAATAATTTTAAGTTTGTTTAATGCAAATAAACTCATTGCATTTCATTTTAAATTATTTCTGAATTTGTAGGGTATTCTTAATATCTTTAATCTATACTAATGTAATAAGGAGAAAAGATTTTCTAAAAACACATATAGAAAGTATATTAACAAGTAATATAGGCTATATATTATAATATTTCGAAAATTTTACCTACCCGTGCGAAGCCAGGCGGTTCGTTAGTTTTATAATATTTATCATTTTAGCTAAAACCCATTGATTTACCCGTTGCAGTATTAAATCTTTTATTTATAAAAGACTGAGAACAGATCTTTTATCTATAAAAGACAGAGAATTACTTTAGTAATGAAGAATTATTCGTAGATTTCCTATTTCATTTTCATTCCAACATTTTATTTAATTTACTCTACTCTCTAATTTAATATAATCTATGGTACATCAGTAACGTAATAATTTACATTAATATTATTTGTTATTAATATAGTATTTAATGTATAATTATTAGTTGGATATGTGGGATAATAAATTATAAGAATTTTTATCGAACTTATTCGTTTATTTAATTTATTAATTTCAATAAATAATTAGTCAACAATACGTTTACAACTATCCAACATTAATGTTTGTAGTAGACAGGGGCGGTTTTGACTAGGAGGGGTGCAGCTTTGTATGCGACTGGAGCGGCTATAGGAGCGGTGTTGTGCACAACTGCGTTGAAACCATTGTGATCATCAGCGGTATATTCTACAGTTCTGATGGAGCCATCGGCCTCGTGGAAGGAGTATGAGCCCTTGACAACATCACCATCACGGATCTCCTGTTGCGACTTGTTATCACCGGTGTGTCCATCAGCTACCGAGTAAGTGTACTCATACTTGGGGTAAGCCTGATATCAAAAAATATTATAAGTAATATTTACCGTTATTTTTTAAATTATTTTAAAAATTTTTAGTTATAAATAGACTTACGATTTCTTCAGGTTCGTGGGCTAAAACCTTGGCGATCGGGGCATGATAGGCAACGGGAGCAGGAGCGCGGTACACGGGGGCGGGAGCGTGATAGACAGGGGCAGGAGCGTGGTAGACGGGGGCAGCGACAGCGATTTTGGCGATAGGGGCAGCTACCAACTTGGTAGCTTGAGGTTGGTCATGGCGTACAATGCTCTGTGAGGAAACTGCTGCAGCAGAGGAATAGTGAACTGGCTCGGCTAGGAGACCAGCTTGGGCTGCTGCCACGAAAGCGCATAAAGCTACTATCTGAAATAAATATAAATATGAATTAGTTAATTATGTCTCACAGTTTTAGACAAAATAAGTTTTCGTTTGTGTATATAATTATTTAACTTACTTTGGAGAACATAATTGATTGTTTCTCTATACTGTATTGATAGTGAATGATGCCAAAAAAATTTAAGGCTCAATTTATAGTCAGTTAGACTTCAACCGATACGATCAACCTTGCCGTAGGTCGCATTTTACAAAGCTATGGTTACACCCACTGAATTACTTTCATAATCATGTCATATGAGTTACCTTGTTTGTTTTTGTATATTTTGTATCTATTTCTTATCGAAATAAGTTAATACTTTATTACATGTGCATATAATTTGGTTATTACACTATATTATTATTCCAATTAAATTAAGAAAGTTATGGATATTCATGTAGAAAGACCAAATCAACATAATACGATTACATAATTACGTGATTGCTATGTAGATTTGGTACATTGAAAATTTATATTAGTCATCTAAAAGGATAGGCATTAATTTGAAAAACAATAATATATAATGAATGTATATAAATTGAGTTTACAGATAATATATGATGTTACACCGTATTTATTTATAATGTGCGCTCATAACTATGTAATTAAATGAATACATTTATAACAATAATACTTAAACAGGTAATAAATGATACATACTAAGATAGAAATTATTGGTATCAATATTTAAATAACAATATTTTTACAAATAAAAAAACTTCAAGTTCTGATATTAATTTTATTGTTATCTTAAGATTAATAAATTAAATATTTACATAAAAGTAACGTAAATAGTATTAATATTGAAAATATTAAGGCGAAAGGTGGGTAGAAAATGACTTTTTATTTTGTGAAAGTGGAAATAAATAGGTAATTTTATTTGACGGTGCTTCTAGTAACGAAGAATCTTTTCTAATAATAGCTTGGGTATGAGTAGGCGTCTTAGAATAGACTTCATTCTTGACAGGCGCCTTGAAATTATGGCGAGCAATGTTGTATGCTCGACCCACGTTTAATATGAATTTATGCATTTTTGGAAATTGTAGATGTTCAACATATCGATTTTCATTTGTTAATTTGTCCCTTGATGGTATATGTCCGATTTTATATCTGTAAGTTATAAAATATAGTTTAATAATAATTATCGTACTATATTATCAGGATTGCTCGACTAGTTTTGGACAGGATAGGAGCTCTTATTTAAATTTATGTTAAAATTTTAACGATGTCTGTATATAATTATATAGTTTATAAAATTTTCGTTATACATATAGATAGAGAACGAAGAAAATATCAAAATAAAGCTAATAATAAAGATTAATTTATAGTGTATATTTTAATTGATTTAATTATAATATATAGTTTAATATAATTGTGATGAAAAATTTCATTATGTATATATCTGAAGATAATAAGATTTCATAGATTGATAAGACGCTAATAAAAATAAACAAATGTTTTGACAGGGTCACTGCTCAAAATTTCTTAGCAATATGTGAGTTAAAGAGAAACAGTTTGAATTATTTTAATGAGGATAAGATTACTTTTAAATAGTAATTAATAAAGTTATTCCACGACTTTTCTAATTTTATTTAATATTTTATCAGCTATTGCGATAGAAAGATTTTTAATCTATAGCAGAATAATGTATATAATATAAAATAATTATAAACTGTATTAATCTTTTTTATAGTTTATATAGTTAATAATATACTCCTATGTTTTCTGTAAAAAAATACTTTAACTGAAAATATTATATTATTTGGAAACTCAAAAGTTAACTACTATCGTCTTTATTATCAGTACGTTTAAAAGAAATATCAAATAGTACTAACAAAAAATAATAATGATAGCTTTATGTTTAACGTTCAATTTCTGATAACCCACATTTCTTGTAAATACTTACATATTTGAATATTGTTTATGATTTTGTTCAGGTACTACGATGCGTGTTTTATCTAGACCATTGGAATTCTCTGAAGAAATCTGAAGTTGATTTTCTGGTTTCTTGTATAACGTGAACGCTCTTTCATAGTTGATCTGTATTAATAAATGCATTAATATTACGAAATAGAAGGTTTTTTTACATATTTTTAATATCATAATATTCTGTTTTAATTGAGAATCTATAAAATTACATGCACAAGAATTTCAAGTAATGCATGTGAATTATAATTGAAAAAGATATATTTTCATAACATATACCTTCTTTTTAAATAGATCATTATGTTTGAAATTAAGCAAATTTTTTATTTTATTTTATTTTATCGTAATCACGATAATTCAGTCTTGTAAGAGAAGTAGATGCCTACAATTACTAGGTACTTCTGTTCTAAAATTTCTATAAAAATGAGATGTTCACACAATGAATCTTATCTAAACTGAAAGTAAATAAAGTAGATGTTTATCACAATAGATTTAATTTGAAACTTCAAGGTGTAAGTGATAATCGTAACCATCTGAATAAAATTAAAGAAAGAAAAACAAATTGCATTTTAGAACAATTTCACTCAGTTTAGTTAGTCAGTTAACAATAATTCACAAACTAATATTTAAGTATAATTATTAAAAAGTATTTATTATAATAAATTATAATGGTATGTTAGCTATCAGTCAAACATAATACTCTGTACTTATTTTATACAACGACATTGATTATGATTTTTCTTGTACAATAACATTTGAAATAAATATAATTTTGTACAATCATTTAAAAACTTACCTTTGTATTTTCATCTTTGGTAGTAATATCTTCTGGGTAACTTCTATATACAGCATTGTGTCCTGGACTTCGATTAATGGATTGCAACACTTCTATATTATGGCCAGGAATATAGGGAAAATGGAATGGTAATTGCACTGCGAGATTCTTCACAACTGGTTTCGGTTCTAAGTGATCCTTCTTTATTGTAGTTTCACTTGTGTATTCATTATTTACAGTATATTGGCTAAACGGTTCTGTAACTTTTGTATACAATTTCTGAACTTGTCCTTTGGGTTTTGCGTGTGAAAGCGGTGCGTATTGTATACCTTGATAATTAATTCCAGAATGATACTGTCCTGTTTCCTGTATCTGTTCCGGTTTCTTTGTCGTATAAGTATGGATTGCACTATATTTATAAGAGAGTGGGACATCTTGGCGAACGAAACTCTGTGTTGATATAGCTTGCTTCGAAGTCTGCTGTAGTTCCGATGACTGTCCGCAAGAAATTGTCAATATTGACAAAACTGTTGTAATCTAAAATAAAGATTTTAGTTTTGATTTTTTAAAAAAATATCAATGCTTATTCTTAACATAATACCTTTATTAAGATTTATATTTTATTTATTATTATTATTTTTTTTATAATAGCAAGAAGTAAATGCGTAACTCACTTTGATGAACATTTCAAATGTTTTGATTGCAAACGCGTATCGGAAGTGTTTGGCTCCGGATGCAAATGGCGTCACTTATATACGAGTATGTAGACTAATCACTAAGAGAAATCATTCGTGATGTAACATTTATGATTAAAAGAATGCGTTGTAGGCCATTATTTTGCTTCTAACACTAGGGTCCTTAACAATGCCGACAGTTTTTGGGGCGTTTGAGCCTTTCACCTTTTTTTTATAATAAAGGCGTATCACTGTACTCCAAATCGATTATTGACTAGCTAACGATGCAGGAGTAGCGGATGCAAGCACTGTTTACATTTGCTTTGAATAATATCAACGTTTAGCTATTGTTTACTGTAGCTGGTGCTGTAATATTGCGTCACTGGTATCTTTAATTGTTAAATTTATGACAGAAAGGGATTTCAATTCATTGGTTTGTTTTCAGGAGTCATACTAATTATTATTACCGAAAGGAAGACAATTCAAAACTCTGTTCTTAATGAAGTTACGAATAATGTAATCATCATCATTATCATCATTTCAACCATTATCTGTCGGAGGGAAAGAGATTGTTAGTAATGGAGACTGAGAATCCCATTGTTAGCAATATACCCAACCAGGTCGAACTCCTCGTGGTTCTCCCTGGAAACTATCATGGTAATTCCTGATGAATTTATCATGATGGGCTAACTGGCCTGTTTTTATTCTCATCGATCATCCTTCACTGGTGCTCCGCCAGCGTATCCCGTTAGCGCAGGCGGGGTTATCCTACCATTTTCAGCCATAAAAAAAACCATTATCCGTCTACTGCTGGACATTGGCCTCTCCCATAGACTGCCATAAGGAACGGTCCTGAACCACCTGCATCCACTGACTTCTTGCAATGTATTTGTGGTCGTCACTCCATCTACTGGAGGGAGGGGGGTTGTCCTACACTGCGTTTGCCCGTACAGGGTCGCCACTCAAGAAGTTTTCTTCACCATCGGTTGTCGGTTACAATAAAGTAATACCGCATAAGATTATATTACGAGCGTAGTAGGTGCAATATGCAAATGTAAGTGCGTGTAGATGCAAGTGAGGATTTTTTAGGTCCAAACATAATTGTATGTTTAATGTATTTCTTTGACCAGCTATTCTAATTTAATTAATTTTAAATTATTGTAACTAGTATTTAAGGAATTTGTAGCAAAAAAGAATTATTTTATTTCGTATTTTCAAATGAAATGAAATCAAAAATATTCGTTAACTTTGCATCGATTTTAGTAATTTTTAGGCAATGAGTCGTAACTATAATACGAGTACCATTTCATTCAAATATATGCACAATTAAAGTAAATAATAATTACAGACATTATTCTATTAATATATATGTTAAGAAATACATTCCATTTTTAAGTACATATATTGATTTTTTTAAAGTTGTGTTCATTTTTATTTAACGTCTATATAAATGCGAGAGATTAATGAACTCATTGAGTTTATAGGTATAATTAATAATATGTTTTTAATAATTTAAACATCGTCATCATCACCATATCAGCTGTTAGCGGGGGTTTTGCTAGTAGTTGCCACGTTTTACAGGCAGGTTGTCAACCGCATTTAGCCTTTGGTGATGTTTTAAGAGGGACGCCGCTGCCCATACCTTGACTATTAAGTTCCCTTAGTCGTTTATATTATTTAATGAGTAGTACTAATAAGGTAGCTCGTACAGTTAATAATAATCTTGTTACAAAACAAAGGTTTCATTTTCGTTACACTTATTTTCGTTACATAAGTCGCACCTACCAACATCAATCAATGTAAAACTCTCTATTGACGCAGATTTATTTTATGCATGCCAAGAATTGGAGCAATCATCAGATTACATATTTTTAACCGACCGAGAAAGAAAGGAGGATAATGTTTTTAATATGTGTGTAAAGCTATCGAGATATGTACGAATGTTCGACGTAACTTATGGTCCTAATCATAAACATTTATTTTTATTTTATAACTAAACACATTTTATAAAATAGGGTTATTTATGTATCAATTTTAGTTTGGTATCTTTGAAGAATCCAAAATTGTAAAATTAAGTTTATTTTATGAATAGCACATGTTTATTTGTAGTTTATATGGTACTCAAAGTACAAGCTCTACTTTGTTTGGGACTAAATAGCTATAAATATTTATCTAAGTTACTATTAGTAATTTGTGGTTGCATCTACAAGAAATCCATATTATCTATTGTAGATGTCGGTGTAAGCTAAGTATATACAATATATGGTATTATTATATATAAAATATCTATGATTTTATATTTTTTTCTTTCTAAAGTGACGAAATACTTTATTAGAATACTCGTAGGTTTACTTTTTATGGGTGAGGAATATTTCGATATAGTTTGTTGCAAGTTTAAACAACAACATATTTCGTGTATGCAATTCAACTCAAAGTTGACATGTTCAACTTGTTGAAGCTTATATGAAAAGACTGAATGTACTAGATATCATAAATGGTGTGCGAATTTCTAGTCAAGGCGAAGTGTCAAATATTAGAAGTGAACGTGACATGTTGAACTACCACTTTGTTGAACTTATTCTTTTATCCAACTGTAGAATAAAGTAGGGTATTATTTCTCACAATATGTATGTATGTATATTTTATTACTTTAGTTTGTTACAAATGCAATAAAGAATGATTATTATATTTTTTTAGAATGTATGTAAATAGAGGTTTGTGATTTAGTGATAAAAATTCCAAGATTGCGATTTCGAGTTTTGTCAACAGTAAAAACTTTGTAACAGTAACAGTAAATAGACACTATTTAAATTTCTCACTTCAATTAATTAAATAACTCAAGTTGTTAAATTATTTCAGAGGATAGTAGTAGATACCGCCCTATTACTTTCCTATTTGGCCTCGTTTTGGCAAATACCCCGATATATTTAAGAAAATATGTAGGTATTTATTTATTTATTTTTAAAAGGTACATCAACAGTGTAAATACAGATATTAATGCAAGATGCAAGCCCTGTATATCAAATACAGGGCTTGCATCTTGCATTTACACCAATTGCAGATGTATACGACGTTTTCTTAAGTCATCATTACATATTAACAAAACTGACACTAACAAAACAATAAAAAAAAATGGTTATACATAGTTCTCAGATATCTGTGGTGATAACTTCGAATTGTAAACGTAATAGACTTAGATCTTCAATTAGATTTGGATATTTATATTCGAATCTGTCACAATGTAGCCTAAATGAATAGCTTGATGAATTTGTTCTCAGTATGAGAATGCCAATAAAATTAGTATATAATAAACACTTATATTTGCTTTAGTATCAATATTTTATTTTTCAATATTTTTTTGTGATTTTTTTATGCCTATTTGTTTCAAATTATCATAATTATCAGGATCTAATACAAAATTCCAAAAAAATATATTTAAATAAAATGTATTTGAATATAATTTTGTTAACTAAACTATTCTTAAATGAAGACTTAGTTAAATCAAAACTGCACAGTTTTGGAATAAATTGTTTTATTTTCCTTAAACATTTATATTATTTACATAGAAACTTCATGACAGGAAATATCTCAATTGAATGACATTAATAATGGAAGGCAAGTTGTTGACACAGGTTCGCGTAGGCCAATGCCTCGGGCAATGTAAACGAATGATGTAAGTGACAAACTACAAGCGATTATTTAAATTGTTATAAAAAGTTGAAATTTATTGTAGAAAAAGTGTTGTTTTCGATTTAAGATTGCAAATAAAATATTAATTTATAAATAAATTACATTATTTTCTTTTTAATAATATTTAGTTGTAGATAAGGAAAATAGAATTTTTGTCTTATGACAAAAATCAATGGATCTAACTATTTTCTGTTATGCTCGACTTTGCAAAAGATTACCAAATTGTCGTTTTTATTCTTGCTGATACTAACAAAACTTAATATCTATATATCGTGGATTCTACTAATAGGTTCTTAAGAAGTACGTTAAGACGTTGAAATTTTTAATTAGTATATTTGTCGGTTTACATTTCAATTAAAACAAATACGAATTGATTTATTAAGATGACTAAAATGATAATAATCGCTATACACTAATACTTTAAACACAGCACTGTAAATTATGATCATATGAATACAATATGTTATGTTCAGAACGAGAAATGTAACGTTCTTTGACGTGAACTGGTCAGTAACGTGACTAGTTATCCGTGACCTTAAAACTAGGTCAGTAAGTTAGCCACAGGCATTTGGAGCTCTGTCGAATACCTAAGTTTGTAACTTATATTAATACTACTTTGTACTCGCAACCTCGTCTGCGTTACTGGGATATGTTTATTGATAGGGATAAAAGTACCCTATATCCTTTTCTGTTACAAATACTACGTGTTCACCAAATTTCGTGACGATTGAATAAAAGTGCTGAAATACAACTAACTAGAGATCTAGATAGAATTTTCGAAAATAATATATAACCTATGTTACTCGCTGTTAAAGGAGCTTTTTATAGGTGAAAGAATTCTTAAAATCAGTTGAGTAGTTATTTAGTTTATCCATTATATATAAACAATTGAATTTTTCCTCTTTAAATTTAGCATAGTATATATATTTTATATTTTAGCATAATAAAAAGAACTGTTTTCACTGTGATATTAGTAAGGATAGACTAATTGTGCCTGCAGTTTCTTACGTGTGTACTAACTATATTTAAGTGTACAACAATTTTTATACACATTTATTCTTTAAGCTTGTAGCTTATCTAAATACAAATTTATATCGCTAAGTCAGTGAAAACCTGTTATTGGTTTTATTACGGAGCGGTGGACTGTGATGAAGTGATGAAATGATGTAGACACGGAATTTAGTAAGGAATAAACAATAAAATAAACAAATAAATAAATAAGTGAGTAAGTCAGTAAAATAAGCTATGAACTGTCGAGTAGAATCAAAGCTCTATTAAGCACTAAAGTATCCAATTGTCTTGCTGTAACACAATACGACCACGAAAATAAATGAAATACAACCCTTTCCTGCAGTGAAATCATATAAGACGTATTTTTTACATATGGGAATAAGTTTCGTAACTATACCATAAAATTGTATCCGACCAGTTTTAAATATCAAGGATAAGATTATGTAATCAGAGATCCTTGGAATAAAATGATTCAGAATGTTTACGGCTACCGAAGTCTATAAAAGATATGACGAAAATGGTATGACAATCTGAAATTTAGCGATAATATTTATAAATTTTAACTTTGATGAGTCTAAGTATAAAGACTATTTTTGAAGATTTCTGAATCACTTAACAGTGCAGTTACCTATGCATGAGTATTTGCTTTCATAAAATAAATCACATCACTGGATTTGGGATCAATATTTTGGTTTCTATAATTAACATCATTATTATCATAGCAGCCATTAACTGTCCATAGCTGAACATAGGCTTCCCCCATAAAGGGAGGTTTGCCAGTAGATGCTTGGTAGACGGTTTGGCAATCGCAGTTAGGTTTTTGGTGATGTTTGAAGTGATACACGTACTATCAAAACATTGAATGATTATTTTGGATCAGACAGTTAATATCTATATATTAAGAATGTGAGAGATGAATAATTATGAACGTGGACGAACTTAAAAATATATCTAAAGATATGTATTTAGATATTTTTATACCAATAACCTGACAATAACATAGGGAATACTCTATCAAAGAGGAAGTCTGTTGAATGGTGTCATTCGTCTGGATGAGTAGTATTTTTTCACCTGTTTCAATCGGGAAGCTTTAATAAAAAAATTAATTGTATTTTTAATAAAATATAAGAAACTGTATTATTCTTAAAAGAGAGAGCAATTTTTTTTATACATCTTAGAATGGCAAACAAGCTGACGGCCCACCTGATGGAAAGTGGTAACCGTCGCCTATAGACATGAGCAGTAACCATGGACATAACAGAGTATACTGTTTCGCCCATGATACCCACCATGCGTTGCCATTCCTGAGGACTCAGGTGTTATTCCTCTGTACCCAGTAAATAATTGCAGTTATTAGGTATAATAATGTATTAGGGATACCAAAATGCAATAATTATTTACTTGGCTAAGTACTATTATTTACTGAATAGTTTAATAATTTTTGCAATTTATACAAAGTAAAACAAGTTTAAATGCATGTTACTGATCGTGACCTAAATAAAATTGGAATTCGACGTTTCCGAATAGTTGGTGCTTACGTTCATAATTTACTTTCTGTAATATACTATATTAAGTAATAATAAGATCAATTATGTAAAACACCTTCTTGTATTCGTGGTATTTAATATCTTCAAGGATTATGTACATGAAGAAAATTTTACGCCTATATTCATGTATTAAGTTACCAAACTCGTAATGTTTTTAAATGTTAAGTTTAAGTAGTGAGAAGCTAAGTAACTTGTAATCTCAAAAATATATCATACTTAAAATTTAACTGTGCAGTATTTTTGATGACAGAGATAACTTTCCATTTAAAAATTTCATCATATTCGTGCAGCTTAATGTTAAAATTTGCTATTATCAATGACAGTTATTATACTTTTAAGTTGCATATTGAATTTTAATTTAATGAAGAAGGTTTTTATTAATAATCTTATTCTGACAGTATTATCACCATATCAACCTTTAATTTCTACAGCTGAACATAAGCCTCCTCCCATAAGGGAGAGATTTTCCAGTAGTTGCCATGCTTGGCAGGCGGCTTGGCAACCGCAGTTAGGTTTTTGTAATATTTTAAGAGGGACGCTGTTGCCCATTATTCAAATATTAGGTTTCTTTAATTACCACTTACAAGGAAAGGATGGTCCATTATATCCCGGGACCATACGGTATTAATAATTTTTAGTTAATTTTTGAAAATATAAAATTTAAATAATCCACTGTTTTGTAAATAAATATTTCGAAGGATGAATGTCCTGAAGTGACTATCAAGTCCACTATGAGCTTAGTAATTAATGAAGATGGTTCTTAAGTGATGATGAAGGAAAGGTAAGGTAAGGAAACGTTTTATAATATTTCATTACAAAATTCTGAATTCCGACCGGCTCCGTTGAGGTTTTCGATTAAAATATTCGGCAATAGTGTTATAATAGTGGGTATTATGTAATTAATTAATTATAATATTAGTTTATTGGCAAATTTTATGACATATGGACGACCTTAAAGCATTAACAGGTAACAAATAAATTCATATAAATTATAAAAAGTAAAACTATGTAAATGTTCGTGTAGTGCTGTCATATAATAAGCTATCTCTTTCTTTTCCGTGGGTGTCATAAGAGACAACTGAGGGAACTTAATGTTCGAGGCATCTCTCAAACGGCAGGGTGCCTATCCCTCGGTAGCAGCGTCTTCCTTAAAAGTTCACTAAAAGCCTAATAGCATTTGCCAACTTACTTTCCAAGCGTGGCAACTACTAGTAAAACTCCCCTTATGTTTAACAGTGGACAGTTAATGGCCGATATGATATAACGATGTAAATTGTAGTAAAATAAATTGATGATTAAACGCCTTAGACATGCTATTTCGTTTTATACTAGTTAAGATAAACTCGTTAAAGCATTGAAACTGTGAGTGAATGAATCATCTGTATTACATAATTCATAAGGTTGAAGACCGTCAATCTGTTATTATTATTAACTTTTTCAAAGATTTTTCATTGTTGTTCATTATTCTTGATTTATTTATTTATTTTTAATTTAATAAATTAATTTATTTAATTTTGTTTTTGTTAATATATTAATAAAAACGTATGTTTTCCACAACATAAAGGTCTCATAACATTTGACTTCTACGAGACAGGCTTTGCTTAGTATGGGGTCATAGTTGTATTGTACTATAGGCTAATTTTGTTTAAGGAGATAAAGTTTATTATTATTATTTTGTTTATGATGTGTTTATATTAGGGGTGGATAATATATAGTAATATCTTTTATATATTTTAGTTACAATATCTTTATACTGGCCCCATAAGAATATGTTAAAAGTCTGTTATCCAAACAATAATATTGAATTACAGACTTTTCATATATCCGCAAACAGATATATCCGATAGATATAGGTGATATTGAATTGGGTGATAACCTTTTTCTGCCATCAATGTTCAGAGGAAACCAATATATAGATATCGGATCGGTATCCATATTAGCCATGCCTAGTTCATATAGATACAAAAAAAGTATATCTTTTCGCAAAAAATAATTACAAAAATATTATGACCAGATAATTGCATTATTCTTATTTTATAATTAGGTTTTTGCCCATTACTAAGTACACGTGGATTATAGAAATAGAAAAACCAATGAAATAGATCAACTCTAGAGCCATCTATACATCAGTATTAAGAAAAAGTAACGTCAATTTTTAAATTAGGTCTTAAGGAACACAACCCAAAAATAAAAGTAAGGAAAAAAACCGTATCTAATTTAGTGCAATAGTTTTAGCGAAATATCGAAAAAAAAAAACGTACAGCCAGACAGATGAACACATAAAAATTCTAAAAATTATTGTTTTGGCTTCTATTAGTCTTGTAAGACCTATTATATATATTTTTCTTAAATATCTCCTAAGTATGGATATCGTTTAGTTTGAAGAGTAAAAAATAAATATTTGTCTATATTCAATATCTATACAGAATGCGCCTTTGGTAAAAAATATTCAATTTAAAATTTAGACAAGAAGGAAATAATGACTGTCATAGCGATTTTCATCGCTTTCTATATTTTTATATGAGAAAACAAATATATAAATGCACGTATTTCTGTTTCAATTTACAGGATATATAACTACATACGTAAAAAATTTATTCTGATAAACAGAAATGAGATGGTGTAGAAATAACTATCTCGTCTTGTTATATAAAATCTATTATTATTTGTTACCTGTTTAAAGCCTATTTATAACCAATTTTAAACAGTTAAATGTATGATGGATGAAGTCATGGATGACAGCTATATTTCATAATTCATGTTTCCATAAATTTCCTAATTGTAAATATTTATTAATTTTCTGATAATCATAAGGTGGGCAAGGATATTATACTTGGAGCTAGTTCACCGAAATACATAATGTATTGGCCCGTTGACACGTTAACCTTGTGCACCAAAAATCAATGTATTACTATATAAGCAATTTTTCTGATACATTTGGGGTCAGTTTCAGTTTAACCAAACACATCAATATGTTCTCTAAAGTGAGTGAAAAAAAAATGGTGTATTAATAAAATAATTATATCTAGATAAAAAAAAACAAACAGCGACAAAATATGTATGGGACCGATAATTCCGAAAATTAATATTTTAATGAAAAAAATATAAAAATCAATTTAAAATTGTCGAATTTAGTCCGATTGTCAAACACTCATTACTGTACTTATTTGTACTTATACAATAGTATCGTTATGTTTGTTAATTGTATTACTTATTTCCTATATTGTATAATGCAAATAAAGTATATTTATTTATTCATTCATTCATTTTCATATTGGTTGATAATAAATGCATAAATTGAAAAAAAAAAACTGTTTCCATAATTGTTTTTTCTTGTAAACTTACAGGTAATCGCCTTAAGCGCAGTACTGGCTGTTACTACAGCTGGACTGTTGCCTGAAGCCCATTACTCTCCCGCTACGGCAGTGTCTTCTCAGAGCATTATTCGTCATGATCAGCCACAAGCCATCGCTACTAAATACGTGGCCGCCGCACCAGTTGCCGTCCACGCTGCTCCTGCCGTAGCCTATAACGTAGCTCCACTTTATTACGCATCAGCTGATGCTGTTTCCTCCCAATCCATCGTGCGTCATTCCACACCCATTGCTAAAGTGTCAGTTGCGGCGCCTGTGTACCACGCTGCTCCCGCCGTTGCCTACCATACCGCTGCGGTTCCCGTTATCTCCAACGCAGCTCCAGTTCACTACTCCACCGCTAATGCTGTATCTTCTCAGAGTATTGTCAGCCATTCCGCACCAGTTGCTAAAGTCGCCGTAGCGGCTCCCATCACCAATTATGCAGTGGCTGCCCCTATCGCGTACTCTGCACCTGTACAATATGCTGCTCCAGTTGCCAAGGTCATCGCACCCGCTCCTAAAGTTCTTGTTGCTGAACAGGAACAATACGTAAGTATTGTAATTCAATTATTTAGTTCAAATATATAGGAATCTATTTCAAACCATGTAGTACGAGTATATTAATAGGAAGTCAAATTACTCACTCGTGTTATTATACATATATTAATTGGCCGACTGGGCAAATGTTATTTTGCCCCTTGCTGACATCTGCTGGGTCATTTAATCTAATCAGGATAAGTTCTACCCTATCTCTCTAGGTATCTTTTCTCAATGTAGTGACATTTATTTAGTAACAAAGTTTTTAGAATCATTAGTAGTTTTTATGTAAATTATAATGTTTTGACTGATACTTAAGCTTATGTATACATTTAAAAAACTGCATATGGAACATAATAGACCATTTCTTCTTTTCTCGTGGGTATTGTAAGAGGCGATTAAGGAAACATAATGGTTGAGGGATGGGCAGCAGCGTCCCTCTTAAAACATCATCAAAGCCTTATTATGGTTACCAATCCGCCTGCCGAGCGTAGCCACTACTGGCAAAACCCCCCTCATAAGGAAGGCTATGTTTAGCAGTTGACAGTTATCAGTTGATATATGCAACAGAAATAGCACCTTAAAGTATTAATAATATAAAATATACATATTACATAACGCCATCTAGTCCCAAACTAAGCAGAACTTGTACTATGGGTACTAGATAAGTAATAGAAGTTATTTTTTTATACAACTTAGAATGGCAAACAAGTCGACGACACACCTGATGGAAAGTGGTAACCGTCGTCTATAGACATGAGCAGTACCATGGACATAACAGAGTATACTGTTTCGCCCATGATACCCCCCATGCGTTGCCATTCCTGAGGACTCAGGTGTTATTCCACTGTATCCTGTAAATTTACGCCATATCCCACCCTTCAAACCGAAACACAGCCATGCAAATATAACTGCTTCACGGTAGAAACACGAATGGGATAGAGGTACCCAAGCAATCGACTTTTGTACAAAGTCTCCCTCTGGTAGTAATATTTATTTTTGTAAATACAAATTATACATATAAAATCCATTCTTTACTAATCAACAGTTGAATTAGAGTATTAAATTATTATTTTTCCTGCAGTCTCACCCCAAATACGATTTCTCCTATTCTGTGGCTGACGGACACACTGGTGACAACAAGTCTCAACAGGAAAGCCGTGATGGAGATGTTGTCCATGGTGAATACTCACTAGTGGAAGCTGATGGTTCCATTCGCAAAGTGCAATACACTGCTGATGATCACAATGGCTTTAACGCGGTGGTGAGCCGTTCTGCTCCCGCCCACCACATCGCCGCTGCTCCTGTTCTTCTTGCGCATCATTAACTTTATCTGTTTTAGAGATCTCGTTTTCAAAAAAATCAATGTTAATAGTTTTAAATATTTAAGTATTTATAATAAAATATATTTTTAAATGATGGACTTCTTTTTTATATTTATAGCACAAATAACACAAAATATTTCATATTTACTACACAAAAATTTTCTTACCTACAAAATAATTCTCTATATATTTTAATAAGAGAGAATTTTGAATTAGATTATTCACAATAAGTGTTAATGATAGGCAGGTGACTGGTAGTAAAACCAAAAACCAAAATCTTAAGTAATATGGGTAAAAATATTACGCCAATTCCAATAATTGGGATAAGGGCAGGAAGATAACAATGATTAAGAGAGAATTTTGAAGCAGATAAATAATGCTATCAACAACTAGTTTATTTTATGTACTTATTTATACAGATAATATTGGTATTAAATTTAAATATTACAATAAAACCTGTCAAGTACTTTCTATGAGATGCGTGCTCTAATAGTTTAATAAAAGTTATAATTTATGAATTTAATTGAATAAAACAGGCATACGATTTTTATACTAACATCATCTAGGGCAATATTTATACCTAATCACCTAAAGAGTGCGAGTCTCGAGTGCATTTAAATTTTCCCAGGATAGTAAATCGATCCCCTTATGTTTTTTTTATACAACTTAGAATGGCAAACAAGCTGACGATCCACCTGATGGAAAGTGGTAACCGTCGCCTATAAACGTAAGCACTACCATGGACATAACAGAGTGTACTCTTTCGCCCATGATACCCCCTATGCGTTGTCATTCCTGAGAACTCAGGTGTTATTCCTCTGGATCCTGTAAATTCACTGCCATATTCCACCCTTCAAACCGAAACACAGCCATGCAAACACAACTACTTCACAGTTAAAACACGAATGGGACAAAAGTACTCAAGCAAATGAATTTTCTACAAAGTCGCCAAAATTATGTATTTAGTCTCCTAAATATAATTTATTTATTATAAAATGAGTGCCCTCGTCAGTTCACCGATACGCTACCGCCATGATTTGCTTGACTTATAAATTTTTATAATTACTTTATTATAAAATTTTGTTGAAAATCGTTTAATTTCTCATAACTAACTAACAACTTCTTTTCCTTTGTCATTAACATTAATTTACATTAACATTAACTTCTTTTCCTTAGGTAAACTGGAAATATTCCAGTTTACCTAGCTGACTTACGGCTTTAGTTTGGAAAAAAATACTGTAGATATTTAAATAATACGATTTATGTCTCCACAATATTGTCAAAATATTCGGAAAACAGTATACAAAACTAGCACTGTAGAGACCAATAATAAGGAGATTAACGTATTAATATATAATTATTAAGAGTAACGATCGTTTCAATATTTGAATTAATGAAAACTAGCCATAATTCGCTGCTCGCGTAATTATTTATACTTACACTTTTAATATTATAAAGAGGAAAGATATGATTTTTTCTATGTTTGATTGAAATGAATAATCTAAAAATTATTCAACCGCTTTTAAAAATTCTTTCAACTATGGAAAGACACATTATAACCAAATAATATATTATATATATTATTTCAAAAAAAAAATAGAGGGCCTTACAAAAATTGCAGTAATTATAACTCAAGATATAAAAAATTACCTATAATAAACTAATAATAATTGGTAACATAAAATACTAATTTATCTTTCTATCCACCCGAGCGACATTACATACAATAATAAATTTTTGTATGAAATTCAGGTTTGTGTATTTTATTCGAATTCATCTTGAGCAACAAATTCATATTTATATATCCATATTATTTTGTGTTTAATTATTATGATTATAATTATTGTTATGAATTTCTGTGTTTGCATGGCTGTGTTTCGATTTGAAGGGTGGGATATGGCGTGAATTTACTGGGTACAGAGGAATAACACCTGAGTCCTTAGGAATGGCAACGCATAGGGGGTATCATGGGCGAAACAGTATACTTTATTATGTCTTTGGTACTGCTCATTTCTATAGGCGACGGTTACCACTTTTCATCAGGTGGGCCGTCAGCTTGTTTGCCATTCTAAGTTGTATATAAAAAAATGATTTAATTTTGTAAATTTCAAATTAGTTTGTATGTGTTTTGTTTCTTTTTTAATAATAATAAAGAAGTAAAAGCTTTTATGGTAAAACAGTATTTTTAAGTAATTTAAAAAGGAGTATTTATTTTTAATCATGAGTATCTTGTATTTACATACATATATATTGTATATGTATATCTTTATCAATTATTTATAGATTTTGATAATTATTATTGTTTTGATGGGGGTTACTCTGCTATTAGTCCCCCATTAATTTTATCACAATGTGTGTATATACGTACGTATTAAAACGCATGTTTCAATACGTACGTATATACGTGAATAAAAATATATATGTGAATGTGGATGTTATCAAGATATTGTACCTATAAGTAAAAGTACTAAGTAGTTAAGAAAAACAATAAATACAATAACATGCATCGTATATTTACAAAATAAATATGAACTATTTACAATGAGTCTTGGGCCTTACATACTAGAATAACTGTTGGTGGTCCAATTAGACTTTAATGATGCGCGACGAGAACGGGAGCAGGGGCGGCGTGTTGAGTGGGAGCGGAGTGGCTCACAACAGCGTTGAAACCATTATGCTCATCAGCGGTGTACTGCACTTTGCGGACGGAGCCATCAGCCTCCAGAAGAGAGTATTCACCGTGAACAACATCACCGTCGCGGCTTTCGTGTTGGGACTTGTTGTCGCCGGTGTGTCCGTCAGCCACGGAGTAGGAGAAGTCGTATTTGGGGTGAGACTGTGGAGAGAACACGTAATAAGTTACTGAAATTGGATAAGAATGTTGTTACTTACAAATAGACTTATTTATTTGTATGCTTGGTATATATGTTATGCGACATGTTCGTCAAATTCGAACTATTTTTGAGAGTACCTTTTGAAATTGATAATTTAAGACTAATTAATAGAAGACAAATATGGGTTTACAGTTATGCCAATTCTGTATAAACTATGTTATGATTTAAATTATTTTCTTTAAAACCATAATAACTTTTGTATTTCTCGGTTATAAAAGTATATCAGATATTATAGTGCTGCACTTGCCTATAGGCTATATTAACTATCTACTTGCGATCAGATGGTTTGTTATGCTTATTTGTCATCTAAACATAATTTGCTTTCTCAAAAAGTGCTAATGTGCCAACATTAAAACAATTGAAAACAATTTCAATTTACTTACGTATTCTTCCTCGTGGTGGGCGGCAGCGACTACTTTGGCAACTGGGGCAGCGTAGTGCACAGGTGCGGAGTATGCTACTGGAGCAGCTACGGCGTATTTAGCGACGGGGGCGGCCACGGCTACTTTGGCAACGGGGGCGGAGTGGCTCACGATGCTTTGAGACGACACAGCGTTTGCGGAGGAATAGTGAGGTGCTGTTTGGTAGGCGACGGGAGCGTGAGCGGCATGGTAGGCGACGGCAGGGGCGGAGTGGTAAGCGACGGCGGGGGCGGAGTGGTAGGCGACGGCAGGAGCAGAGTGGTAGGCGACGGCGGGGGCGGAGTGGTAGGCGACTGCAGGAGCAGAGTGGTAGACTGGGGCAGCGACTGCAACCTTGGCCACGGGTGCAGCGGCTACGTATTTGGTAGCGTAGGTTTGGGGTTGATCGTGGCGCACGATGCTTTGAGAAGAAACGGCTTCAGCTGGAGAGTAGTGGGGTTCGGGAATGATCCCAGCCGCGGAGATGGCGAGCAGAGCGCTCAAAGTAAAGATCTGAAATAAACGATATATTTATTATTATTATATAATAGTTATTTATATAGGGAACACCCTATATAAATTATTATTTGTACCGAGTGCTTACTTTGGAGAACATATTGTTGTAATTGTTGGATACAACTGATGCACTGCACATGCAAAGAGCCGCTTTTATAGTAGTACAGTTTTGGGCGTGACAAGGTCGGCGAGTCAGAAAGTCACATAATGAGCTTAATCTATCTCCAGTTATGGGTCATTGGGATATAATTATAATACTATGGTGGTTGTTTAAAAATAAAACTGTTTATACTTTATTTACTTTGGGTTATCTATTAGGATTACTATTTTTGTTAAACTTGCCTAATAAAAAACTATGATGATCACTTATAAAAAAGTATGATGTTTATTTAAATAAACATCATACTTTTTTATAAATGATCAACATAGTTTGTTTTTATTACTACTTAAATAAAAACATCTAAGATTGTAAATCTATTTTATTTTATATTAATGATCTGTTTCTATGCATAAAATTAGTTTTATCGAGCCCTTGTATAAAATTTTATATTTTTGGACGAAGCAATTTTGGCTATGCATTGTCCAGTCAATCAGTTCCAAATTGTATTATTGTAATTACGTACAAATAATTATTAATTCGTTGACTGTGATAAATTTCTTTGTGCTTGATGACAAATAAAGGAATTACATTCTTTAATTATTGTGTATTGTAAAAATCTTTGTTGTATATAATTAACATTGGATACATTAAAAAGATTTAATGTACAACGACGGACTCATCCCATACAGGAATTTCTTACAGTCAACCTTTGAGAAGCTGAAAGAAAACTATAGAATGTTCGAGGGTAAAAACTGTTTATCTTCATTAAATATGCAATAATGTTTAACTATTTTATTTCCAATAGAAAGCTGTTCTCAATTTCCTTGTTTTTTTTTTTTGTGTATTTGGAATTTACGCGATATACTTGTCAATTCTGAACTGACTTTGATAATTTTATTGGAATCATATTAATTTCATCACATTATAAGTAGTAGCTTTTTTAGCCGACTTAAATCTTGAATAATTCTATGTTACTAATGCCGATTAAATCATGTTGATAGTAAAATATTCGTTATTAATAAAATTAATTATACAGAGTCAAATTATTATAAAAATTTTGATTTTATTAGTTAATCTGAAGACATATTGAGTAATGTGTTATAAATTGTGTTGTTTAAATTTTATTGTATAGTTATAGCAGGAAAGTTAAATCTCGTTTGTCATTACAGATTCGCCTAAAGTTAATAATAACGACTACAGAGCACTTAGTTATTATTACGAGCTCTGTACTTTATTAATAGTAATTTTAATAAAGTAGTATTTTAGTTCATTTGTCCCAACTCACACTTGTCTTTTTCCCCAACTGTCAAGTTTTCAAGTATTTAACTAAAGGTTATTGGTACAAAATGTAATGGATAATTATTGGAGTATGCAATTTTAAAATCTATAGTAAGGTTATAAGAGAGAATATTGGAATCTCATACGCCAAATTGCCAAAATGTTGGCAGTTTTCTGAATTGGTGGGGAAATATTTTACAAGACTTTGCCTCAATAAATGCAGGTGATATGTTGAACGGATTATTATTATGTTTACTTTTTTCATTACGTGAACTTACATGTATTCTAGAAATTTATTGCAATTAGAGTTCAAGTAGTTTTGTACTGAAGAAGAAATTTCTTTTAGAAATAAGCTCGCCTTTGTGCACTATTATGTTTGTTTTTCTAATACAATTACATTTTGTGTGCAATAAAGAATAGAATAAGTTAAAATACGTATTTTCATACTCCAGTTGTAAGATAGATAAATAGATCCATAAACAATAACGAGAACTTTAAATAATATATAATAAATTATTTAGAATGTTCAAAAATTAATTACTACTAGGTAATTAGGAGTTATTTTTTTGTATTAAATACACATTTAGGTTCAAAATATCTATCATTATAAATAAATTCAATGTTAGGTTTTAATGTGATGCTATTTTATTTTTCGTAATTAAGCACAAAAATAAGACAAAAAAATTGGACAATATAATTTTTGAAATACATTAATTATCTTTAATTAAAGAGAAAAAATTGCAATATTTTTTATGTATTATTGTATAATTCACGAAATTATACCTACATAAATATTTATTTTGTAAGAAACGTCAAAATATTTACATTTATAATAATTAAATTAAACAAACACCCCTAGTATTGCAGGTGTCCATAGATTACAGTAACAGTTTACTATCAGAGATACAGTATGTTTGTTTGATACCTTTGTGATATAAAAAATAGATGTATAATAGAAAATAAAAAAAATAGTAACTTTAAATTTTTTATTTAAAAATAACAAGCAGGTACAACTTCAACTATGGAACAATAAAACGTTTTCCTTGTTTCAATGATGATGCTTGTGCTCCGAAATATGTTTTGTAGTCTGCTTTATATCAGCTTGGAATCTAAAAATTAAAGAAGAAAATGCTGTTATTAGATGTACGAGTACAGTTCTAATTTTATTTAAAAGTATAGTAAAATATTATGATTCTGAGAACTATGGTATATTATAAATTGATTTGAAGTTCTTTGTGATCAATTTTTCTAAATTTACTTAGATTTGAGAATTGGAGTTATGAACCTGAATATCTAGTGTGTCATTGCACAACATTTACTAATTGAGTTATATATGATTGATAGGATTATATGACATTTAAGAAGTAATTATAAAGATTTATAAATAAATTGTATATAATAAATTTTACCCCTGCTTCTTGTCGGCTGAGTAGTGTACAGTTCTGATGGACCCATCAGCCTCGTGCAGACTGTAGACTCCCTTCACGTGGTGACCGTCGCGGGTCTCGTGCTGGAACTTGTCGTCACCGGTATGCGGGTCGTGCACCTTGTACTCGAACTCGTACTTGGCTGGACCCTGAAAAGTGTTAGTCAGGACTATATATTTGTATGTTTTTACTTACATATATCTATATAATTATTTTTATAGTGACTCCTCTTAGTGCAATACTTACTGACTAAAAACAGACCAACTTTTTATCCATATGTTCGTGAATAGAGTTTACTATAATGTATATTTACGAGTAATGGTATTATATGGAATAAATTATATAAGTATGTAAGGTTAACTTAAAAAATAAAAATAATACAAAATTCTTACGAATATTTTAAAATGAACAAAATAAACAGAGCATAATAATTCATACTTATGTTTATCTTTACTAATACTTTGATTGTTATCTAAGTTTATTTTATGCAACTTAAGTTCACAAACAAGCTAACTGCCCATCTGATGGAGAGTGGTAACCGTCGTTTTTAGACATGAATAGTACCATGAACATAGCAAAGTATACTGTTTCATCCTGATACCCTTCATGCGTGGGGAGAGAAGAGATTGTTAGTAATAGAGATTAGCAATTGCTAGCAATAAAGCCTATTAGGTCGGCCTCCTCGTGGAAACCTTCTTGTTTGATTTATTGTTGAATTTGTCACGATGAGCTAACTGACTTGCTTTATGCCTCACCTATAATCCCTCACTGGTGCCCCGCCAGTGTATACCGATGACGCAAGCGGGGCTATCATTTTATTACCCCATTATCATTCAATAAAAAAAGATTCTTTATGCGTTATTACTCCTGAGGATTAAGGTGTTATGCTTCTGTACCTTATAATTTCAGCGCTATATCCCATCTTCCAAGTTGAAACACTATGTGAATAATTGCTTCACTGCAAAAACACAAATAGGACAGAGATACCTAAGCAGACGACTTTTGTACAAAGTCTCCCTTTAATAAAGTCAGATGATCGATTTAAATTATTGATAGGTACGGAGTATCGTGTATCGATATATAAATATTCCGTTTCATTTACTTACATGGTGTTCAGAGAAGCCTTTAGGTGGATGAGCAGGTATATCATGACGTTCAAACAGCTGTGAAGAAACAGCTGGTTTGTGATGGTGTTCTTGGTGTTTGGAGCTTACAATATGGTGGGCTACTGGTATAGCTTTCTTAATTTCTACAGGCGCTGCTGCAACGTGCTCTTTGTGTTCAGGCTCATGATGCTTGGGTTCTGGATGGTGTACAACAATTTTCTGTGAGGAGTAGGCGTGTTCCACAGCTTGACAAGCGCCTATGATGGCAATGATGGCAATACTCTGAAAATGCATAGGTAATAAGAATTAAAAAATCATACCTAAGGTTTCTTTTTCTGTATGAATATCTCATTTATCTAAGCTATTTATGTTTTGTCTCTTTAATTCGAATTAAATTCTTAATTTTCATTAACGGGTGACTTAAAAAATGAAAATAAGTTCTTAAAGTTTGTTTATTGAAGAATCACGCTAAGAATAATAGGTGTAGTCACATATACATTTATTTATATTCATAGTAAATTAATAATAGTTTTATAATTAGATTTTAATAATGATAATTAGAATAAAAATATAAACTGTATTATGGTATAAATTTAAAAGTGTAAAATTAAAAGAAATATGTATATTTAGAGAAATAAATTATAATGGAGCTAGGTACGGTGAAAAATTTCTAATAAAAAATAGACTAATAAATAAAATAATATTTATAATTGCAATTTAAACTTACTTTAAGAAACATGATTGTTAGTTGTCAATGGAGTTCCTTTGTCTACTGATATCAATTGAATATCGGTAATCGAATTTATACTGTTTAATTCATATGTGAAAAAAAGTGCGATAAGCACAATAATGTAATATGCCCCAGTTTCACTTTCAAACAAAAATTTGGGGTCGAAGGCAAGTTACTTTCCTTCGAATACTTTTGTCATTGCTATTGAAATTTCTTAATGATTAATTTTATATCTTATTAGGGACTTAAGCCTAAGCACAAAACTGGTTTAGCCGTGTTACTACGCAACAAACATTTTTTTCTAATCGTCTATTCAATATGATATGAATTTTTTGTCAATATTAAATATAAAGAAAAATTAAAATTATCTAATTATTTATAATTAGTTTAGTATATGTATTGACCTATCATGATTGAATAAATCATGTATTATAATTTTAATGAGGTAGTAAAGAGTCTCAGATATCAGAATGGAGTATGTATAAGTTATAAAATGTGCAAACAAAATATGGAACCATATGGACATTTGTTACCCGGCTATATTTGTCTAACTACCTTGCATATTTTTTAGATATCCTTTCTAAGATTATAAATATGAAAGTTAGTTTGTTAGTTTTCTTTTAATACCTTAATCATAATGAAATTTGGTATACCTGCATTTAGAATTTAAAATGAAGAAGGACATAGGCCACTTTTATCTTTGTTAATTAACATATCTTGGTCACGCGGACAAATTCGAAAACTACTAAGAAAATAAATTATTTGAATATTTATTTACATACTATGCGTGTATTTTAATCAGTTAAATTATGAAACTTGATTTATGTAACAACATAAATAAGAATTTAACGTTATAACCATGATTTAATTGCTATTTAAAATAAGTTGGTAATTAAAATACGAGATTCGGACCAGCTTATTCAGTCATTGTAATTTGTATGTTTACATTTTGTCATTATTTATAAACTAACTCAATTCCTATTCAAAATATTATCAATCATTGTCAACAATATTAATCTTTACTAATATTTTAAATGTGAAAGAGGGTGTGTTTATTACCTTTTGTCGCTTAAACGACTAGAGTCGTTGTGACGAAATTTGCGGCACACTTATTATTTGAGATGAAGAAGAAGATAGGCTATTTTATCCCGGTCAATAAGGCGAAGTAGAGAGTAAAATCTAATAGAATATTATAATTAATATTTTTTTCTCTTAGATTATAAACATCAAGATGAAGTGTCTCTTAACAAAGGTTTCATCAAAAACAACCCAACTTAATATTCTTTATAAGTATACCTTAATTTGAACAGTTATAATTTTGGCAATAAAAACCCGTGCCACGATATAAATAAAAAGAGTGACGCACGCCTTATGCGTAATACTTACATAAAAATAGTGGCATTAAAATTCATACATTTCAATGACTACAACTAGGGGCGACTACTCAAATGAGAGAAGTTTAAAAAAAAAATGCTATGGAATGTTAGATTAGATTAGATTTCTTTATTTGCGAGAACATTGTTTTTTTACAGATATTGATCTATTAGCTAAAGTACAAATGTTCGCCTTATATTCTAAAGCATGCAAAATTATTATTGGGTACAAGATACATCACATTTAATACATACATATAAGTGCTAATTAATAATAGAGTACAAATTATGTCATTCTGTAAATAATTCTCCCAAAAAACGATAACGTTTATCGACATTAAGTAATAATAATTCGTCAACTGTTACAATTCATTCTATTACAATAGTCCAACGTCAATAGATGCCAATATAGATGTTAGCTCTCAATACTAGTAATAATATAATACTAATAGATTTTTTTTAAGGCAAGTCACAGGATGAATTTTTTAAAGGACTTGCTTTCTATATGTATATTGTGTATCTTGTATATGTGTTAAGCTATATTTTTCTTATTTCTAAATCTATTTTTACAATAATTTTTACAATCGATAGACTTTATTCTCATCTTGGTCGTATATTGTCTTATCCTATTTAATTTTTATCATCATTCTTACATTCTTACAAATATTACACTAAATATTTTACTGAACTAGGCATTATTTTGCGGAAGTCCATATCATTGGTTAGTTGTTAGATTTTTTTATTGAATTAATCAAAATAATTGTAAACGACTGGCCAGAAATTTACACTTAAATTATTAATAGCATTTATTTGTGCTTCATTAGTAGTATACATGAATACTGATAGGCATAATATCTTAGTTTTCAGATGGCAAAGAAAATTGTTGTCCTCACAGTGAATTCCATGATGCTTATGGTATTGTTTTTGCTGAGTTATAAAAATGTTAATCATAATAAAATTTTCTCAAAAAATGCCTTTGTAAAAGTGCTATAGGTGAAAGTATTGTTGCGACCTTTCACACTATATACTTATTATTAAGTATATAGTGACAATGTAATAAGCCCGTTTATAGTGTTCAGTAAAAGTATAAATATGCTGATTTATTATAATATTCAATCAGTGTATTAAGTTATTCAGATCAATAAACAGTAACAAGTTCTCTTTAAAAATGTCTTTGAAAGTAATTTAATTTTATTATATGTGAAATTGAAATAAGCTTATTTTTTAGGAACATATTCATATTTATCAATTATATATTATTTTCAGTTCGCTTGTGTTGTGGTCCTCGTTATCGTTTGCGGAATATCAGCTCAGCACCATCATCATAAACCGGCTATTTCCTCCCAGCATATCGAGCGACATGATATTCCTGCTCACCCTCCTAAGGATTTCCTTGAACATCATGTAAGAATAAAACTTTAAATTTGTCAAATATTACCTACAAATAATAATATCACTAACGAGTTCTATTTCTGTATTAGGGTCCAGCCAAGTACGAGTTCGAGTACAAGGTGCACGACCCGCATACCGGTGACGACAAGTTCCAGCACGAGACCCGCGACGGTCATCACGTGAAGGGAGTCTACAGTCTGCACGAGGCTGATGGGTCCATCAGAACCGTACACTATACAGCCGACAAGAAACAGGGGTAAAAAATTATTATGCACTAGTTGTATCCTGCGGATCCGTCTGCGTGAATCAGTATGTAAAGTATCTTGTATGCTAAGTTAGGATATAATCTATCCATGTATCAAAGTTCATTTATATTCGTTTAGTAGATTTTGCATGAAAGAACCTACCATCGTTAAACCATCGTTACAAAATTTCGCATTTATTATATTAATAGGATTTAGAATGGAATAATTTTCTTAAATTAAAAAAAAAAGAATTAATATACATTATTCTTTGAATAGATAAACATAATCCTTAGCAGGGTAGTCAGAGGAATTGGCAACTATTGCTGTTGTGGTAAAAATTATATTCGACTGGCCCGAATTTTCCCTAGCACATTGGAATCTAACGTAGCAGGAGGTGAGCCTACCGCCGTCACTCGCGTTAAAGTGACTGGTTGTTGATATTTACCGTTATCGAAGAGATAGTTAAAAATTTAAAATAAGTCAATGTAGTGCCAGCTATGAATTTACGCCTTTTGAAATTTATAAGTAACTAGGCTATGATACTTTGATTATTACATGATATTTTATTTATAAGTAAAAATACGAGTATATTCATTTACAGATTCCAAGCAGACATCAAGCATTCAACAAAGCACGTGGAACCCAAACATCACTAATGATCTCAGCATACCTATTGTTAAATATGTTTAATAGTTGACTGATTGTTGAATATATGTTTAAAAATATACATAAATTTTGTTTAATTTATTCAAGTTAAAATTATATTGAATTTAAATATATTTATTTATGTACACTTTATTGAACCATTTATAAAATAGTAAACACATTTAACTGTAATAAGAAATGATACAAAAGGCGGCCTTATCGCTAAGCAATCTCTTCCAGACAACCTTTGGGTAGAGATATTCGTAATAAATAAACTTAAAAAATACCGTAGATAGATAGATAGATATATCATTTATTTGTATAACTTACAGCACATAAACACACAGCACATCGTAGACGAAGTATACCGTACAAGAAAAATACATAACCGATTTTAAAATTTCTTTTATATATAAAAAGATATATTATTAACGAGTAACACGGGTTGCATTTTATTTTAAAATCACCGTGCGAATCAGGTGCATGTTGCCATTCTACAATAAATAGAAATCCGAAAGAAAATACGTTAAAGAAAATTCCTCTATAGATATCGTTACAGATATAATCTGATATGTAATTTGAGAGACTTAAAATGTTTTCACAATAGACTTCAAAGTTTCCTAAATTTAAAATGAAAACAAAAATTGCATTTCTTGGCCAACCATAATCATAAGAAAGGGGTATGGCTATTATTAATAAGTTGAGCAAGTGGCTTAGTGTAGGGTTTTCTTTTGAGTTTTCTTTTTAGCAATTTTATAGTTAATTCAGATACAGTGGAATTTTTAGTCATAATTTTAATTAAAATTATTACACTTAAGTGCAATAATCGCTTGTCATAATAAAGCAGCTGATTTAATATTTAATAATATACTCGACATCTTTGTGGGACAAATTATATTTGCATTGACATTAAATATCTTATTAAGTTGTCGAAATCCGTATTAAGGAGCTTAATAATTTTTATTAGCGTCTGCAGGGTTATTCATAATAATATGATGATAATCTCCTAAATAAACTTTTTAATTTTATAATAATTTTGAATAAAAAAATTCTTAGTGTTTTATTTAAAATGTACATATATTTATTTGATTATTTTAACTGTAGTGTATTAGAAAAAGGTTATAATATAAATATTGTATAGCGCTGTGTGACATTTTTTTCACATAGACATTCCATCAAAAATTCTACATCGTGTGAATCGATTCTTGTACTTGAATGTTTGGAATGTGAATTGGCATTTTTATGTATTTATGCCAATTTGTACTATCGTGGCATCCATTTAAATTGATCGATTGACAATTTTTTATTTGAAGGTCAGTTTAATGGAGGTAGTTAATTTTCTTAATATTATTTGTTGAAAATTATAAAATTTTAAAACTCTCAGAAAGGATCAAGTATATTGGACTTAGAATATCAACTTTGGACTCAAAAATGGTTTGTACAAAACATTAAGATTTTATATTCAAGTTGTCCAGAATCGGGCAATAGATTAGCGGAATATATTTGCTAATAGAGATTTTTTTAATAAATAAATCAAAGCCATTAAAAATTAACAATTTTGTTTTATAAATTGACATTTTGGAAAGCTAAAGTATACTATAATACCTTTCAATCATCTTTAACAGGTCATTTAAGCTAGTATTAATATAAGCCATTCTATATTAATACCGCTCTTTTCATATGGTAGTTATAATTTGATACAATCTAGAGTATATCAAAGGTGTGTAAACAAAGGTACTTGTGTCTATTGACTCCTTAAGATACATTTAAGGTCATCGCTCTATCTAGCGAGGGTTTATCCAATATGGTATTTATTTGTACTAGGCTATATATAACCAGTTAATTGTCAATTTATTTTAGATGTGAAAATGCAAGAATCGTTTTTCAAACGCTGACTAGACTGAGTAGTATTCGTCGCATAATCTCTCATTCGAGGGTAAGTTTACCTCTTCTGATAAGTTCTCCCTGATAGTATATATTCGTATATAATATATACTTATCATTGTTACTCTTAACTTATAAAAACGGATTGTATCTAGGGATTTTTATATCTTAGTTTAGTATTTTTATTGTATGTACAGAAGCACATATTATAAAAAATATTAGAAATGGCTAATATCATCATCTTCCTACCCTTGTCGCAATCATTTGGGGTCGGCGTAATATGATTTTATCCATATTACAAAAAGATTTGGTTTTTTAGTTTTACGACCGGCCACCTGCCTGACGTCAACCCTCTTTGGGAATAGAAATGGCTAATATCTGGAGTGTTAAATATCTTATATATATTTTTTTATGTAAGCACATTAGGTTTATAACATTGATTTGGTTTTTATTATTATAATGTTATAATTATTATAATAAATAATGGTTTCTATTTTTACTAATGGTTACTATTTTTACAGGTTTTTATTTAACTATACACGTAATATGAGTCGATCAGTTCCTCCACATCAAGGGAAGCTCTTGGTTTTAAAATATGTACTAGGGTAAGCGTTCTTACTTATAAAAACTAATTCCAAAATGTATTTAAATGTAAAAAAGTCCTAATATTTACAAAATTTTTGTTTCATTAAAAATATCTTAATCTTTAGTTAAATTTCTCATTGTATGTCGATGCAATGAAAATTTTTTTTGATGTCTTATATTATGTTAATGAGGTTGACCTTAAATCTATATAGACAAGAAAAGGTACATAAATTGAAAGAAATTTTAATAGTTAACATTTATTTCCAAACTTAATATTTTACTGAAGTAGGTATAATTAACAATTATGAGTTAGTGAGGCAGAGGTTTGATCTAGTTATGATGCTTGTGATCTTCTATATGCTTCGTTGTGTGTTTAATGTCGGCTTGGAAGCTGCAAATAAGGGTTCTATTAATTAATTGTATATTAAACGAATACGGGTATGCCACTTCTTTTTCTTCTTATCCAAAATACCTCAGAGTTTGAAGACAGTGATGGTCTACGGAATCAAATCTACCGAATCGATTCTACACGGTTGGCCGTATGTACGACCTTTAATATATTGCAGAAAACTCTTTGTGGTTTCTTGTGGTCGTCTAATTTTTTTAGCATAGTATTTGAGAATAGGGTAATCAGTAATTTATTGCGCTATTAAAAAATAAGTTATTTTCGACTTAAAAATGGGAACATTTCAATTTGGGGGCATTTTAATATGTATATCTTGAATCGTATTTGGCAATTCATTTTGATTTCGATAAAATCGAGAAATTACCATAAAAATATATTTCAATTAGGTAATTAACGTCACTTATGCCATTGAATATTTCTTACCCCTGTTTCTTGTCGGCTGAGTAGTGTACAGTTCTGATGGACCCATCAGCCTCGTGCAGACTGTAGACTCCCTTCACGTGGTGACCGTCGCGGGTCTCGTGTTGGAACTTGTCGTCACCGGTATGCGGGTCGTGCACCTTGTACTCGAACTCGTATTTGGCTGGACCCTGACGAGAGAAACGAGAATAATAGTAAGTACATATATTGACTACCGAAAAAAAAAGTATAAATGATATCTGGACATATTAATCTTACATGGTTTTCGAGGAAACCCTTAGGAGGATGAGCCGGTATGTCATGACGTTCGATGGACTGTGACGATATAGCTGGCTTATGGTCATGATGTTGAGTTGCCACCTCACAAACAATCGCTAGAGCCATCACACAAGCGATCTAAAATAGAAGAAGAAAAACGTTAAATATTTTATAACATATGTTATAACAGAAAACGATTCTATTGGTAAATTTTAAATCAAATAAAAAATATATTTATCCATGGAAGTTCATACTCGTAGAAGGCACTTTAGATGCATAAGTGTCTATTTAAGTTTTTTGTACTTGTTTTTTTTTTATCAGTTTAGGATACTTTGAACTATTATTTTTTGCTACTTATTATCTGTAACCTAATTTACATTTTAATATTATATATATATATATATATATATATATATTTAATATTACTTTTTTCAAATAAATTGATGTTCTATAAATCAGTTAAAATTAAATTATCTTTAAATAGAATATTAGTCCTAAAAACATATCATATATCTCGAAATTTAAGCAACTAAATATATATAATAATTATTATTATTACTTTTAGTGAAATTCTTATTATTTATTCTTAGAGATATTAGGAACTCTTACTTTAGTGAACATTTTGAAATATTTTTTACTTCGTTGTTTCAAGTGACTTACTGAACTGATTTAATATCTCATTGATTGGTCGAATTTATACAAGTTATAATAATGTAGTCCGTGATTATTGCATTATCGAATACTTTTATTTTTGAGTAAATTTTAATCCGAAATACAAGGTGAAGGTTGGTAACTTTCACCTAAGGCAATTTCTTTTACTGTTTTGTTTGTTAATAAGTACAATTATTAATTTAAAAAAAGGCACTTTTCATGCTCCTAAAGTCAATGAAACTCATCAATGTAGAGGTGAAGTAATATACATGTCTTCAAAAAATGCCGTTTCTTATTGCATCAAGCAAGTAGTAAGAAGTTCTTCTTTAAGTTCACCTCTAGAGACATATATTGTATAATAAAATTCCAATGTTCTCAAATAGATTCTTATTTGGTATATTCGCCAACTATCATAACTATTCTGGTTTCGTATGATTCGCGGACTGACATATTTCGAGAATTTGAGCAGGCACTTTGAGATTACGGCCATATTTTTTAGGATTATGTAGGCGATAGATTTTTCGGCGTCTAAGCAGCTTTGGTATAGAAAATTATTTGCACACCTATTGTGTGTAAATTTGTTTAACGAACAGCGGATTATTATTTTGTAATAGGAATGTATACGGGTAGAACGTTTCTATAGTACGTTAAAACGAAACCGTTTAGGTTCGGAAATAATGTAGACTACTAGAAAAAGTTCTAGGGTTATTAATATGAAATTGTGACTGAGAATGCAAATATTTATAATTTATAATCGATTTTTACAAAAAGTTAACCAAATATTGTATTTTTCATTGTTGATTTGATGCAACCATAGTATTGTGTTTGTAGACAGAAGTTTGAATTAAGAATTACAATTTTTCTATGCTATGTATTTTTATTTTATCGCGTCATTTACTGCTCTTCTACTCTAACAAATTTAACTAATATTATTCGTATCTGTGTTATTATAACAAAAAAAAATCATAAATAGAATTATCTGATATTTAATAATTAATAGATATTTTTATACATACAATAAATCTAATTCAATAGATACAATAGCCTATGTCACTCTTTAATAATGAAGCTTGCTACAGGTAAAAATATTTTTGAAATCAGTTGAGCTGTTTTTGTGTCTATCTATTATAAACAAAGAAACAAACGATCAAATCCTTAAAAAAAAACATCGAAGTTTATAATATAGGTATATACAGGTTCACTTATATTTCATTCATTCACCGTAACTTGTTCTAGATCAAGTTCAATACTTGCGTAAACATCGGTCTCTTTAGTATAAAAGATATTTCAAGTTGTAAATTAAACAGACAGGTGGTAACCACAACTCAATACTGTTTTAATTATTGTATTAATATATTAGAAATTTACATTACTAAATATGTACAAGGTAAGAAATAAAATGAATGATTATCTTTATATGGTTAAATATAAAAATATTGTCTTTATTTTTTTGAGATTTTCTTGCTTTGAAAATAGTTTGTAATCATTTACATTTTAACACAGAATTAATAACTGAAATATTTAAATCTTATTAAAAATTAAAGGATAAAATAATTTATTTACAGTGACAATATTTTAATAAATTATTTAATTTACAATATAAATAAATAATTAAAATAGAATCAAATTAATCTATAGAATATAAAACCGATGCTTTTGAGAAAATAAATTTACTAAAATATCGTAAATATACGTAGGAATTATTTTAAGTAAAAATCTAAAACTCCAAATATTACTGTTTATGTGTATCAATATTATTGTTAAGTAAATGTGTAATATCGTATTTGTCTCAATTATATATTATTTTGTTCATGTAGGTCATCTGTCTTGCCTTCCTTGCTGTAGTCAGTGCGAGACCACAAGGTGGCCACGGTCATGGTCACGCATACTCATCGCAGAGTATCGTTCTGCATCAGGCCCAAGGTCATGATTCACACCACAGCATACCAGTTCATCATGAAGTGAAGCCCGTCGTTCTTGTCCATCAGCCCGTTCACCATCACGAAGCCCCCAAACATGAGGAACATCATGTTGATTATTATGTAAGATAGTTTTATTTTGTATTATTGTTGAAAAAATTTGAGAGACTTGTTTTTCAGTACGTGAAATGGCAAAGAAGTTGACGACACACATGATAGCAATAATGGAGAGGACGGACGGCTAACACAACCTTTGCATACATGAACAGAAGTAAAGATATTACAGATTACACTGTGACGGTTACGCATTGTTATTCTTGAGGACTATAATCTAAATTTTACGTCCGAATCCATTAATTTTATTACCATACCTCATCCTGTTTAGTAGCAGCTAAACTAAACAGTCAAAATACACACACATAATAGGTTTCGTTATTTTTATAGGCCATCCCCAAATACACATACGAGTACAAGATCGAGGACCCGCATACAGGCGACAACAAGTACCAGCACGAGACGCGCGACGGCGATGTCGTCAAGGGCGTGTACAGTCTGCACGAGGCGGACGGCACCATCAGGATCGTTGAGTACACCGCTGACAAGCATAACGGGTATATAAAAAATATTTTCTCTAGAGGATATTTTTATATTTTTTAATTTTATTTGATCATGTTAGTGTTTGTATAATACTATAACATTTATAATTTCTTTTTTTAGTTTCAACGCTGTCGTGAAGCGCGAAGGACATGCCCAGCACATCATTCCGCAACATCACCATCAATAAATTATAGAACTGACTGTTTATTAAAATCTGTCTGATAAATTACTGTACTGAGAGATTTTTGAAACATATCAGATGGATATATTATATTCAAAATTAGATTGTTTTTAATATAATTTAAAAAGTTTCTTAGTTATAGTAATTTATAGATAGACTTCAAATTATATGTTATATTGTTGTGATATTTTTGTTTTAGTTATGATTAGTAAAATTATTGTATTTCAATTTAATATTTTATTTTAAAACCTTATAAAACCATATTACATCGATTTTTCTTAAACAAAGTACTATGTAATATATAGACGAACTTAGAACATTTTTTTTGGGAGATCAGTTGAGTTCATGAAAAAAAGCATATATAACTATGACATGTATAACTATATGATATATAGTTATACATGTTAGTATATATAGTTACCTTATTACCTCAAAAGTACTAAAATGTTCATGCTATGCCGATTCATTCCATGTCGATCCCCGAGTAAATAAATCTTAGCGTGTTCTAATCTCAATGACAGACATGATCTCGAAGTGAATATGATACTGGATACAATGGATTTAAATACATAGGCTTAATAAATAGAATAGTACGTAGACTTGAGTGATAGAGCCTTTATTGATTACGAAAGTCTATCGACTCTATTCAGACATAAAACAGGATGTAAGAATTAAAAAACCAGGTTTTTATAGAATTTCAAATACAATTTCAAGTAAACTGCGGGTCTACCATGATATGAAATTTCGAAATTTCGGACTCAATTTCGTGTTTTTGTTTATACCAAAATCGGATCAATAAGTGGAGTTTAACATTTGCTTTGTCATACATCCTATCATAAAAGTCCACAACAAAAGGAACAATATTTTAACATTTTTAATATTTCCAAACGGCATGTATTATGTAATTTTAACATCAAATTTGTGTTTCGTTTGGCTCCGAAATTTCGGAAAACATTTCATGGTAGGCCCTCTGGTTACATTATATCGAAGATGTCTCTATGATGTAGTGACAATCAAATACGAAACAGCTAACCCGTACACGCAGTGCATAAATTTCGATTAAAATTGTACCTATACATCAAGTTCATATTTAACGAACATTTTAATTTAAGATATGAGACGGATAAACGGAATCAGCACTGTCATAGTAGTTTAGTACGTTTAACTTAATATAAATAAATTAATTATTAGGTAAGAATAACTAAATAGTGTAGGACTGCTACAGCTTTAGAAATATGTAATAAAATTTCTCATCATCTTTATTAGGTTTTAGTTAGGTATATGCACTCAGATTTGTTACTTAAATGATAGTATTTCTTGTATAGTTACATTGTAGACATATCAGTGAGAAAAAAATGTTTGTTTCTACTTTTTTCTATTATACATTTTACAAAAGACGTTTCTATCAGCTACACCAAAATACATTTTATCTTCAGTTACTATTGTAATGAGAATAAGTAATATTGGAATTGCTCACTCATATATATCAAGCATATTTGATTCCAAGGTCACCTGGAATGGTATTATCATTGCACTTTGCATAAATTAGATTTTTCTTCTTTTTCTTTTTTAAATAGCTTCCACGATAAAATACGGAGATTATTTACAATTGTCAGGTTGGAAGACACGGTTAATAGCGGGTAACAATTATGAGATGCTAATATTTTTTACCTGCTTGCCAAATACTTTTTTCACAGTAATGTGTCTAAGGTGTAATGTGTGGGATTTTAATAAATAGGATGGTTTTAGATTATTTTTTATTGTGGAAACACTATAAGGTTAATAGGTAACCAAAGTCCAAGTTTGAAGTACAATTTGCGACAAATATTTTGAATGTTATCATGGGCAATGAAACCTGTGCAGTAGAAGCTTTCGCAAATTTTGAATAAATAGAGTTTTTATAATGATTATATTCCAAATTCTATTAAGTTCTAACAATCAAAATTATTAATACTAGCAAGTAATATAAATATATTTTAAAACAATTGAAATCTACATGTAAATAGTGTATGCAACACTCAAGATAGAGACACAAATAAGAGAGTGAATGACTTGGTCACAATTACCTCTTTTTCATAATAAAAATATTTTTTATGTAACTCGCTATTCTGTGTTGGATGACGTTTACTTAGATAATAATGTAACCCCCAGAGTATCTCCAATACGTCGCCATTCCTAAAAAATATGGTGTTATACTTTATTTCGTATTCTGTATATTGTATTATATCTTCATTGACTACGCTTCAAATTTAAAAAGGCATACAAATACAGCTGCTTCAAGACAGACACACGAATAGGACAGAAATATCCAAGCTGACGACTTTTGTACAAAGTATTCCTTGTATATAATAAATGTGAACACTCAGGTTATGGAAGGAGCTAAGGTTTAGGTTAAGGTAAAAGGTGCTAAGGTTTTTCAAAGAGACTACAGCATGGCGTTCTTCAAAAGGGGGGTAAAGAGGTTTCTTTAGAGTCGGCAACACGCGCATAATACCCCTGGTATTGCTGGTGTTCATAGGCTACGGTAATCGCTTACTATCAGGTGGACCGTATGCTTATTTGCTATCTCAGTGGTATGAAAAAATGCAAATAAAACTATTTATTACAAATTCAGAATTTAGTATTCACGGTATTCAAAGATAACAACATTTGTCATATTTGACTGACAGTAGAGACTTACCTATTTCCTAATATCTCTAAATCATATCTCTTATATAACTCTATTAATGTAATGATATATTGAGGGTAAGATAGGTTATTGTGTGTGATGTTTGTAGATTGATTAATTTGATTTTTCATAGGGATTTAACTACTACCTGTAGGTGATCACTTTATATTAGATGGAGCGATTTTTGTAATTTTTTTCACGTTGTTATTTTTCTACTTGGCGAAGCATCAAGATGAATAAGAAAATTTGGTAAGTATAATTTAAAATCTTTAAAATTTAAATTTCTCCCTTATCTTATTTTCGCATATGAGGTCAGCTAAGCCGTTGCACGTCGACCCATATGGATCTTTTGTGTTTCCTCCCTGCCTTATACCATCATTTTATAGATCCTATGCGTTATCTTAACGATATCCCGCGAAATTTCTCTCTTATTATTAAGAAACTGAATTAAAATACAGAGATAATATAAAAAGAATAACTTAATTTATTTTATCAGTGCTTGTAACAAATAACATTCTTAATTTTTATAACAGTCGTAAACAATTTTATTGATGATGATGATGTTCGGGAATGATATGTTGTGCATGACCTTGACGTTTCACCACAGCGTTGAATCTGAAATAAGGAAATCATGAGAATACAATAGTGTTAATTGGTTATCGTAACTTACAAATGCTTGTAACATAACAGAATTCTTATGATAATAGTATTTTAAGCTCTTTTGATAATATGTGATCTACTTTTAAGAAAATATACTAATTAATTTGATTTAGATATTATTTTTTAGCTTTTGTTAAAAATGAGCTAATATGATAATTACCCGTTGTGTTTGTCAGCGGTGTACTCAACGATCCTGATAGTTCCGTCCGCTTCGTGCAGACTGTACACGCCCTTGACGACATCACCGTCGCGCGTCTCATGCTGGTACTTGTTGTCGCCCGTGTGCGGGTCCTCGATCTTGTACTCGTATGCGTATTTAGGGATGGCCTGTAGATACATAATATATTTAATTAGAAATTTAATCTATTTTAAAATTATTTTCGTTATAAGATAGGCAGAAAGAAATTGAATATCACTTAACTCAGTTTAAAGAAGTAGTAAACAAATTTATTAATACATATATTTTATCGACAGATACGTTATTACTATCACGTACATAAGATAGAATGAGGCAGCGACATTTGGTATTTCGTGTTTTCTCATATGAAAGTTATTGAAAATGTATCTATCCATAGATTTTCTAGCCATTGGTTACAGAAGTTTACATAGACATATACATATAATATTTAAAATAATGCAGACAAAAGCCTTACATAATAATCTATATGGTGCTCTTCATGTTTTGGAGTTTCGTGATGAGTGGGTTGTTGAACGAGTACGATGGGCTTTACTTCATGATGGACCGGTATATGATGCTGTGGTTCATGACCATGACTCTGGTGTAGGACTATACTTTGAGATGAGTACGCATGTCCGTGACCATGTCCATCTTGGGGTCTAGCTGAAGCTATAGCAGCGACGGCAGCAACGAACAAGATCTATAAAAAATAATTTTATTATTAAATATAGTTACAGTTTTGTCTGATTCTGTGATGTCTGATAATAACCACTGTCTAATCAATTTTTGATAAAAAATGCGAGCATTTTTTATTTTAATTTTAAGAAAATTTAAAGTATACGTAGTTTTAAGTCCTTAATATGACAACTTTAATTCCTTATATGACAATGAATAGTGAATCTACTTATGCGATTCCATATCGAAGTCTATGATATAGTGTATCTATTGCAAGAACTATTATCAATATGGAATATTTCTATTACCGCTTTACATGGATTGACCTGTAAGGATATGTGTCCACTAATGTAAAGATTATTTTGTTAAAATATATTATACAAACAGTCTTTTTAAGTCATTTTTTACTTTATGTTACAGAAAATAATGCATTTTTTAGCATTAAAATATTTTGTTTAGGTAACTATATCAAGGACCTATACTATTTTCAAATACTAGAAATGTTATGTTTCATTATAATTTTATACCTTTGAGATCATTTTTGCTAAGAGTTGTTAGTACTTTGACTGTAGTCCTAAAACTGATAATTGTTACAGTTTTAACTTGTCTTTTATAAAGGTAAGGAGAATACAATTTTCGCAAGCATGTAAATTAAAAAAAGGTATAAGTATAAAACCAGTTCGTTGCATATGCACCGTCTGGAAGCCATAGTTTAGTAAGTGCAACCTTGGATATGTAAGACAGTTGTATTTAACGAACACCTTTCTCGCATAATGGAGACAATCATAATAATAATATGATTGTAATAATGTAATTGTAATCTATACAGTTATATAACATTCGACATAATTTTTAAATGGAATAGTAATCAACGATTAGAGATAGGAAATACTTTAATAAGTTATGACGTTACGGACAGTTGTATTGTGATTACAAAACAACCATCACTTTTGATTTGATGATTAGGCCAGATACATTCAATTCAAATGTTTGAATGATAACCTCCATATTTATTATCTACGTGTTTTTTCTCTAGTAGAATAAATAGTGTATTTTTTTTTTAACTTTTATCTTTAAAACTAAATAGAAGAGGAGTAAAATTAAATTTATGTAAGGAAAAATAATATTAACAATGAGAGTCAATCATAATATTGAAATTATGGATTCTAGCGCTGATATTTGGCTGTGCTACGTATATTTTTATATATTATTACTATACATACGTAATAATATATAAAAATAGATACGTAAATATAATATGGATATTTAAAAACAAAAATATATTACATATATTTGAAATTCCAGACTAGACCAGATTATTATTACTATTTTGTAATGCAAAGCGAGGCTTTTGTTAGTGTTAATTTATTTAAAATCTCTACTTGGTCTATAAAAATAGCAAATATTTAATTTTGTAGAATAATATTTAGTATACGTATATCACAGATTTAAAATATACCTGTATTCTTATTTATCACAGTTTTATATATTTTGTTGATATGCATGTATGTACGAGGAGGGCATTTCTTGTAATTCTTATAGGGGAAGGTTAGTTATATTTATCATTAAAAATATTGTTGGGGACGACCATATTGTTTATTGTATTATAGAATACCGATTGACATTTACTACGAGCAATTATAGTTCTATACAGAAGCACAATCAACTAAGACAGTTAGTAATATAAAGATAATAGAAAATAAAAAAAATATTAACAAAAATTACAAGTACAAGTATAAAGTACAAATATATTACATGTACTGATGGTGTGTAATTGATATTATTTTAAATTTTACAGAATTTTATCGCAAATTTACCTTTTATTTATTATGTTTATTACTTTATTTTTTATTTTTACTGTATTTATTTAAAATGTTTTTATAATATATAATGTAATGTAATTATAATATATAATGTTTCGAAGTGGTTACTTCCGCATTCTCAATATACGTTATTGGGTACCAAAACAAAATAGTTACCAAGTTGTCTGTTATCTGTATGAAATTAAACGTAATTAAAGTTATATTAATCCTAATACATTAGTTAGTAAGCCACGACAGAACCTTTTGTATACGATAGAAACAGTCGAGAAACACTTGACAGTAGAGGGCGATATTTTCATGTAAATAGCAATAGTACTAGATAATATATATAATAATATGTTTACGAACTGTCACCATCATCATCATATCAGCCGTTGTTTGTTCTTTATACTCGTCATTTCATCTAGTGGTTTCGTCCTTCACTACGTGTGCCTGTACGCGGTCTCCACTCAAAAACTTTTCTTCGTCATTGCAGTTTGCTTAATAACAAGCTCTTCTTTTACAACTTTAACTAACGCAAAATTAATACGGTATTAAAGAATATCAGATAAATAGATAACCTCTTCTACGAGTTGCTTAAAATAATTTTTATATGCTTATTCGTTCAGCGATACATGTGTTATGACTTATTTGAAACCAAACAGTAGATATAATTTAGAAAAACAAAAAAGTTTCAATAACTTGAAATTGAACTTTCTATATCAAACAATGTACTCGTATTTAGGAAAAATATCTAATTATAACTTGCACGACTTAACTACATGTCAAGGTTGAACTTGCATTAAATAAAATACCAGTTTCATATTATATTGGTATGTATGTGTATACCGACTGGTTTCAATTTTATTACGAAAAACGATCTGGCTATAAGTTTAACTACGTCAGTATAAAAAGATAAAAGGTACAGTACTTAATTACTAGTTACTATTTGTCATTCAAGAAGTAAACTACACAAATAAAATGTATTCTAAAGTAAGTTATTGGAAAATAAGATTATATAGCCATTTCATTAAATATAAAAAAAGAAACTGTGGGCTTTTCTCGTATGAAATAAAATAGAAAACGGATATTAAAAGATACTGTTCATCTGTGCATTAACTTTTACTGAAATCCTTTGAGTCGTTTAGATTTGATGAAGTAACAAATTAACTAGTATTTTTACAAACTTTTAAGCTTAAAATGCCAATAAGATTAAGTTTAAGATTATTACATTGTTTAAATATTCATTATTCTGATTTAATTTTTTAATCCATAATTTTAATAATCAATAAATTTAATAACATAAAAATCAACATCAATCTCGATAAAATTAATCTAAAATTCAGAACATATAAACAAAAATTACAATCAAAATGCAAACCTCTCCTCCTCCTGCTATTTGAATTTAGTTGAAAATGAAATATTTAAAATTGTTTGTATAAAGTGCAATAATTAGTGAAACTTATTTTATTCAGATTTTTGTGGTTGCTGCTCTACTCGTGGCCGCGACGGCACGGCCGCAAGAAAGTCACGGCCACGGTCACGGGCACGCTTACTCGTCGCAGAGTATCGTGCTGCATCAGAGCCACGGTCACGAATCACAGCACGTACCTATACACCATGAAGTGAAGCCTGTTGTGCTCGTCCACCAGCCTGTACAGCATCACGAAACTCCTAAACACGAGGAACACCACGTAGATTATTATGTACGTAAGATTTTATTTATAAATACGTTTAGTAATTTAAATTAATTAATACGTATGAAATTTCTGGTTAAAAGGTGTAATCTTTTTACGTCAAATCGTCAAATTGATTGAGCAGTTAAAGTGTTAAGCTGTAACAAATAGACTTTTACATTTTCATGTAAATTAATACATAAGTAAGGATTAACTACGTATCGAATTAAGGAGAGAGAGTGAGTGAAAAAGTAATGAGTAATTATTCAAATAGATGAAATGTATTATGTCTATATATATTTGTAATTTAGTATTATTACATTTTACTAGGCTATCCCCAAATACACGTACGAGTATAAAATCGAGGACCCGCACACGGGCGACAACAAGTACCAGCACGAGACGCGCGACGGCGACGTCGTCAAGGGCGTGTACAGTCTGCACGAGGCGGACGGCACCATCAGGATCGTCGAGTACACCGCTGACAAGCATAATGGGTATATCTGTAGTCAATAAAATAAGACAAGTAGATGTAGCTGAGCAAAAAAGCAGCGATTTTTATCACGACTAAATTAGTCTGGGTCTAATACGGGAGCATATTCATTCATATCGCAAAGAATCATAAAAAACGGTATTACCTAGACTATATAATCATTTTAGTCGTTAACCGTCCACTGCTGGACATAAGTCTTCTTCATAAGGGGAGTTTTTCTAAAAGTTTCCACGCTTGGGTGGCAGGTTGGCAACCGTAGTTAGGCTTTTAGAGATGTTTTAATAGGGATGCTCATGCTTCTACCATTAAGTTCCTTTAGTCGCTTTTTATGACACCCACGGGAAAAAGGGGTAGCGTATTTTATGTCGGGGCTAGGGGATTATATAATATGGTTCATCAAAGGAGGTGTAGACAAATTTCTTAAAGAGCAACAACGTGCACATGGTACAACTAGTTGTTATATACAGACGACAAAACTTGTTACTATTACACGGACTGCATGCTTGTTTGTATGCCAAATCATTGTCTTAAAATATTGTTAAATTCAGTAACATTAAGAACTGTCTCCTTTTTTTAAATCGGTTAATAAAGTTTAAACATTTTTTCTTTTTATATCATCATCATATCAGCTTTTAATTGCCCACTGCTAAACATAAGCCTTCTCTTTAGGGGAGTTTACCAGTAGTTGCCACGTTTGACAGGTGGATTGGTAACCACAGTTAGGCTTTGGAGATGTTTTAAAACCCTGCTGCCCATTTCTCGCTCTCTCTTAGTCGCTCCTTACGACACCCACGAAAAAGCAAGGGGCCACCCTTATTATTAGGCCATTTTATATACATGCTATAAAAATATTACTTCTTTTTCAGATTCAATGCCATCGTAAGACGAGAAGGTCATGCCAAACACATCGTGCCGGAACATCATCACTAGAAATGTACATAATATTTGTCATCGTTACGCTTTTATGATAATTAATTGTTATTGATTGTTAAGAATTGTACATATTGTTAATTATAGAATAAAAATATATTTTCAAATTGTAACTTCTATCTCCGTAAAACCTCAGAAATAAGTCAGATTTTCAACATTTACAAGTATAACATGATTAGAAGAATTCTATAACAGGATATGTCCACACTTCTTTTAGTAGTAGTAATAACCAATTGCTATAAAACAGAGGTTGCATTTTCTCAAAGACAATAGAAACATTATATAAAACTAACTGCGAGTCAGTTTTATATACTTATTTTTTCTATTGTTACTGTAAATTAGTTACAAAAAGTTAGTTACCGAACTTTCATATGAAAATGAAATAGTAGTCGATTATAAATATACAGTACAATACAATAAATTAAAAATTATTATCCAACCACCTATATTGAAAATTTTGCCCAAAAGACCATTTAAGAATGACAAAAAATTATAAGCCTTGATAGGATGGCCTGCTAAGATAATATAGGAGCTTCAAAAATGTTTTTCTGTATGCAAATAATAGCCACATAATTCCAGAAACCTACGATGGTAATTTTATGCTGGTACAAAGTAAGTACAGTGTAAAAAGACGGAATGATGGTCTCAGAAATGTTATAGGGAATACTTTGAGAAGAAATTTAGGGATCCTAATGGTGGCTGATATATGGGTTGAAGTAATTATGTGATAGAGTAATTTGATGTGAGGAACTTATTCGTAATACTACTCTTTCTTCACCTCTATGTAGATTTAGTTGACCATAATGGTATCAATCTATATAGTAGGCTAATTTATTTTATAATTATATTTATAATTAATTTATAAAATAAAAATTTCAATTTAATATCATAGTGATATCTGTATTATGAGGACCGATATTAATAAAATTTCTAATAAGTTAAAATTATTATAAATTTAGTTCATGATAGACCACAAAACGGGAATGAAAAATGGCGCTTCAGAAACGGCCTCATTGTCTTTATCTAACCTAAAATTATCTAAATAAGTTATTTTGATAAAACTAGAAAGGGTTACCATAATAGATCTATCTTAAGTCAATAAATATTACGTTTAAGAGGATATTTTGGTACACTGATGAGAGAGCAATCCATTAAATCATAGTTCCCTTTTCACACTCTACTAAAACAGAATGCTTTTTAAACTTATTCATGACTAGCAATCTGCTCTGAATTCACACAGGTAGATAGACAGAAAGTTAAATTAGTATTTTGTTTTAGTTTTAATAATTGATACCCCCCATGCGTTGCCATTCCTGAGGACTCAGGTGTTATTCCTCTGTACCAAGTAAATTCACGCCATATCCCACCCTTCAAACCGAAACACAACCATGCAAACTTAATTGCTTTACGGTTGAAACACGAATGGGACAGAGGTAACCAAGCAATCGATTTCTGTACAAAGTCTACCTCTGTTACATTATCATTCAGAAACCACGTAGTTTTATATTAATACTAAATACTTTTATTAGACTACTATTTGTAAAATTTTAATTGGAGAGTAAACAATAAATAAATATAGTCTATGTTACTAACTGATAAAATAGCTATCTATAGGTGAAAGAATTTTTAAAATCGGTTGAATATTTATTAAGTATTATTTATCCATTACAAAAAAAAGAAACAAACATCCAAAAATCATATATTTTGTCTCTATCAACTGACTTTAAAAAGAAGGAGATTCACAATTCGCCTGTATTGTTTTGTTTGTTACCTTAAAACTTTGTTAGTTGTAAATTTATTTGGAAAATTCTCTTTTATCTGAAAGACTAAATAAATATTTTTTCTCCAATTGAAGTTGTTATTTTTTTTTTTTGTCAAACAATCTTAATTATAATATATAATAGGTATAGATTGCTATCAATGAGGATCGATACTATAATAGAATAATTTACTATACTATAATGGACGTTTAAAAGATCTAAAATTAAGTTGTTACTTCTTACTATAATTAATATTCATGAATATTGTCGTATAAAGATTTTTTGAGTTGTTTGATCGAGTACATAATTACTATAAGCAATACATTTAAATGCCACTTAAAATGTTTTCACTTCAATTAGATCTTATATGGGGTTGGTAGATGGAAACTGTAGATTTATGATAATATAATTCATATTATACGCGTATATTATATACAGATTAGTGGCTCGTCTCGGGTTCACTCGGGTACTCGAACTCTAAAACAGCAGATTCAAATATGAAGTTTTAACATAAAAGCTAGTCAGTCAGAACTTATCATTTGCTTTATCATTATTAAGCTGAAATAATGACTATACTTGTGTAGTAAATTGTTTGTACGTAGGAAATGAAAATAAAAAACAATTTTAGAAAATTACAAAAGGTGTTAAGTATATATAAGAAATCAATTAATTTGTAAAAATTGAAATTTAGGCTGACTGTTTTCATGAGAAGTACATAATTCGACATTTAGTATTTAGACTCCTGGATTAAAATTATGAAAAACTTATTTTTGGATATTTTAACTTCTTATTTTATAAAAATTGGAAAGAAACTGTAAGGAGAGAAATTTTTATTTAGGTACATTCTTCTCGTAAAAAGTTCATAAGACTTCAGTGCACCAAGGTTATACGTTACATTACGTAACTGTATTGAATTCATGTGTGAATGAACTAGTTTGGTTTTGGTGTCATATTAAATTATTTCTTTTTATTTTGTGTATAAAAGGGTACTTGCATACAATTAAAATATCAGTTACTGTTTATTCTTTGTAGTGAAAATACATATATTAATAAAATTAAAAATGTATTCTAAGGTAGTAATACGTTTATTTTAATGTGTAAGAAATTCCACAGATACTAATTTCGCTATATTTTATTTACTTACTTAATTTATTTATTTACTTTACCAGAAGGAGACTTTGTATAAAAGTTGTTTGCTTGGGTACCTCTGTCCTATTCGTGGTTCAACCCTGAAACGGTTGTGTTTGCATGGTTGTGTTTCAGTTTAAAGAGTAGGCGTATGGCAGTAAATTTACAGGATATAGAGGCATAATACCTTAGTTCTCAGGAATGGCAACGGATGGGGGATGTCAGGGGCGAAACGGTATACTTTGTTATGTCTATGGTAATACTCATGTCTTAAGCTACGGTTACCACTTTCCATCAGATGGGTTGTCAGCTTGTTTGCCATTCTAGATTGCATAAAAAAAACTTTGTTATTATTTATTGTAGTTCTAAAATATAGTTTAATTGTATTGGTATATAAAGTATCTTTTTGGAAATATATTTTATGATTTATTAGAGTTTAAAATTTTATTTAAACTTATTTAGTTATATAAACATGATTTAGACAAATATCTAAGTTCCAGAGACTTTCACATACCACAATACAAAAACTGGTTAATAATTTCAGGTTTTGCTAGTTGCTGCTATAATTGGTTCTGCTATAGCAAGACCTCAACATGAGCACGGTCATGGTCACGCATACTCGTCGCAGAGTATCGTACTGCACCAGGCCCAAGGTCATGATTCACACCACAGCGTGCCAGTTCACCACGAAGTGAAGCCCGTCGTGCTTGTTCATCAGCCCGTTCACCATCACGAAGCTCCCAAACATGAGGAACATCATGTTGACTATTATGTAAGAATAAATTAGTTTTATAATAATTGTACTGTTTATTTTATAACAACGTAACATTGCTATTTATATAAGATAATGTATAGATGGCTAATTTTATTACTAATGTATCTACAGGCCATCCCTAAATACGCATACGAGTACAAGATCGAGGACCCGCATACGGGCGACAACAAGTACCAGCACGAGACGCGCGACGGCGACGTCGTCAAGGGCGTGTACAGTCTGCATGAAGCGGACGGAACTATCAGGATCGTCGAGTACACAGCTGACAAGCACAGCGGGTAAACATCATCTCAGCCATTATCTGTCCACTGTTGAACATAGGCCTCCCCCATAGACTGCCATAAGGAACGGTTCTGAGCCACCTGCATCCACTGCATTCACTCTACTTATATGACCAGTCCATTGCCACTTCAGCTTGTTTATTCTTTAGGTAATGTCGGTTACTTTAGTTTTTATGCGGATATCCTTGTTTGGGATTCTGTCACTCAAAGAAATTCGTGCAAAGATAGCCCTATTTATAGCTCGCTGAGTAATTAGAAGCTTTTGCATATGGGCAACCATGTAGGGCCATGTTTCGGTTCCATAAGTCATCTCTGGCAACACGCACTTTCGTTTTTAAACTTTGGGAGTAACACAATATCAATTAAATATTGATAACTTATTTAATAATAATATTCATGGGAACATAATAGATTAATAAAATAAAATCAATTAAAATGATTTTAAATTAATTAGTTTAATTTATTATTGTATAATATTAATTACATACTTTTTTACTGTCTTTTCAGATTCAACGCCGTTGTAAAGCGAGAAGGTCATGCCCAACATATTATACCCGTACATCATCACCACCAATAAAACTGCGATACTAATAGACATTTAGGATAATGTTATTATTACTTGTTTTTTTGTTATTGTAAATTTATTTATATGTTAAATAAATATGTTATTCAGAATTCAATATTTTATTAACTTTAATACAAAATATAAGAATTTGTATGAATTATATCATAAAATGATAGAGCACGTAGAAATACTATGCTATTTCTATAGTAGAAATGTGCCTGAGTTTGATTAAATGTTACTAAACTACATATGTACATATATAACTGAAATTATTTAAATGAACTCACATAGATAAAATACTGGTATAAGTTCTATTTGAAATATATTTATTACAGTAAAAATTATTCTGATCTTCATTGCTACTGAACTAAATTAGGATACTTTTTATTGTAATTCTTGTAAAAAAAAAAATAGCAGAATTTGATCAATAAATATATTAAAATTGATATTTGCTATTTTTTTTGTAAATAATCATAGGATAAAAAATGTCCACTTAGAGGATATTTTGAAGAAATTTGATGCGCAGGTTGAGTATCAATCCTTTTTTTTCAAAATAGATTGTGATCTGATTCATCTGATTTAGATGTTCGTTACATGTATATATACAATACATTTAGGAACAGTACGCATCTTATCTTATATTCGCATATGGGATCAGCTAAGCTGTTGCACGTCGACCCATCGGGATCTTTTGTGTTTCTCCCTGCTTTATACCATCATTTCATAGATCCTTTATATTACCTTAACGATAACCCGCGGTTTAAGATATCTGTAGTCCCCTGGCTTTGGATAAGCCGTTCCCAGTAGCCTCATGCGCATGCTCGCTAACGAATCACAGTTGCACATCAAGTGTTCCATGGATTCCGATTTTTCCCCGCACAGTCTGCACAGTGTGTCCGAAGATATACCCATCTTGTGTAGTATATGCCTTATTGGCATATGTCCAGTTAAGGCACCCATAATGAGTCTTACCTGTTGTCTGCCACCGCTGTAGAAAAGTTTATCCCATTCTTCAACATTGTCATTTAAGAACTTTTTAGAATGTTTAAGACCTTTCAAAGTCCTCCATTCCTTTTGCTGTTTTTTCCTCACATACTCCTCAAGGGCAGAGTTAACAACACTTGATGCAAACAGTACGCATAATATGCATTGTTCGCAAATGTATATTACGTTAAAATAAAAAATAAAAAGAAAATCATAGGTGTAACAATAAATCTGAACAAAGATATAATATGAAAGTGAAATGTTTTTTAATGAATAAATTTTTGAAAATTTCATGTATGAATCTTTGTAAGATGAAATATACCTAATACTAATAGTGTTTCTACTATCCCTTTCCTGGGGTCATAAGAAGCGATTAAGACAGGGCGAAGAATGGGTAGCAGCGTCACTCTTAAAATATCTCTAAAGCCTAACTGCGGTATCCAATTTGCCTGCCAAATGTGGTAACTACAGGTAAAACCTCCTAAGGGGAAGGCTTATATTCAGTAGTGGATAATTAAAGGCTGATACGATAATGATGATTATTTCTAATAGAAGCATTTTTAAGAAGAGATTAGGCAAAGTGTACGTATATAAATGTAAGTAAACATATAGGTACTTTGTTTGCGTCTATTTAGAGATAGTCCATAGCATTTTAAGAAATTTATTCAGAGCTTTTATATAAAGGCAGGATCGATTATAAATCGATTCTATTTTTTACATTGATCTTAATTATTGAAACTATAAAAATGACTAAGATTGGAGTTTTAGAAATGTAAAAAACACTAAGATTTTTCTTTAAAACTGATTCATAGATAAAGGATCTGTCCTCTTAAATGATTAAATATGACCTATATAGATTGGCCACTATAAAAAAAAAAAATAAAAAAACAACATTTTAAACTTTAAAATTTTATTGCATGTTTAATGAATTTTAAAAACGGTAGTTAGATAACTTTTTGCTTAAAAAATTTAACTGTCCAATTTAATATACACAAGAGGAGAGTCAATATAATACATTTCGTTATCGTGCTTATATAGCAGATTACTACAAACCATACCTACATTATTTTGTATATTACATACTGTAGAATGGGTTAGAAAAGTTGGAATAACTTTTCGCAGTCAAGTTCAGTAAAATACTTGTGATAGATCTCCAATGTATTTTTTTGTATTAAAATATTATTTTAATACAAAATAATTATTAATATCTTAATACAATATTATTATTTATATCTGACATTTATTTTATACTTTCGTTGTACTAAATTGGTTGAAGTTTGTTTTAGTTGTGTCGTATTTATCCCACTAATATTATAAATGTAACAGTTTGTAAGGATGTTTATATGTCTATAACTCAATTAAAGTAGTATACAAGCTTAACACATAGGATACTCTATATTATACCGATGCACGCGGGTAAAGCCGCTAGAAACAGCTAGTAAATAATAAGTCTAAACTAAAGTACAATTAGTTTTGTTAAAATAAAAGTGAATTCATTTTTAATCAATCCAGATATGATTTCACTGATAATGTAACGAGATCTTATAAGTGGAAATGAATTGTTTTAAATAACATTTGATAATTTTTAAGTGACTTTGAAATAAGAACAGATTTCTTATGATATGATAATGAATAAATGTTCATTTACAAGAAAAATGGTAAATATACAAATAAATAAATAAAAAATAAAAAATAAATGTTACCAATAGGTCTACAGATTTCACCATAATTAGGCATAAAAAATATATAATAGGTATGTTCCTTCAGATTCATGTTAGGCCTATACTTTTGCTGAACGAAAGAGCTATTTTTGTGTGCGGTTCAAAATATTGTTTTTTCGAAGCAGTCTATTTATATCTATTTACTTGATTCTAATATTTTCAATTTAAAATATATTTATGAAACATGCATTCATCAGAAAGATTTATCACTTTGATGTCGATCTTTTTTAAGATAAGCTTACGTGTTAACAAAACGCATATCAAGTTATTACTTTCAAGAAGAAAGGTGGGCGTGACTATAATGGAATGCAATAACGAACTTAGTCAAGGTCGCATACACTTTCATGTCACCCAATTTTTGAGAACTGGTTAGGCTTTTTTTAAAGCAATTAAATTAAATGTAACTATTTATTTTATCACTTAGGTTGTATAAAAAGAACACCAAACAAGTCTATGTTATCAGTTACCATTTACTATTCCAAGTGAATACAACAATTCAATATGCAAGCTAAGGTACTATTTATTGGAATTGTTTTAAATAAATATTTATATCTAAAAGAATAATAAAAAAAGTTTTATAGATACTGAAAATTTTAAAAAGCATTAAATATATAGTTTTAAAAAGTATTAGTTTAGTGGTTTTGTTAAATAATTATATTGAACTTTTGATTACCGAAGCTTATTATTTGAAAATAATAATAAAATTAATAAATTTAATAGCCTATTAAAATATTTCTATTAATTTTACATAATAACATAAAGTTTTTTTTTTTTAATAAAAACATTACCCGTCATACAAGGTCTGTCTAACATAAAACATTGAATTCACTCGTTTAGCAAAGTACAAAATGTTTAAGAAAAGTTTCTTTTTGTATTGTTATATATTAATTATCAAAATTATATTAAGATTTTCAAACAGCCTTCGTCAATTAAGAGAATTAGTTTCAATATTGAGCAGCCTCACAATGCATTTATAATAAGCACATTTATAATTACGAATTTAGAATACATTTTATTTCCGAAATATAGATCGTAATTATTGCTGTTGCTTTTGCTGTCGTCACCGCACGACCACAAGACGGCCATGGTCATGGTCATGCCTATTCATCACAAAGCATCGTGTTGCATCAAAGCGGTCATGAAATTCAGCATGTACCCGTACACCATGAAGTCAAACCTGTTGTGCTTGTTCATCAGCCCGTTCACCATCAGGAAGCTCCCAAACATGAGGAAAATCATGTAGATTACTATGTAAGTATTCATAATTTCTGAGTAAAATAATTGTTACGAATGTTGGTAAGGGGCTTTTAGATAAACACCACAATGGGTACAATAAAAAAATATTTGCTTATATTATATGTCAATTGTTTACTACAGGCCATCCCTAAATACGCATACGAGTACAAGATCGAGGACCCGCACACGGGCGACAACAAGTATCAGCACGAGACGCGCGACGGCGACGTCGTGAAGGGCGTGTACAGTCTGCACGAGCCCGACGGTACTGTCAGGATCGTGGAGTACCACGCTGACAAGCATAACGGGTATATATTTACATATACTTTTTAAGATACTTTTACACTTATTTCGAATTTTTTTAACAGTCTCATTTTTAATTATATTCTTATCAAGTAGACATTTTTCTCCTGAGCCACTATTTTTTAAGTTTAATTATAACACGTACAAATTTAACAAATCAAATTAAAGTTATTGTATATATCTCTAATATTCATATTTTTTGCAAAATAACACAGTATTATATATGGACTTTCATGATTTTTGTTACAATATAATTATTTATCTATACTATTAAAACAGCAGTGCAATTTCTGAAATAAAATATTAATGTTCACAGATGAGCTTAACAGTCAACTCTGTCAATTTACAATATTATAAACTTGAAGGCGAAAATATATTGTTATTTTTACTATTAGAAAAATCTCTGCTAAGGGTTTACAGTAAAAACACTTTACGAAAAAAAGATAACTGATACGGCAATCACATTTGGAAATAATAAATTTGCTCGAAATACTAAGTCAGGATAAATCTTTTAGAAATCATGTAATAGGCTCTTTACAACTTAGAAATAATAATTATTATATGAGTTAATTAATATTAATATATTTTGTTACAGTTTTAACGCAGTCGTGAAACGAGAAGGTCATGCCAAACACATCATTCCTGAACAACATCACATTTAAATTTGATCTTTAGTATAGAAAAACAATTGTTAATTTAAACTCTGTTATGTTTAATGTTGTAAATATACGTAGATAAAATCATTAAAACGCAATAATAAGTAATTAAATATGCTTATTTATTTAAAGTTCCCACTACTATTGTAATAATGAACGTTCGTGTAAATATTTTGATCTTTAGTTAATTACAATAAAATTATTCGAAATTATAATTTTCTAAATTGTAGTTGATGATGATGCAAAAAATGTCCATATAATGAAAATACAAATCGAGTTATAAGCATTTTTATTGATGGTTGTAAAAACTTTATTTATTGTGTTATTTTATTAATTATTAGTAGAATAATTAGTAATTATTCTTAAATATTTCTTTAAGAAAATCGAGTGAATTACTTACTTGATTGTTTGAAAGAGAAATACTCATAACTCAGTTTATACCTTTCATCACTGGACGTTCGCTGCATATGTATGCAGAGATCGTCTAGTAAAGAATTAACTAAAATTAAAAATCTAAACAGAATTTAGTTAGGTTCTGTTAAGACTTTTAATTTTAGATAATATCAATGTAAGTACTAGAACTGAATAAAGAAATAATAGAAACTGTTTAAAGGAAAGTGATATAATCATAATACTACGTTTAAATAATAATAATACATTAAGACAGAATGGCGTAGAAAAATACAACAATATTAATAAAAAAAAAAAGAAATACAATAAAATAATAATTCAGTCTAATGATGATGATGATGTTTATGATGCGGCACTAAATGATGTGTGCCATGCTTGATGGTAGCATGGAATCTGAAAATTAAGACATAATATTTTTTTTTTTATAAAATAATAATATAATATTTTTTTACTAATATTGGTAACATTATCCATACTAATATTATAAATATGAAAGATTTGTTTAATTATTTGTAACGGATAAATTAAAAAAAACTACTCTACTTCGAAAAGTTCACCCTTGCGAAGCCAGGAGGGATCACTAGTAATAAATATCTTAATAACTACAATAAATCATATTTTATGCTAGTTATGTTCCACGAAAAAAAAGTACATAAACTATCCAATGAACTAAATTAAGATAATATATCTTAATTATACATGTGTATTATTTATTTATTCTTTATTGCATTATTTAAACAATAATGCAAACGTAAATATATATTACACTTATGGAGTATAAAAGGCGGTCTTATCTCTACTGAATGTACGTGTGCTAAATTTTATTCAAATCTGTTCAGTAATTTTTGCATGAAAGAGTAAAAAATATCCATCTATCGTTACAAATTTTCTCACTATTAATAATACCAGTATTAATAACATTTTACATTTGATAGACTTTGTACATAAGTTATCGGTATTAGTACCTCTGTCCTACTAATGTTTCCGCCATCATGTAGCATGTACGAGTACATTTCAGTTTGAAAGGCGGTGCATAACTATTCATTTATAGAATATAGGGGCATAATACCTTTATCCCCAGGAATAGCAATGCTTTAGAGATACTTTCTATAAGATAGGCCGTAAGATCGTTTGCAATAAATTTTTTAAAGCAATACTTATGAATTACTTACCCACTATGATGATCACCATGGTAATGAACAGTCATTTCGGAGCCATCAGGTTGCTTCAATGAATAGGAACCGGTTACGTGGTCACCATCACGGGTCTCGTGCTGGCTTTTGTGGTCACCGGTGTGAGGATCCGATACTTTGTATTCAAACTCGTATTTAGGATGTGCCTGAGAAAATATAATGATGTGTGTAAATTAAAAAAAAAGATTTTTGCTCTGATAACAGTAATACTTAGAATTTGCAAGGTACAGAGGAATAACAGTCTTCAGGAATGGCAACGCATGGGAGATGCCATGTCTACAATCGACGGTTACCACTTTTCATCAGGTGGGCCGTCAGCTTGTTTGCCATTCTAAGTTGTACAAAAAACACATGATTTTTGGCATGACCCAAACGATTAAATAACAAAATATGTCACATTATTCTGTCCAACTGTGATTATTGGGCAACTGGTAGGAAAGTTCTTTAAACTGTATGATTACTTTTATATGTCGATACTAGACACATACATATATCTAATATTAATATGTAATATAGAATTAATAATTATTGTTGAAAACCATACCTAAAAGTTAGTTATTGTTTTTAATTTTATTTTTATATTAGTGAGTAGGTGTATATTTAGGTAGGTATTAATAATTTATTACAAGTAATAAATTACTTTTTTGATAGCTTTTTCACATCGTTTGATTTTATGAATTGATTATTTTTTTATTTTAAACTTTTACATTATTTATACATATTTAAATACAACATATATATTGAAACGTCGGCACTATAATCAGGTATGTGGGTACTATTTATTGTCACGTTAAGTCTCGATCCTGAATTTAAATATCAAGATTTTTTTTGTTTTATTACAACTATAGTCGCAGAATCCCTACTAATATAATAAATATGAAAATAAGCTTTTTTTGTTTGTTACCTTATGGGGCTTAATCAATTCCTATGAAATTCGGTATGCATATACTATATGAGATGAAAAAGATATGGGTTATTTTTTATCTCGGTCAGTAAATATATCCCGGTCGTGTGGACTAAGTCAGGGGTAAAAACTACTTATATAAATGTATATAGCTCCAGACGACTAAAAAACCCAAGTCATACCAAATACGTCTCAAAACATATTTTACTTTAAATTACAGTCGAACTTCTGGTTACTTTTTCTTGGTATATTTTTTTAATGTAAGTTACAAATTAATCATCACACTTAAAACAGCACTTACATGGTAGTCATGGTGTTCATGTTCATGGTGACCGTGCTGCTCTGTGTCATGATGGTGTCCGGTATGGTGTGATATATGCTGAGATGAGTATGCGTGTCCATGCCCGTGGTGATGCTCTCCTATTATAACAAATAGTAGTAAAATAATAAATAGCCCTGGATATATCCAATTTGGGACAAGAAATTGCAATTTTTTTTATATTATTAGACTTTTTTCCGACATTTTTAATCTATGAAAAAGATGAACAGTTTTATTGGAGAACACCTTTTAAAAACGTTTTTAATACCTTGCATACTTACCATGTTCTCCATCCTGACTATTCATACCATGATGATGTCCGCCGTGATGTGAGATGTGTTGAGATGAGTACGCATGTTCATGATGACCATGATGGTGACCATGTCCATTGTCAAATCCGTTTCCAAAGCCAAATTGAGCGGCAGCTGCAGCTACTAGAGTAGTAAAATATAACATCTAGAAAAGAAAAGAAATTTAACACTACAGTAAGTATAGTAATAGTAAGTATAGTACATTCATTTTGTAATCAAAAAACTTATCAATTCGACAATATAATATTTACAGATATGGAATCTTGTTAACTGTTACCTTATTAATATTAAAACAATAACTCGTTAATTTGAAAAAAAAATTAACATAAGCCTGCTTTAAAGTATCTAAATTAGTAAGTAAATCTTCTTTCGGATAACTCGATTAGATAGCATTCTCTATTATTACTTTATACTCAGCTGTCCAGGTCGTGGGCGTTCTCATTTCAAGTAGGTGTTCAATCAACAAGTGGTACTTTTAGCATTATTATAAAGTATGTACCGATTTGAGTAGTAGCAAATTTATTTCTAATGAGATCTGGCTAAACTCATTTTCGGATGTATTTTATAACGCATTTCGTGCGATAACTAATAAAATAAATAATTAATATTTGTAGCACAATAATTAGTGTGATAAAATTTTAAAATTTAACATTATGAAGTCTTTAATAATTTAAATATATTATTTATATATTTGTGTAAAAATAATTATAGCTTTTGGGGCGTTTCGTCCTTTTTTTCCATCTTCATTTTTTAATAAGAACTGGCGAAATTATAGATAAAAATATAAGGTCTTTAGAAACTATTATTCTATTTAGCTAACAGAACCTCTTAGTTTATAATATACATATTTACCTTAAAGTTCATTTTAGGAGTGAATTTTTTATTATTATTAAAATATGGATATCAAGGCAGTAAATGGTACACAGTTTGAAACAATACTGATACAAATCTATTAATATGTTCGATTTTTATAGTGACAAGGAAAATTATGATTGATTTCACTTTATATTATACCTATTGGTAGTTAAAAAATAAGTGTACCTAAGCAATTTACAACAATTTCGTAAAACAATTTGTTCGTTATGCGTATATTTATAATTGTGTGATTCGGTTATGATTTCAAGGTAAGTTTTGAATTAAAGAAATAAACTTTTTACTAATACATTTTAAAAGTATAATTAGAAACTATTATGATTATACTAGCTTAAATTAAATTAATTAGATTTAAAATTAAAGTTGTCTTATTTATAAATGTATTCTTTTTATTTATTTAAATTAAATAGAATATAAAAGAAAAGAAATAACAAATGCAAATAAAGAGATTCCGGTTATTTCCAGACAGATATGATATTGAAGACTTCAAGTAAAGAACATAATCCTTTTTAAAAGGCCGGCAACACACTCGCAATATCTCTGATATTGCGGGTGCCCATGAGCGGTAATAATAATTTATCATCAGGTGAGCCATGCTTATTTGTCTCCTATGTAGTAAAAAAGTTATAGTATTAACGTTGTTTTTTAGGCAAGTAGAATGATAAAGAAGCAAACGTAGATATGAACAGCACTATGGACACCACAAAATAGGTCATCATCTATATCTATAGGCATATGATACTCCTCATACATTACCATTCCTGAGAACAAACGTATTGTTATGGATTGCGACTGTGCCTCTGAAATTTTCTATGCAAGTATAATTCATTCTATTCGAAAAAAATCATAGGAACTTAAACAGTAATGTAGCGTTTAAAAAGAAGTTTCTCACTTAAATTAAAAGCAAAGTTAACTAGTTTTACAAATGTTTATTCATGTTCCTGTCCATGTAAGTACTTTTTTGGTTACTAGTTCTCTTTTATATTGTTTTTTACTACTTACTATCGCAGACATAGATAATATCACGGTTTTGAGTCCCGAATCTTGACTAAAGCAAAGTTGCTAAAATAGGTATTGCAAAAACAATTGTATATTGTGCAGGTTTCGGCATAGAATAGGTCACTTCTTTCTTTCCCGTGAGTATCGTAAGAGGTGACTAAGGGAGCTTGTGGAGGAGGGATGGATAGCAGTCTTCCTCTTAAAACATCACCAAAATTTAAACTGCGGTTACAAATCCGCCTGCCAAGATTGGCAACTACTGGCAAAATATTTTAAATACACAATCGAGTATTAATGTGATGAAAAAATCTTTACAGTTAAATAGTATTAATAATAACATTAAAAAAGTATTATTGGCGATGTTTCATATGTACGTATGTAGGTACTACTCGTATTTATTTGCAAAGAATTTTCATCGCGTTAAGTCCCGATTATGTATTTAAATATCTTTTTTATACCACTGAGATGGTAAACAAGCATTCGGCCTATCGAATTCGTAAGCGGTTACCGTAGCCTAGAAAATAATATTTAAAATATGTATAAACAACGCGAAAGTTTACTATTAACTAACTACTGGTAAAATCCCCGTTATGGAACCTGTTTGGCTATGTTCAGCAGTGGACAGTTAACGGCTGATATAATAACCCCTTAAATTTATTGTTATATTTCACTTATAAACTTTAAAAAATAATTTACGTATCACAGTTGTTTCACGGCAGCATTATGAATAGACCAGAGGACTATTCGTGTACCCATTCCGACAACCATTCTATAGTTTCCTTCTGGTATTATTTAGTAATTTGGTATTCAGTAAAAACTATGTATCTATACTAATATATGAGTATAGTATAGTGGAAGAGTTTATGTGTTTAAAAGCGGTAATCACTGGAACTATCAGTCGAAAAACAAAAATTCTTTTTGTAAATGATAGACCATTTTTTGAAGAAGATTATAGGCTATTTAATGTTACGATACGATCACGAGCAACGCCGTTAGATATGGCTAGTCATGATACAAAAATAATTTATAACTTTGGTAAACTTACCAGAGGGAGACTTTGTATAAAAGTCGTTTGCTTGGGCACCTCTGTCCCATTCGCGTTTCTACCATGAAGTAGTTGTGTTTGCATGGCTGTGTTTCAATTTGAAGGGTGGGATATGGTAGTGTATTTACAGGGTACAGATCAATAACACCTGAGTCCTCAGGAACGGCAACGCATGGGGGGTATGATGGGCGAAACAGTTTGTTCTGTGGTGTCCATGGTAGTGTTCACGTCTATAGGTGACGTTTACCACTTTCTATCAGGTGGGCTGCCAGCTTGTTTGGTATTGTAAGTTGCATAAAAAAAAATATCTGCCACGAAAATGCATTACCATTTATGGAGTACTAGTATGGAGTATTTAATGAATGCCCTTTATGTTCTAGGCTTTTATGGTATACTTATTCTTTTTAAAATTTTTGATATATAACCGTCTATAATAGAAATGTGCATTCAGCTAATAAATTTTAGAGAAATAGGAACAAATAAATATAGCTTATAAGAGTATTGAATTAATTATAGCGCCTGACAATATATTTTCCTAACATTAATTTTTCTAAGACTATATTATCATTTTTTTCGATTTACACTAGATAATTATAAGTCTAGTGAGTTTTTAAAATGGACATTTGTAGTTAATTGAGTAATTTTGATTTCTTTTTCATTGACCTTAATTAAAATTACTACAAGCTATTTTAAAATTCTCACTGGTATAAATAACAGAAAATAAAAATTTTATTATGAACTTTCTTTAAATTTGAATAAGTAGAAACCTAATTTCACATAAGTTAATTTTTTTTTATTTTGATGGAATAAAGCTAGGATATCATTCCAAACTCTGTATAATTTATGAAAACCTTATGAATTTTTATATTATTTTGATTTTATGTTTTATTCTAATTCGAAGTAGATAGGTACATCAGTTGTTCTGTTATTACAGTACTTTTACTTTTTCTTCAATTAGTTTTTCGTACATATATTGATATACATACATACTTACTGTGATTCGATATTATGTATGGTATCTATACGTATAAAAGTTTACGATGTAAAATATTAATATTATAACATAAAGATATAGTGCTAAGTGTACTAACACAATGTATATATTATAATATAGTTGTGTCTCGGTTTTCTATTTTGCGTTGACCTATTTTTATGTTATTTATTAGATTGAAGACTTTTAACAAAATAATCAATGTAATGTTCGAATAAATAATATATAGTTACTTATATAAATAATATATACTTATTTATAAAAAATAAACATTAATAAAAAAGGACTCCGAAGAAAATAAGATTTTGTCAGTTTATGGTCGCCATTTTTGTTTCAAACCGTCATTTATATAATATCATACTTATATAATTTAGCACTATTTGTGAAAATACGTCCAACAGTTCACACATATACCTATATTAAAAAAAAACATTATTCTCCTTTCTTCAGATGGGTCATAAATGTAAAAAAAAAAAAACCAACAAATATAAACAGCAATGAAATTTAATAGATTAGATACATTACTACAATCACAGATCATATAAAAGAATTAGTATTTATAGCTAATAGGTCTTAGATTAATTAACAAAATTAATGATGGTGATGATGAGGGACAATATGATGAGTGCTGTGTTTCACGGTAGCGTGGAATCTGAAACAAAGTAATATATTATGCAATAGGTTATACGTATTCAACTAAATCTGTTCATTTGTTTAAGCGTGATTAAATAATCATCATCATCATATTAGTCATTATGTGCCCACTGTTGAACATAGGTCTCCCCCATAGACCTGTATATATATTTTATACAACTTAGAATGGCAAACATGCTAACGGTCCACCTGATGGAAAGTGGTAACCGTCGCCTGTAAACATGAGCAGTACCATGGACATAACAGAGTATACTGTTTCGCCCCTGACATCTCCCATGCGTTGCCATTCCTGAGGACTCAAGTGTTATTCCTCTGTACCCAGTAAATTTACGCCATATCCCACCCTTCAAACCGAAACACAGCCATGCAAACACAGCTGTTTCACGGTTGAAACACGAATGGGACAGAGGTACCCAAGCAATCGACTTTTGTACAAAGTCTTCCTCTGGTAAGATGGATATTCTGGATGGCGATGGAGATTCTGAATATCCGATATGTTTAGCGATAAGGTCATTAACTCACCCGCTGTGCTTGTCGCTGTGGTAGTCAACGTGTCTCTCTGAGCCATCAGGCTCATGTAGAGCGTAGTAGCCAGTCACGTGGTCACCATCTCGTGACTCGTGCTGGCTCTTGTGGTCACCAGTATGAGGATCAGACACTTTGTACTCAAATTCGTATTTAGGATGAGCCTGGAAGGAAATTTCTTTGATCACTTACAATTAAAATAGGACTATATATATAATATAGGATAATATAAATTTGATCGAAGATCCTCTGAACTGTGAAGAGACCAGAGTAAAACTTTGTATAATATTCGTCAGCACTTTATTCAGTGAAAACAACTATCATAAGCCTCTCTTGGGTGTTTTTTCTAGTTGCCAAGCTTGGCAGTTGGATTGGAAACCGCAGTTAGGCTTTAGAGACGTTTTAAGAAGGACGCTGCTGTCTATCCCTCGCCCTTCCTTAGTCGCCTCTTACGACACCCGCGGAAAAGAGAGGAGTGGCCTATTCTATGCCAGGACCACACGAATGCCAACGAAAAACAGCTGCACTAGAATGCCAGAGCATATTTCCGACACCAAGTATGGTGTTTGCATGGTCGTATTTTGGTTTGGAGAATTATCGTGCTTAGTTTACACGTTAGAAATGGCATAAAAGACACCGTGGATAACACTATGTATTATATGATATCCATGGTACTATTTGGGACCATAGGGGATCGCTACCACTTTTCATCAGATCGTCAGCTTATCTGCCCTTTCAAATTGCATAAAAGCGAAATAGAATACGTACATAGTAGTCAACGTGATGATGTCCATGGTCATGCCCATGTTCATGATGTCCGTGGATAGTCACTGGTTGAGCATGACCGTCATGTCGCGAAATATGCTGAGATGAGTAAGCGTGGTGACCGTGTTCGTGGTCGTATTGAGCAGCTGTAACAGCTACCATCGCGATGAGGCACAACACCTACAATAAAATTACTTAGATATATATTACTTAAAACATTATAAATTCACATGGTATGCCATGGTGAAGTTATGGTCGAAGTGTCGCTTCGTATTATACCCATAAATCAATAAAGTGACACTATAATTAGAAGCAATAATAATAACAATAATTATTTAAACTGATTATGATGTTTTTTTAGTAATATTTTAAAACAAGTCTTTAATAACAAAATTTAAATAGGTAATAAAGCCCCTTAAAATTGTTCATAATTCTGTTACGTGTATTCACAAATTCTTATTTATGAAATGTGATAAAATTTGACCAAATAAACAATATCTTGAATATTGAAAAGAATTTTGGTTGTTAAATTTAATAAAAACATGTTATTAATATCTCGGTAAGTATATAAAAACTTCAGATTTTTATTCCTTGTATCCCTGAGTAATAACAATACGTATTTACCTTAGAGAACATTTTCGTTGTTTAGATGTCGACTTGGGCCAACCAACTGATACATTTTGGTTAAAAACCACCGCTTATATATCAATAATAGGGGTAGTGAACGCAACGTAGTTCAATTTATATTATTAGCAATTAAAAATTATTCACGTTAAGTATGCAGCGCTTGCAATAATTTCGTAAAAACGTTGGCTCGACATGCTATAGTCTCTATCATGTGACATTGCAACAGTTAATTACTTTTCACAACACAAGCTTGGTTTTATCCTGATCACAATTATATCTTATAAAACTAATCAAACTTTGTACGTGCTTGGGTAATGTTTTAATATTATTATAATGTACTTATATACTTCTATACATATACTAACCTGTCTTATTTAAACTAAAGTGAGTTTTATTTTATTAGTCTTACTCTTGGTGCATAAAATGCTCAAACATTAATTGTCATAAATATTGGGATTTTTTCTGACTTTTGTCCCTGTCAATCAATATACTCAGGCCGTGCCGGCGAAGTTGCGGGTTGATTAGTCTACCTGTAAATTTGAACCTCAGCTAATAAACATGCAGATAAAGCTAGTTTTTTTTTTTTTTTTTACAACACAGGGGGCAAACGAGCATGCGGCTCACCTGATGGTAAGTGACTACCGCCGCCCATGATCACCCACAACACCAGCGGCATTGCAGGTGTGCTGCCGGCCTTTTAAAAAGGAATATACTCTTTTCTTGAAGGTTATGTTGTCGTATCGGTTCGGAAATACTGCTGCTGGAAGTTGATTCCAAAGAATGGTTGTGCGTGGAAGAAAGTGCCTTGAAAAACGCACGGTGGAAGACCGCCACTCGTCTAGATGATTGGGATGAAACTTTAGTTTGTGGCGGGTTGTACGGTGGTGAAAATCAGCAGCAGGTATCAATCCGAACAATTCCTCAGAACACTCCCCATGATAAATTCGGTAGAAGATGCACAGAGATGCAACATCTCTGCGCAGTTTCAGTGGATCAAGCCGGACAGTAAGGCGTTGACTATCGATAATTCGAGCCGCCCGACTCTGAATGCGGTCTAACGGAAGGAGTTGGTACTGTGGCGCTCCTGCCCACAGGTGAGAACAGTATTCCATATGCGGCCTGACTTGGGCTTTATATAATTTCAGGCGGTGTTCTGGCATGAAATATCGTCTCACCCTATTGAGCACTCCTAACTTTTTGGAAGCTATCTTAGCCTTCTCCTCCAGATGACCGCAAAACTGGACGTCGCAAGATATATCAACGCCCAGAATTCCTAGACTCGACTTTTTATCAAGGGAAGTGCCCTGAAAGTGAGGAGATACGACAAACGGCGTCTTTTTTGCGGTAAACGCGCAGACTTGTGTCTTTTTGGGGTTAAATTGGACAAGATTTTGTTCACCCCAGATCGAAACTTGATGGAGTGAAGTTTCGATTTCAGACACAAGTCTATTCCGGCACTCATCGGTATGTGCCCGCGAGATCTTTGCATGACCGGTATATAATGTATCTCCTGTACTGTCGTCTGCATAGCAATGAATATTACTTATCTGTAATATCATTGATATGCAGAAGAAACAGAGTCGGAGATAGTACACAGCCTTGCGGGACACCAGCATTCAAAGGTTTTAAATCAGAGCATGCTCCGTCGACTACGACCTTAATGCTACGTTCCTTGAGAAAACTGGCGACCCAAATGCACAGTCTCGCAGGCAACCCAAATGAAGGTAGCTTTGAAAGCAGCGCTCTATGCCACACCCGATCAAAGGCCTTCGCGATATCCAGACTAACTGCTAAGGCCTCTCCCTTACTCTCGATTGCCACTGCCCATCGGTGTGTTAAGTAAGCTAAAAGATCACCAGCCGAACGTCCCTGTCGAAAGCCGTACTGGCGATCACAGATCAGCTGGTGCTCTTCTAGGTACCGGAGCAGTTGACGGTTAATGATGGATTCCATAACCTTCGAGAATAAGGAAGTGATAGCTATGGGCCTATAGTTAGCTGGATCTGAGCGATCTCCCTTTTTAGGGATCGGATGCACCAGAGCAGTCTTCCAAAACTTTGGGACTATGCCCGATGAGTAGCTAAGCCGGAAAAGACGCGTAAGAACCGGAGCCAACTCTGGTGCGCACGTCCTAAGCACAATTGGAGGAATACCATCGGGCCCACTCGACTTATGGATTTCGAGGGAGAAAAGTGCTCTACGCACTGAGCTATGCGTGAATTTAATGTCAGGCATAGAGCTCCTACAACACGTGATGGTCGGTGGTGATTTCTCCCCGTCATCCAATGTCGAGTTTGACGCAAAGATGGATCCAAGAAGATCGGCCTTTTCCTTAGCGTTCTGGGCCAACGAGTCATCCTCCCTGCGCAATGGTGGAAAAGATGACTTACAGAAATTCCCTTGTGCAGCTTTGGCAAGAGACCAGAAAGCTCGAGTTCCAGAGGGCAAACTAGCCAATCTCTTGCCAATTCTACTAATATGCTCTGACTTCGCTGTGGCTATAACTCTTTTGAAAGACCTAGAGGCAGAGTTATACTTCTTTTTAAGAGCACTGGTGTTAGGATCTCGCGACGCCACACCTTTAGCCCAGGTTAGGAAGCACTCCTGTTTCAGACGAGATGCTGTTCTACAAGAGGCTCCATACCAGGGCTGGGATTTCCCGCCGACGGGCACCACAGAGTTAGGAATAAATAATTCCATTCCCTGAAGCACCACATCAGCAATGGAATCGGCAATGGCGTCGGGATCATCCAGTGTGAAGCAAACCTGCCTCCATGGGTAAGATGCGAAAAAAATCCGCATCTTATCCCAGTCTGCTGACCTGTAGTGCCAAACACGACGTCTACCCGTGGAACGTGGTGGAATCGGACTCATGAGAGGCACCTCGCTCCGCACCAGACTGTGATCCGACGATCCAAGCGGAGCTTCGACGGAAATCACATAGTTGTCTGGGTGGGTGGTCAGCAGAAGGTCCAACAGTGAAGGTGAATGGTCCAACACATCAGGTATTCGCGTAGGCGAGGAAACAAGCTGCGTCAGACCATAAGCCAAAGCAAAGTCATGAACAGATCTTCCCGCATAGTCGGTTGTACGTGAACCAAGCCATTCGGTATGGTGGGCATTAAAATCGCCAAGAATCACGACTTCAGCGGAAGGAATCTGTTCGAGCAGGGAATCTGTAGCCATTTGGACGTGCTCAATGAGTTGGTCGGTTTCGATGTTACCGCTGTAGGACCTGTATAGGCATGCATAGACGCGAGGATGGTCATTGCAGTCTACGCGCAGCCATAAAATAGACAGGTCCGTACCTTCAAGAGTTCCAAGGCGGCGACAGCAGATATCCTCTCTGACATACGCGCATACACCGGCACGCGAAACAAAACAATGTTCAAGTTTATAGCCCGGGTACGTCAGGTATGAAGTTTCGTTTGGAGAGGATATCTGTGTCTCCGTTAGAAAGAGCAATGCCGGCCGCGCCGTTTCTAGGTGGTGGTGGACAGCGTTTAGGTTAGAATGTAATCCCCTGATATTGCAGAAGCTCACATTGAGCGAAGGGGATGCCGTAGAAATCTTGCTCCGTTTGCCCTTGGTTCCAAAGAGCGGAATTTTGCCCCCCCCAGAATACGCAGGGCAGCCCGAGCGTGGTTGCTCGAGAGAGGATTCTCCAGCAACATGGTTACTGGTACCTCCCTGGGGTATGTTATTTTTTTTTAATTCCACTGCCATGGTTGCGTGTTGTAAGATAGGGGGACGGGGTTGGGGAAAGGATTTTAGGAATAGGAAAGGGATGGGTATGGGATGGGTATGGGATGGGCCTCCGGACTCCCTCACTCACCATACGGAATGTGATCGCACTGAAAGTGCAACCACTTAGCGTCGGTATTCTGTGAGGGTGTGGTACTTCCCCGGTCGAGCCGGCCCATTCATGCTGCAATATCATATGGTATTACAGCGTGGCTCTACCACCTGAAAAGTGGTAGAGCCACGCTGTAATACCATATCTATCTAATCTACATCTAGTTCTCTGATATCATATGGATGTACTTCATAATTAATTATCATTTCAGCCATTATCCATTATCCAATACTGAACATAGGCCTCCCCCATAGAATGCTATATAGAACGGGAGCGTTGCTTATGACAATTTACCATTGGGGGAATTTTGCCAAAACTTGCCATGCTTGGCAGGCGGATTGGTGACCGCAGTCCTCTTAGTTGCCTCTTACGACACCCACAGTAAAAAAAGGGATGGCTTATTCTATGCCGCGATCACACGGCAACGGACGACACGCATGCACTTAATCCTCAGGAATGGCAACACGTGAAGGGTATCATGGGCGAGTCAGTATACTCTATTATGCCCATGGCACTGTTCATGTCTATAGGCGATGGTTACCAATTTTCATCAAGTGGGCCGTCAGTTTGTTTGCTATTCTATGTAGCATACAAAATACGGACGCTCAAACAGACATAAATAATTTAAGTGTTTTGTCTTTTATTTTGACTATTTTACTAGTTTATTTTAAATAAAATGTATATGCCAAATCAAAATATATAATAAGTATTTATTGACTTATTACTGTTGTGGATAATAAAACCATCGACACGACTACGTTTCATCGAGTACAATTATTTGAATCCAACCTGATCGCAGTCATAATTCATCTTGATTAATGTAAAACCTATTTAAGGTTGTAAATGTACCTATATATAACATATAGGGTAAATATTTAGCATAGGTATTTATTATTTTATCTGTCTCTAATCTATTATGAATTTAAAATTTTAATCACTCACGTTAAAGTAACCAATTTATTCAGATAAAATATATTATTCTCTGTTATGATAATTATGTGCCTAATTATTTTGGTTTTCAAGTTTCAACATTTTGAATGAATAAATAAATAAATAAATGGATGAAAATTAATGTTCTTCTCAAAGAAAGATAAAGATTACATAAGTAAGCAATAAGTACACAAAAAATCTTAGTCAAAATTTATTTGCTAAAATATTTTATTTATGGTATGTACAGGTATATGAGTATATACATATAGTATATTAGTATATCAGTTTAAAGGGTTAATTCCCTATCTTCCATGTAGATGTCGTCTTATATCAGGATAGAATATACCATATCTTTGAAGTTGGAGCGCTCCATATTCATTTATAAAATTTTAATAAAAATGTTGCGGTTTCGGAGGTTAGAGTGAACGAACATCGTAATACAAGATTTTTATGTATTAAAATTTATTATAAAAATAACCTGATTAAAATATATATTTATATTATTCATTATAATATTTTTCTATTAATTGTGGTAATAACGTTCTGAAAGGTTTTCCGCTTTTAAGCTATTAAAAATTCATTTAAAGATTTGTTGTATTTCGTGCAATTAATTAAAGAATATAATAACTGCATGGGCATGCCTTTTAATTATGAAGTTAGATTTTTAGTAAATTGTTCTTTATTAGTGACTGCTTTTGAGTCTTGACGATGTTCTTTGATTACAATTGTGTTTAATATTTAGTATACAGGTATTGGATAATATTATAGATGACTTCGTACGTATGAATTTCAGAAGTACGAAAACCAATAGGTCACTTCTAGATTGTGTATTAAGGTAAAACATACTTCAGTTGTTAAGTTAGACTTTCAGGAGTACAACTACGAGAAACGCATTTAATTTCGTGTGGTAGTATTTTCGTGATATGAAAACAAACATTAATACAGGTAGACAGACAAACAGACAGACAGAATTCCTTTAATTATTGTTTTGGTTTCTATTGCTCTTATTAAGATCATTTGTATCAATTAATCTTAAATGTACAGACATCGTCTAGTTACAGTTTTATCATATTAGTGAGATAAGATAATAATTTATTTATTTTTTAACTTTTCTGTCATATGGATTAATACGATACATATTTTGTTCTCATACAAAGCCTAAAAGGTTTTAGAGGTTTTAGACTAGAGGTTTTTATCACTCAGAAACTCTTTTACATTAGAAGAGGCCTTATTTGTAGAAGCTTTTTTAATAATCTAACAAATTAAATTTATTTTATTTTTTTATATATGATGATGTAGTTTATTATAAATTAATAATTTTCTGTTGTAATACTCAAACAATATAAAGTGTTAATATATTTCTATAAAACTTTATATACAACGTTTTACTGTATAAATTTATTATTACATTTCTTATCTAATGAGAGGGATTACAAGATGTTATATTCATGTTGATGATGGTGTTACATAAATCTTTGCAAGATATCTGTAAGAGATGGACTGTAATGTTATAACAGGATTTTGTCATTTCATATACGAGTAGATAATATTTTTAATATGCAATAAAATTTTATTGTTATTCTATTATTCTAATGTAAATTTAAATTATTAACTTATAATAAAATTATATAAGTTAATAATTTATTTATTTAGAACTAATATAAAGTTAAATCCTTACAATAAAAAAAGAATTAGAAAAATCGGTTTAGATCTTAATATGATATCGGATAATATACTGCTGCTATTAAATTGAAAATTTGCTCTTTTTTAAAATCGGTTGAAGAAAACAATATATTTTACTGAATAGAGTTTATTAGTGCATATAAAATAAGATCACAGTAAAATAGCTATAACATAGTTTAGCTTAGGCTACAATCAGTCAATAGAGTATTGCAATTTAATGATGATGATGATGTACAGGTACGATGTGATGCGTTTCGTGCTTGACGGTAGCGTGGAAACTGAAAATGAAAGAAAATTAAAATATAAAAACTTTTTCTTTAGTATTTATGACTGTGGCTGTGATATCACGTTACTATAAGTAAAATAACCGACGTTATATGCTGTGGGGAACAACTATATAATTCTATAATAAAAATAACTGTTATAATACTAAACTTATCTTTCTGACTGTTTCTATTAATTAAAAAAGTTTTGCTGTGAGTTGATAGATCAGTCTTACAAATATCTACATTGAATAGTTATATAATATTAAGATTTATTAGAAAAAAAAAACGAACCCGCTGTGCTTATCGCCGTGGTAGTGAACAATCCTCTCAGAGCCATCAGGCTCGTGGAGCGAGTAGTAACCAGTTACGTGGTCACCATCGCGGGACTCGTGCTGGCTCTTGTGGTCGCCGGTGTGATGGTCAGACACTTTGTATTCGAACTCGTATTTTGGATGAGCCTGGGGGAAATTAAAATTTATTAAATAATTGTATATTATCAATAATATAACAATATAGTAAACAAGTAACTATTTTGAATAATATATGAACCACAGGGACTTGTTGTAACAAGCATTCAGGTAGTACGTTTTAATGTTGTGTTCAAAAAACGCCATTAAATATCATATAAATAAAAAAATAAAAATAAAAAAAAATTCTATAATGATTTCAGTCATGATATCTTCGCCAATTTTGAATTGATTGTTCTTAGTGTAATCAATATAATTTATTTTTGTATTAATCTCATATATATTTTATCGTGACCAAAGCAGTCATTTGTTTTGCTTAATTGTTTAACGATGCGTGTGATGCGTCATTTGCCTTCTACAAGCACCTGTTATGACTTTATTTGAGGTAATAAACTCACATAATAGTCAACATGATGCCCATGATCATGTCCGTGACCACCCTCATGTCCGTGAACAGACACAACGTGGTCAGGTCCATCGTGACGAGAGATGTGTTGAGATGAGTATGCGTGGCCATGCCCGTGGTCACCGTACTGGGCTGCCACGGCGGCAACAACGAGAGCGAAGCAGATCACCTGAGACAATTAGATAATATAATATTAAAGAATGAATGAATGATTAATTTTTTTCTTCACAAAATTATAATTATGAGGGATAAACCACGATATTACTTTGCGCCCTGGAATAGAAAACAAGTTGATTGCTGATATAATGGAATGCAGTAATATCAAATAATATTAATGTTATTGTACCGCCTATACCAGTGTCTTCAGTTGTAGCAATAGTTTCAAGTTTTGCTGCATCTGAAAACTCTAGTACATAGTCTACTAGTCTTAGGATTTTAGTATTTATTTATTTATTACTATTATTGCGTTGTACATTGTGATGTATAAGAGTTAACACTGGCAAATATCCTTTTACCCTTCAAATCAAAATAAGACCTTGCACTCATTATTATTTCACAGGACAATATAGATAGTAATATAGCTCTTCACATTATCTACACCGTCGAAGCACATTGAATTTATAAAATTTTTTAAATTCTGATTTATTTTATGCATATTAATTAGTAATTAATAAAAGTAATTATACCTTGCTGAACATTTTTTTGTGGTTTCTTGTGCTGTTATCTGAGCTTAGTAGCCAACTGATACGTGCTGATTGGAAACCACGACTTATATATCGATAACAAGGGTAGCCAATGCAATATAATGCACTCTAAATTATTGGCAATTAAGAATAATTCGCGGCTGGTAGGTATGCGGTGTTTGTAATAATTTCGTAAAACTTTGCTCGACATGGTGCTGGTATGACATTGCTAATACTAATTATAGAGAAAACGATAGCGATAACGACCTTTTTGGTAAAAAAAAAAAGATAAAAAGTAATGTGGTATGAGATAAAAGATAAAAGTAGAAAGGTGATCCTATACCGTTATTCTTATGGGGCTTGTTCCGTGGATATTACGATAGATCTATCATATCCATATTACAGATGTCTATAATTTGCGATTTTTTATGTACATTTTAATGTAAATCATTTCTCGTGTTGTGACTTCTTGATGAAACCATATTATATCAAATATATAATATTATTTAATTTGTTTTAATTTTTATTAATACGCCTGAAGATAAATTTTTGAAAGTAGCTTGTGTAAACAATTAAAACGTTGTAATGAAGATAATGGAATAATGTACAAGTATTTTAAATAATTATAATGTTATTTAATATACTTGTAATTGATATTTACCTTCATATTTCTGTCCTGTATCATATATTTATATACTATCTGTATCCTGGGGCATCACTCGCGTGAATCAGTAAATAATTATATTCTGTATAAACAGTATTCTGTTCTGAGATAAGATTAGGATTCTATTGTGTACCAAAATTTCATTCAAACCTGTTCAGTAGTTTTTGCCTGAAACTGTAACAAACATGATATCCATCCATTCATTTATACACAATACATACTTTCGCATTTATAATATTAATAGGATTACGTATAGATGCTTCTATAAGATGACGATAAACTAATTAACGTCACGATACTCATACCTACAAAGTTAATTAAGCAGAACTCCTCATATATTATTACAGTTAGAACGAGGTCATAATGTTGATTGAGGAAGAATAGATCGATTTCAAGATTGTTAATACGCTGTTTAATAAGTGTGCAGATTATTTACTAATTGTGGCGCCTTAATAAGGATTCAAATTAAAAAAATCAACTGTTTCAAATGCAGTTATTCGTTAATTAGAATCTATTCGTTAGTAATCTTTATAAGTAATAGTCACTTCTTATGTGATATATTGATAACAAAGCCATGGATTTGAATGTGGAAGAGCGAGAATACGTGATACAGGCATACCTAATACGTGCTTTTAGCTTTATATTGTAAAGCTGAATGTTTTTAAACAAATAAACATTTTTATTTTTTACTTTCACTTGTACATATTGTTTACGACGACGTTGCAGACGTATTAAACACATTTTAAAACCTATTGAATTAGTACATGTTTTTATTTACAAAGATGAATTTCAAGTTTCACCATATTCCAACAATCTTTGTCTTAAATATACATATCTCTCCAGTTTTGATCGGACTTATCACATTTGCATAATGAAATAAAATCTATTTGTTTTTATTTTCTCTTTTTATATATATATATATATATATATATATATATATATATATATATATATATATATATATATATATATATAATATTTTATTTTATTTATATGTGTATCATATATGTTATATTAATTGTTTTCCTTTTTAATGGGTGACGAAGGACTGGTAACTCCGTCTGCGCTATCGGTATACGAGGTCTGTCCGGAAAGTTCGTATAAAAGTGTTCTGGAATGCGAGAAAGAGGAGTGGGGAGGCCAGGTAAGCGCAGGACCCCTTCCTTATGTCCCTAACAATGCTTCAGTTCTGGTCTGACCGCCGTACTGGCTTGTCACGCCATCTGTGAAGTTACCTCTTAACGAAACCCCGTCGGCATGGAGCCCGCTTCCGTTGAAGAGAGAGCGCGTCGTAATCAAGTTTCTCTCGAAACTCGGCAAGAATGGCCGTGAAAGCAAAGAGTGGAAGACATCCGGGGAACCACGAACAAAAAAATCAAGAAAATCCCGCTCAAATGTCAAGACAATGTTGATTGTTTTTTTCGATGTTCGGGGGATTGTCCATCAAGAATTCGTCCCTCCAGGCCAGACAGTTGATGGAAAATTCTACGTCGATGTGCTCAGACGCCTCAAAGCTCGTGTGGCACGAGTTCGTCCAGAATTAGGGGCGTTGGATTCTTCACCACGACAATGTGCCCACACCTCTCTTGTTGTCCGTGAGTTTTTGAGTAAAAATTCCATTACGGTGACCGAACACCCCCCCCTATTCGCCGGATTTGGCCCCGTGTGACTTCTTCTTGTTCCCAAAAACCAAATTGGTACTTCGGGGGCGGCATTTGGGGGACATAAATGAGATAAAAAAAGCTACGACGGGGCAGCTGAGAAACCTACAACCAGAGGACTTTCAAGGAGCCTTCTCACAGTGGAAACGGCGTTGGCACAAGTGCATTATGTCACAGGGGGAGTACTTTGAAGGGGATAAAATTGATTTACCTGAATAATTGTAAAATAAAATTTTTAAAAAACTTTTATACGTACTTTCCGGACAAACCTCGTATGCTGGCGGGGCATCAGTGAGATATGACAGGTAGAATGAAAACAAGTCACAAGAACTTTTCTTCCCTATCAGTTATCGGTTCTTCGAGTTAAATGATCAGTAAATGGAATTCTATAATGAGTGAATAGCAAGCAATTACCTTCTATTTATTGTCACTTACAAATATTCATTTATAAATAATTTTAAAATAAATAAAATAAAATAAATAAATCCAAATTCAAATCGATCAGATCATTACTAAAATAAAATAAATAATTTTTTGTAAATAATATATATATATATATATATATATATATATATATATATATATATATATATATATATATATATATATATATATATATATTTGAAAACAACATATAATATGTTGTAAGAGTGCAAATATATTCATGAAACATGAATATATTTGCACCCTTCGAAATAACTATCACAGTATAGGTGTAATAACCGTAATTTTTTCAGTCAAGATATTGTTAGATTCATAAAAAATCTGATGGACTTATACAAAAAAATATTTTTCATTTCGTTATTTCAAGCAATGGCAGACTTTTCGATACAACGATCTATATATACAATTTTTTTCAAACACTGAATCCTTTATAATGATTTTTTGCAATCAATAAAAAATATTTAAAAAAAATTTATAATAATAATTAGTGTATTTTTTCACGGAAAGTCTTGATTATTTATTTTAATGTAATTTTCATTAAATTTTGTATAAATGACAATAGGAAAAGATAAGAAGGACTTGGAGGGAAAGTTAATAAAACAAATTTCATTCACAGGTTTTTTTTTTTATTTTAAGATATAATAACAAAATATTTTAAAAAGCTTACCTGAGCCAGCATTCATTCATACCAACTAAATAAGGAAAAAAAATTAGTATTTTATTTAACTGTAGTGATAGATGAAGTCTATTTTAAGCATGAATAATAAACAAATAGTCATTATTTGTTAGTAATAGCGTTTAGACAATATGGGCTTATCAGATTGTTTCTCATACGGTCCCTTCTAATAGCCATCGTGGTTAAATCTGTTGAATTCGTGAAAAATAAGTCAACCAACTAGCCTTCATCACCTTACTTAACATCTCTCACTTTTACCTTGTAAACATGTATAGTCTCTTTGTTATCAATGTTGTAAATTTTTTATATAATTATATTTAAAATAGGAGAAATATATATCTGTTAGTTGGCAAGATAAAGTATACTAAATGTTAAATAAAAATATGATCTACTTGTATATCAAATTTTATTCATATCATTTTAGCCTTCAGTTCAGCTTTTTGATACTAAATTAACTTTATATCACGTGACTTCGCCTGCATGAAATGAAATAAATAGTGTATATTTATTATTCTGGGACATAATCTATTGTACTCTATTCTCTATATGTAATGTACTAAATTACCTTCAGATATTTAGTTGTTTAAATGTAATTGAGTATCAAATATTCATACATTCTATCATTTTTATAAACATTCATATTTATTTGTCCATTTAATTTATAATATTACTGTGTTTAAGTAAAATATTTGAAACAATTATCACTGATTCTTTTCAACTAAACAATCTGGGTTCAATTACAGGGCACAGAAGCATAATAATTTAGTCATCATGAATATCAAAGGTCTTACTTAAAGTTAAGGAAAAGAGACAGATTATAAAAATTATTGAAGTCAGAAGGGAAAAATGTTGGGACACTTGATACGACACGACGAACTTATGAACATTTAATAGAAGGTAAGATAGAAGGAAGGAGGGGAAGAGGGAGACCAAGGCATAGTTACATCAGGCAGATCAAGGAAAAAGTTGGTGTCGTGTCGTATCAAGAGGTGAAGAGGCTCGCAGAAAATCGTAGTGAGTGACAAGAGCCCCACCGACAAGAATTAGCTCTTAAATGAGATAGATAAATAGAATGGCAATGCATGAGCGTTATCATGGATATAGTGCCGTTCACAGGTGTTTTAAATTTACGATTGGGACTATACGCGACACGATTACAGGTAGACAGTACCTGCATACCTAATTTTTATTACAGACGTTATTTAAAATATATGTGAATAACGCGAAGGGTTAAAATTATCTATATATGATGATTACCAATTTTTATCAGGTAGGCCGTTATTGTATAAAAATATACGGTTTTTTAAATCGTTATTTGACATAATAAACGGATGGATATGAAATCGCTTATAGAATAAAATATGACTATACGGTATCTGTAGTTATGACATATTTAAAAAAAAATGGATATGAAAGGACTGAATAAAAGCAATAGAAGCGAAACCAATAATTTTCAGAATTTTATCTCTTTGTTTGTTCCAGCATCACGGACAAATTACTGCACTAAATTTAATGCAGTTTTCTTCCTGAATACAGTCGTATTCTTGAAAGTCTAACATAAAATATGATGTATTTTTACCTCGATACATTATCTAGAAGCGGTTACCCATTTTTTAAATCCACGCATATGAAGTTGCGGGCAAAGGCAAATAATAGAGATATAAAATACAACTTTAATATTGTTTATTAAGGTACAAAATAGATTAAAAAATCATTCAACAAATTATTATTAAGATCACAGTGAAGCTCAGGTCTAAAACCCATTTCCAGGCTTAGTAATGATGGTGATGATGATGGGGCACAATGTGATGAGTTTCGTGTTTGACGGTCGCGTGGAAACTGTAAACATAAAATAATAATATCAATTTCTGTATAAACGACACCAAAGATTATGTGTGTTCAAACCGACTTCAATTGTGACAATACCAGTTATTTAAAAAATGAAACTACTAAACAGATTTTGATAACATTTCAATGGAATCAACCTGTAAGTATATTCTTTCAGATTAAAAAAAAATGTTCAAAACGATTTAAAACTGATGGAGTTATGAGGTAAATAGAAAATACAAGTGAATTAAGAATCTCAATTTTGAAGTCGGTTTAAAACTCTTACATTATACAAACAATATTCAAATATATAAATATTTGTATTATATAGTTATCATCATGGAAAAAGTATTAATATTTCGTAAATAAAATGAAATTTACCCGCTGTGCTTATCACCGTGGTAGTGGACGATTCTCTCAGAGCCATCGGGCTCGTGGAGCGAGTAGTAACCAGTCACGTGGTCACCATCGCGGGACTCGTGCTGGCTCTTGTGGTCGCCGGTGTGAGGGTCCGATACTTTGTACTCGAAGTCGTATTTGGGGTAAGCCTGTACAAAAATAGAGAGATAGTATATTGCCTATTCTTATCATATCATGTTAATAATATTATATATAAATAGAATGGTAATTCTAAGTTGCAAAAAATATATTCATTTCTTATATTCATTTTAAATTATGTGTTTTTTTTTTAGTGAAAGAAAGTGGAATAGTAGCTCCATCTGCGCTATTGTTTTACGTTGGCGGGATATTAGATAGAGATGATATAGATATAAGAATACATTATGAAATGTGAAACTGACATTCATAGTTGAAAAATATATTCGACATCATGCAATAAACAGAACATATATTTATAAATTTTCATGGTATAATATTTTATTAGTATCGGATTTTTTATAATATTAACCCATTCTCACATCTACTGCAAGTATATTAGCCTATATTCATGCTCTATGGGCATGGGTATGGAGTTTTATTTACAGTGTTTTGGAGGTTTGGATTATGCTTTATTCCTTTTTACTCTTACAATAAACTGGGGATGTTTTCTTTATGCAACTTAGAATGGTAAACAAACCAAAACACAAGCATGCAAACACAAGTGCTTCACGATAGAAACACGAATGGGACAGAGGTACCCAAGCAAACGACTTTTGTACAAAGTCTGTCTTTCGTAAATTATATTATTCGTTCCCATACAAAGGCCGTGTAGATATATACACATTACAATTATTAATTTCTACTAAATCAAGAAAGGTACATCTGTATTACGTAACAACAATAATTTAGTAACGAGTCCGATAATCATCTTACGTAGTAATCGACGTGGTCATGATGACCGTGACCGTGACCATGGTCATGACCATGACCGTGGACGTGCACAACATGTGCGGGCCCATCGTGCCGCGAGATGTGTTGAGATGAGTACGCGTGACCGTGACCGTGACCGTGGCCGTACTGTGCGGCCACTACGCTGACGACGGCGACAAGGCACAGGACCTATCAAATCAAAATTTTATGTAGTTTCTGACATATATCGTCTTTTTATTTAATATTTTTTTGTTAAATTCAATATGAGCATCAATATCAATTTTAGTACGTATGTTCTTGCAGTTTTTTTATAAATCTGTAATGTTGATTGGCATGGAATACTTTAAGCATTAACTTCACCTTGTATAGGTTATATATAAACAATAAAATGAGTGAACAAATACTGTTTGTGAAAGCAATTATGCATATTTTACTTAATATTGTATGCTTTTAAAAGTATTCCGCTGAAAACCAGCGCTGTAGCAAAAAGTTCGATTGCAATGCAATTATGAGAAGGGTTTATTTGTCTAACACTGTTATTTCGTATTTCTCGTATAAGATATAATTTTGGAAAGTTCATAATGTTTCCAAATTAATTATTATTATTATATGAAATAATAACAAAATTCATTAAATTTAAATAATAAATATATATCATAGATAACGTTAATAAGAATTAATAATATATTACAAAAGGACTAGCAAAAATGTTAACGTTAAGCCTATAATTAATGCATTGATATAAATAAGGTAGGTATAATTTTATGTATATTTTTTTATAATGTATTATATTATTTTTTAACGATTGTTATTGTTTTTGGCTATTAATAAGAGTATTGTTTGATTAATTAACGATCACTAAGGGTGTGCATATTATAAATAATTAATATTTTTAAGACGTTTTTCTGACACTGAACACTAGTGATTTAACACAATATTAATATGACTAGCACTTTACATCACGTTATTTTTAGTTTTCTTCTTCACATAAGCACTTATTATCGAAAACAAACTTCACAGATCGCATTGCATATTTCATTCTCTTAACACTGCAACTATAAATCACTTATTATTGTTTTACCTTAGAGAACATTTTTTTGTTATTGTTTAGTTGGCGTGCTAATAACAAATCCAATGGTGAACTGATACATTTTAGTTAAAAGTCACGACTTTTATATCTACTATAAGGGTAACCAAGGCAATGTTGATTTCACCAAATGGGCAGTTATGATTGTTCTCGTACGCAAGTATGCTGCGTTTGTAATAATTTCGTAAAGTCATTTGTTGGACATGCTATCTACACTTGTTCGGGGACACTGTTTCATTTAATTACATTCGAGTATAATTGTTAGTATTGATTTGGTGATATATTGCTTGAATACAATGTAGATACCATCAAAATGTTATTAGTATATGGTGCAACCAATGTTCAAATAACCTTTTATCGTTTATAGAGGTTGAGTAGAATTTTATAATAGGTATATATTTTTGTTTATTTAGATTTAATTGTCTAAAACAACACCATAACTATATTTATGTAGGTTGAAATGTAAACAATTATCATAATGTTAATTAGATTTTATAGGTAGAAATTTCATAAAATAATGCTGATTAGAACAATAGACTAAACGTATTTTTTTAAATTTTCTACATGAGAAATAATATAATTATCAAATTTAAATATCTAGCAATGTCAAGTTTAGTGAAACACCAGTATTCATATAAATCTTCTTTATATAAAGCTGAAAATCAGTATAAACTTAAATAATAATTATCGTGAATCACACTGTAATGTAATTATTAATGTCTTTAGTTACTTGTTAAATTCGTCTTCCTATTAGACTCGGGGTATTCGCGACACAGCTGTGAACCGCGTTTATGAATAAGAGCTTATTAAGTTCGAAACAGGTTGTCGGGCAGTCTCAAATTTAAAGCGTGAGTAAAGTCGACAGAAGTAATTACAATACAATATAAGCTTATTAGTAAACAACCGAATTTATTCAACAATTTGTACTCAGCAGATTTACGAGTAAAATGTGTCACGTATTTAAACATATTTAACAATCAGTATATAATATATCTTATGTGCTAAGTTAGGATATAACCTACCCATGTACTAAATTTCATTCAAATCCGTTTAGTAGTCTTGAAAGAGTAATAAACCTCCATCCATACATAATTACAAACTTTCCCATTTATTGTATTAATTTCAATTTTCTTTTAATCAATGGTACTCCTTCATGGGACTTTTTAAGTTCTGTGACGATTATAGTTACAAACTTGTTCAAAAACTAAAATCGTTAAAAAGGAAAATGTGCATAAAAATATGCAATTTCACATTCTAAATTATTATTATATACATACACTAGATGATATATACCAGAAGGAGACTTTGTACAAAAGTCGATAGCTTGGGTACCTCTGTTCCATTCGTGTTTCAACCGTAAAGCAGTTGTGTTTGCATGGCTGTGTTTCGGTTTGAAGGGTGGGATATGGCGTGAATTTACTGGGTACAGAGGAATAACATCTGACTCCTCAGGAATGGCAACGCATGGTGGGTATCATGGGCGAAACAGTATACTCTGTTATGTCCATGATACTGCTTATGTCTATAGGCAACTTTCCATCAGGTGGGCCCTCAGCTTGTTTGCCATTCTAAGTTGTATAAAAAAAAGTACTTTAAATTCAAATACACTATAAGGTATCAACAAAACATGGTGCCATTAGCAGATATGTGTGTCCATGATTGAAGTAGCGTATTTAATGAAGCAATACTTGTGTCTATTTTTATTCAAATATACACTCTATTTATTTTTAACTAAACCTTTTCATCCATTAAAGTGTAATTGAATAATCCTCATCATCGTTTTAGCCGTTAACTGTCCACTGCTGAATATAGGTCTTTTCTGTATGGGGGCGGATATTTTAGCTTTTGGTAATGTTTTAATAGCGACGCTGTTGCCCATTCCTCAGCTTAGTTACTTTGATTACCTCTTAAGACACCTACGGGAAAGAAAGGGGTGGCCCATTTTATGCCGGGACCACACAGATTGAATAATAAATATCCAAAAATCTTCACATTCTTTCACGTTTATAACATACATCACTACAGTGGAATATTAAAAGATTTGTAACTAGAGAATTTATATTATTGTAAACCTAATTTCTAATTTAGTAACTTAATCTCTGTTGCGAACTGTTTGAGTTTGCCAATTCACAAATCTATTTGGTGTTTGACAATGACATTAATGTGTTTTTATCTCCTATGTCAGGGCTATAGAATTAACAACCTTTCCGATCTAATTACAATCTTATGAAGTAATGAGTGCAAATGATAACTGTTAAATTTCAAACGAACAACTGTATTGTCATGGTTTTCTGTCGAAATTATATTTATTTATTTATTTTTAGGAAAACATACAGCTTGATTTAATCAATACGTAGTCAAATTATATTTATGCTGAGCCATAAATTCACATTTGCGTAATTACACAATCGATTTTATATATGTTAAAAATACATTGTTAATATATTGTAATGGATATATTAAAAAAATATATATTAAGTTTGTTTTTGCTTTGGTTTGAATGGAATGCTTAAAATTTCAAAAGGAGCTGCTAATCTAATACTAGGGATAACATTTGAAAAGACAATATGTGTACATTTTAAAATTTGTTTTTATTTACTTTTATACATATAGGTATCTATATATCTACTATTGAAATATGACAGATGTGACAATAAGTACCACTCCTTCTTTAACTCCAAAGTAACTGAAGCGAAAATCTAAAATTATTACAAAGTAAGTATATAAAGAGATAATGCGAATATTAAAAGAAAAAAAAGACAAGTGTTTATAGGTAGCACAGTTTTTGAAAAAATATTAAAAAAATCCTTCATAAACTTTCATACAGTACCGTTTTCAATCGCAGTCGGGGTCCAAAATAATGAATTATTATCTAATTCACATAAGATAGAAAAAAATATAATAAATATATTTGTTATAAAATAATTTTCTCTCATATCTACATATTCAATACAATTCATCTGAAGAAAATAAATACCAATTTACAGATTATTTAAAGTACTAGACATGTGAGTTTAACTCATACTTAAATCTATTATGTCAAATGTAACAATGTATTATTCAAAATGTCGTAGAATAAAGTTGTTAATGGGCACTTTTTTAATGTATTTAATATTTATAATTTATTTAGTATCACGACATGATATCGTACAATTTATCGGCGTGGCATAATAGGAACGCAAAGTGTCTGCAATTGCATCAAAGCTTTTATCTTTACATGCAGATCCAAAATATAGTTATGCCTTAGACCTCCACGACGTCATCACAAAAATTAAAATCGTCTTCATATAATTATAAACCATATCAACAGTTTACTGTTCAGTGCTGAACTTTCTTCCCCTATTGGAGAGTTTTGCCAGTAGTTGTCACGCTTGATAGGCGGGATTGTAACCGCAGCTAGGCTTTAGTGATATTATAAGAGATATTGGCAGCAGCGCCAATATCTCGACCGTTCTCTTAGTTATCACTTAAGACACCCACGGGAAAGAAAGCGGTGGCGTATTCTATGCCGGGACTACACGGTGTATAATTGCATACGTTGTATTAATATCATTTGTTAATATCAGTAAAAGAGTACAATATGGTAAAATAAAAAAATATGCTCTATTAAAGATTACTTTTACAGATAAGGCCGTCTTTTGTAAAGCACGTACTTTTAAAATGTTCTCGATTTATATTATTTACTGTGTAATAAATAGTTTTATTAATATATAGATACTGTACTGTTGATAATATCATAAAGAGGCGAAGTTGTTCAGTAGATAAAAATAACCCCCTAAATATGCTTTAAACATTATATAGATATTACTGTAAAATTACAATATTATAGTAATAGCTAGAAAATATGTTAATGTAAATAAGACAATTATTATAATATGACAATAAACATATTTTAAATAATGTTGGCTGCTTTTGATCCAAATTCATGCAAGAAAAGTTGCGAGCAATATCTCGCAGCATTTCTTGTAGGAATATGAAAAATTAAATATGATTCTAATGTTTATTTTTTATACCACTGAGGAGGCAAAACAAGCATATGGCCCACCTGATGCTAAGCATTTACTATAGCCTATAAACGCTTGTAATACCAGGAGCATTAAGCATGCTTTGCCGATGTAAATGTAACAGTGAAGTTGGATCGATATTATATGGGTCGTTTCAATGGAGATATATTAAAGGCCCGCGACTTCCTAATTTACAGTAAAAGTACTAGTTTCTCTCATATTTTGATCACATTATCTTTCTCTGTTTTTCATAATAATGATATATATTTACAACATAAATAATTTACTAATTATTTTAAATATTTTAATAAAACTAACAATTAATTACGTAAAGAGCACATCGTTTAATTATGTACAAAATGACAGATTAACTATTTTATTAACGGTTCTCTTCCAGCGAAACATACTTGAAGAAGAATGCTTCCATTAAATATCAGTGAGAATAATGTGTATGCTCCGTTACAATACATAATATGACAACAATCTATACTAACCTAAGAATTCAAGTAAAACAAGTAGAACAAAAATAAGTAGATTAAATAATAATATAAATGGATACTTCCAAATATAATATTTCTATAACGAAAAATAATGCGAACTATCCAAATATAGAAGATACTCTTGCAAATATCTTGTAAATATTATTTATAGATATTGTCTTTTATATAATGTTCTATAAGTATATAGAATATAAAACCAAAGAGAAAGAAAGTGACCTTCATTTTTAAGAATTACTTATAGAATATAGAAAGTTTGGCTTGGTTGTCTAGCAGGTAATTAAACAATGATAAAACGAATTAAAAAATAACAATATATTCAGTACAAAACGTATCAAATCATATTACAAGTAAACATATAACATTATAAATAAATCACAGAGAGTTATTTTAAATAATAATATCACAGTTTAATGATGATGTTTTACAGGAACTATGTGGTGGGTGCTATGTTTCACGGTGGCGTGGAAACTGAAATAAAAAAACATATATATAATATTTGAAATAGTATTCAAAATTCAAAACAATTTTAAAAACAAAAACAATATTATCATTATTGGTATATTATATCATTCTGAAAGAAATCCTTTAATTAACTTTAGATAGTTATCTCTTTAAAATAAATACAATACGTGTAATTAATTTTCTATATTTACTTTAAATTATTTTTATTTTATATTTCCTTTTTCAATTGTCAATAAATTTAAATTTATCTATTATTTAGGTTATAACACTACAACATCAGTATTTAATTATGTAGTGTAAGTCTTTAATTATGGAAAATTGTTTGAGATCACAGTGCATACAAAAAACACCGTTCTCGTAGTGTCGTGTTCTACAATAATCGAGCACTATTAGGCTGGCCGTATGTGTTTTTATTATTTTAATTATTTATGCTTACCCGCTGTGCTTATCTCCATGGTATTCTACGTGTCGGACAGAACCATCAGGCTCGTGTAGAGAGTAAAATCCCTTCACATGATCTCCATCGCGGACTTCGTGTTGACTCTTCTTGTCACCAGTATGGGGATCTTCTACTTTGTATTCAAATTCGTATTTTGGGTAGGCCTGAAATTGTTACATTACATTTAAATTAACATAGTAGCTATATATATAGCTCACAATATTTGTCATTGATATATCTATCTAATTAGGGATGTTAGTTTATATGGGTATTTGGAGATAAATTAAAAAAATACAGAATTGCTGTGTACAATTTGATGCTTATAAATCTCAGCAACCTGGATTCTCTACCACTACCCACTTTAAGTCAGTGAGATATATCTCTGAGTGAGATATATATATCTATTCTTTATCTGAGTTTTTAAATAATTACATTTATTTAATATGTTAATATTTTACTATTTAATATTTATTTAATATTTAATATAATAATATTTGCACTTACTAAAAAGAGAATAGACATCTGACGTGAAATTTTTATTGATATTTCTTTATTTCTTATAGTAAGAGACGAGTAGAACAAAGTACATAATAGTGCAGTAAATTATATGCTGTTTTAATTGTAGGAGTAGTACAGTTAAAACACTAGCTCATATGAAAAGTGACCTGTTTTTAGCTGGATGTTAATATGACGTCTAAAATAGGCGAAAACATTGTTAATTAAGAGTACTTACGTAGTAGTCAATATGGTCCTCATGACCATGGCCATGGCCGTGTCCGCCGTGACCTTGCACATGCACAACGTGCGCAGGACCATCATGTCGCGAAATATGCTGGGATGAGTAGGCGTGACCGTGGCCATGCTCGTGGCCATATTGAGCTGCCACTGAAGCCACTAGGGCAACCATACACAGCACCTGTAACTAAAATATACTTGAAAATACTCCTGGGACGTGGTAGCAGCTATAGTAACTTGCCTTAATGAGAATTTACGTTCGATGTTCTGTTGATAAAATTTAGAAAAGAACTTTTTCTAAACTGAATGGAATCTGAATTTTCGAATACTACTAATTGCGTATACATAGTATCGACAACAATTCCTTTACATGACTACTACGTAATGCAAAAGTAGGCAAGATGCTTCATAAATATGGGATATCTTGGGATATGAATGTTTTTGCAAGAATCACGCTAAATTAGGTTTTTTTTTTTTTCAAATTATCCAGATTACAAAATTTCACTTAGGTTGATAGGTCTGCCGCTTATTTTTTTTTTTATAACACCGATAATCCTGATCGACGATAACTGGCGTATTTATGTGGCACTCATTATTAATTATAGATTAATCATCACTATTGATTGTAACGAATTACATATCCCTAGTTAATACCACAATGTAAACTTTTGAAACAGATTAATAGATAACTAGATTTAATTATCCAATTAATATCATCACTTTTCAAATTTTGTTATTTAGCGTATCATTTACCTTTGAGTACATTTTATTAAGTATTTAAGTAAGTAATGCTAATAACACTAAGTTCTACTTCAAACTGATACGTATTGACTGAAAACTACCACTTTTATATTGCGAGCTAGGGTGGCCAAGGCAATAGAGATTTCGCGTCAAATATCTGCATTCATTTAAAATTATTCAAGAACTTTTAGTATGCAGTGTTTGCAATAATTTCGTAAAGACATGCCTACTACACTATCTGTGTGACATTGCCACAGTTATTATCATTAAATTATGCAAGTTTCACTTTAGTACTTTATTATTGACACAAATCTAGAGGAGTAAAAAACAGCTTAAGTCATAAAGCAATGGAAACTGAAAAAAGTAGCAGACAAGAACTGCCACTAATATTACGCAGGTAAGAACTTTTTTTTTATAAAAATAATTTAAAATGTTTTATTTAATAACTAAATATAAAATATTGTATGTTTATTATTAAATATAACAAAAGTACGATTATAACAATGTTACATTTGTAAAATATTTGAAGAAAGAAAATTATGTAGACCACTTAATATGAGGGTAATTGTTATTCCTAATGTAAAATAGTATAAGCATTTTTAGCATGTTAATGTTGCACCTATGCTAATTATATCTTGAAAAAACGTTTTTGTAGTCTATATAGCACTGTGCTTGTTAATGATAATTTGTTGTGTATGCCATATTTTATTTTAATTCTACTTGTACAGAATATTTTGAAAACATTATAAAAATATTTATTACTATTTGGTAAAGTATAAATTATAAAAAAAAAATCATCATTAAGAACGTGATGTTGTGAGTGTTTATAACTACATATGATTATCTTTATAGATAGGCATAATGTATACTCTTTTAAAATTACATCCGTGAGTGGTCTTCGAATGTAGCGGTACAGAGAGTATAATCTTATATTAGTAATAGTATTAGGAGTAGTAATAATTATACTCCTAATACTATTACTAATATAATGGTATTAGGAGTAGTAATAATTATAGTCATAGTAATAATAGTATTTTTTTTATACAACTTAGAATGGCAAACAAGCTGACGGTCCACCTGATGGAAAGTGGTAACCGTCGCCTATAGACATGAGCAGTACCATGGACATAACAGAGTATACTGTTTCGCCAATGATACCCCCCATGCGTTGCCTTTCCTGTACCCTGTAAATTCACGCCATATCCCACCCTTCAAACCGAAACACAGCCATGCAAACACAACTGCTTCACAGTTGAAACACGAATGGGACAGAGGTACCCAAGCTTTGACTTTTGTACAAAGTCTCCCTCTGGTAGTAGTAGTAGTAGTTTATTTAGTATACTATCTAAGAAATAATTCTTGTAACAGGCAACTGTTCCTATTTGCATTTTTGTTGTATTCTGTTAAGAGAGGGACTGGCTGAAAACCAGCGCTGTGCAGCTGTACACAATCCACTGGGACACTTACAGCTTCAGCTGAGTCAGTTCTTTTTGCGTAATATGAGACACTTCTTAAACAATATTTTTGTATTTTCTGTAATTATGTTTTACTGGCAATAAATATTCTCTATTCTATTAGTAGCTGCGTGAATTTACTTTAATATTTTTTTTTTTTTTTTGTAATTACATTATTACAACAGTTTTGGAAGTCTACAGTACTAGTTTACATGACATATGAGACTCTGTACTCCAGCGCACTGCACATCTGCCTATGCGTTGCTTATATGTTTTTGCAAAGAAAAATCTTAAATGAGATCCAACATTTGAAAGAAGCAATGCAATATGTTTTCATAAGAACGAATATAGTATAAATTAGTACCGGCATTGATTTTGCACTACTATTACTAGTGATATGCCGCTTCCTCTATTATTAAGAGTTATCAAATCACCCTTTTTAGAAGACACTTGGCATGGCTTGACGACGACGGTATTACATGCTCTTTGAAGGAGGAAGTAAGTGACAATCATTTTACTACCAAAATGTGATTTTGGAATATTCAATATATCGAATTGAGATTCAATTTCAGGACCTTCCAACTGCAGCTTTGTGTTCTCTGAGTTGGCACAAAATATTTAACATTTTATTGGAACAAAATAGTTAATTTTCAGACTAAATTAGATATTTAGTCTAAAAATTAACTATTTTGCTGTTCTGATACATCTAACTTAGGTCATAAAAAGCTATATGTGCCCGTAGTATATATGCCCGTACAAATAATTCGTTCGTATCATAGATTTATTTAATATAGTCCTTACTATTTAAAAATTTAATATCGTATTTTAAATTGTTTTTTAATTATATTTATTTATCATCATATAATTGTTTGATTTAGCTCGAAGACATTAAAATTTAAACAATCAATGCATAATATGTATCTATAATAAATAACCTCATTTGTATTACTTGTAGTCGATCAAAAAGACTAATTGATTTTACTCACAAAGTTCGTGACCTAGTATCGATTGGATAATTAATTTCTTACTTTTTTATTCTGAATTATATAATTAAATAGTTTTGTTAAATGAAATGACGTCAATTATTTATTATGGTCCTTTTATACCTTGTTCTAAAAGTCCATAAATAAATACGTCTCCACGAAAGTTATAAATAATCTATTTCATTACGATGTTCTAAGTTATTAGCGAAAATTTTTCCTTACATTGTTTTATTATTCACAAGCTTATGCCCGTAACTTTGTCTGCGTAGATTTTAATAAATAGCAACCTAACTAATTACTTCTTTGTTTCTTGAACGCATTACATTTAATTCGACGCCACGCGCTACGCCGTTCACTCACACACGTTCTACTATTGATATTTTTATCGTCATGACTTTTAAACTAATTATACAAATTACTTTCTGTAAAAGGCAAAGATTATCTACTTTACATAATCTACTTTATTATATTTATAGTTAGATTATCTACTTTACAATAAAAGTGATAAAATATTTATTCAAATAATGATTATTTCATAATAGGATAAATGTACATTACAAAAACAGTATTTAATTCAAATGTTTTGTTATGTCACAGTTACTATATATATACTGGCTTCCACACAAAGGATTCCAACCATACATTATTTTCGTGTAACTCTAACGATTTATGCAGCATGCCGAAATATCTCTTAGATACTTCACAGTTATATTTCGGTCAATTTATATAAAAATCTTTGTTTATTATAGTCCATGTGATATATAAGCTATAACAAACTACAACACTGCAAAGTCTCTTTAAAATTAATAGTTTTGCGTGACAGAGTAACAAAATAATTGGATTATTATGTTCTCACACAGCGAATAATCCATATGTCTTGGTATAAAAATACCAAAATATTATAAAACATTAGCTACTACTACTAAAGGAAATAAAAACTCCTGTCTTGTCTTTATATTTATCATTTACATATTTTAAATAGTGAAGTGCAATAGATATTCTTCTATTTATCTTTTTATTTTATATTAACGAGTTTTTTTCTGTTATGATTATCCTAATTCCTTTAGTATAAAATTATAAGGAATTAAAACTATATATACATTATTGCATAAAATATCTTACCTCTCACAGATTATTCTGCAATAAGGTTACAATCATGAACCAGATTTTTGTGTAAGTAGGCATGTGCAGCAAAAAGAGACCAACAACGTGTGCACTCAAAATTGTAACAAACCGGTTTTGGGTCTATATTTTATCGAAGTATAAATTCGTAAACTTTCATTGATAATCATATTCGCGAGTGCTTTCAATACGACAAGAGCAATATGTTCGTAAAGGTAAGGACGTATTCCACCTTATATTCATTTTAATATTATGAAGGATTTTAACAGAATGATACGTAGCTACTGCAAATGATAACATAACCATCAAGAAAAGAGCATATTCCTTTTTAAAAGGCCAGCAGCACACTTGCAATGCCGTTGGTGTTGTGGGTGATCATGGGTGGCGGTAGTCACTTACCATCAGGTGAGCCGCATGCTTGTTTGCCCCTTGTAATGTAAAAAAAAACTTATTAGTAGGTAACATCCTTTTTAACACTCGATGAATGTACCTTTTAATCGCAGGTTTTTCATTGAGTAGTTTGTTTAATATAGAGTTTAATTCTGAGCTTTTAGTTACTTTTTATTAGGTACATCCTGGATAAAAAGGAATAGTGATATTATTATATTGTATCCTTACGTTGTTGTTTCTATAAATAATACTACGGAACTATTAAGATCCAAATAAAATTAACAATTTTAATAAAATACGGTAATATGAATGTTTATGCAAAATATAAATCATAATGTTAGACTATTTTTTTTTTATATTGCAGGTATACGTAATTTTCTCTATTTTAGCGATATCTTACTGTCAAGATGGTCATCACACATACAGCCATAGCATAGTTATTAAACACGAAGTAGCTAAAAAAGTCCAACCTCACTACCAGGTATCTCCCTCAATTCCGTCCCTTTCATTATCTCTTCAAGATGTTTCTCAAAACATTCATACTGTACCTTATCAAAGTTTAAGTAAAAATCCAGACGTAAACGAACAACCTCAGAAATCACTTCAACAGTACTTTATACCGGCGCCCAATAGAGAACCTGCTCCAGTTTATGAACCTTCATCTGAACCTCAACCTCAACGTAAAGTTCTTCATGTACCTATAAGAAATTCTATCCAAGGTATCGCTGTTCAGCACGTGCCTATTCAACAAGTACCTGTTCAGCATATCTCTGTTCAACAAGTCCCTGTCCAACTTACCCCTGTTCAGTCTATCCCTGTTCAACAAGTTCCCATTCAGCATGTTCAGATTCCACAAGTACCTATTCAAATTAAACACGTTCCCATTCAATCTGTCGCTGTTGAACATATACCCGTCCATCACACACCTGTTGAACATGTTCAACAAGTTTCAGTTCAACAAGTAGGGGCTGTACAACACCAGGAGGGGGAATCTGATCATCATGAGGATTACTATGTAAGATTTTTGTTATTTTTTTCTAAATTATATGGAAACGCACATTATATTGTTTATTTATTATATAAAATAGTTATTATTACGCATATTATGACGCATATTAGATTACATAAACTCATACGTAATAACATTTTATTTAGTTCTACAATTGAATCTTGTTGGTCTATTAAAATTCTATCTATGAATGCAACATAAGATCAATCTGTCAGATGAACAGTAATCTTGTACATGTTTTACATACTGTAATGTTTAGATGCAATTTATTCGAAATGAACGTAAATAGAATTAGAAAAAATAGGCAAATAGATACAAATAATTTCTAATTATACATTTAAGAGATTTCACTAAATAAGATAATTGACTAGTAACGTTTCACTAAGTTACAATAAATAATGTTACCCTCATTTAAATAAATTACATTAATACATTAATAGGTGTACTGTTTATTATATAAATAACAGTGGATAAATAATTTAAAATATTTTAGGCATACCCTAAATATGTATTCGAGTACAAAGTAGAGGATCCTCACACCGGTGACAATAAGTACCAGCATGAGTCGCGAGATGGTGACGTTGTCAAAGGCGTGTATAGTCTGCATGAAGCTGATGGATCAATCCGCACTGTTGAATATGGCTCAGATAAGAAAACTGGGTATGTATATAAAATTAATTTATTATTAAGCCATTAATAGATATTGAAATTTGCTATGGCTTTTGCGATCTTTCAGTAATCCATAGCATGATACATCAGACTGCATAGTTTTTGACTTGAGAGTTTTCAGAAAATAACTGTATTTTTTTATGTTAGATTTTGGTTGTCATGTTATTACCCTATATCTATAATGCTATATATGTATATATATATATATATATATATTAAAATATTAAACGGTCATGAGTTATGGCCTCTAAATAATACATGTAGTGTGCAAACTCTGAGTCCAAGTCCTTAAATGTATAGAAGATAAAACAAAAGCATATCTATTTTATTTTTGGTAATAAATATTATTATTATTAATAAAATAGTTGATCATATAAAAGAAATAATAATAAAATCCTGTGGACCATCTTCATTATCATCATCGGAAATTGTACGGAGTGAACCAAATCTTCTGAAGCTTTGAATTAGTTTGAAGGTCTATTAGTGACTTCTCTGAAGCTCAATATAGATTATTGCAGGTTAAAATAGTCACTTTCCATGAATCATAACCCGATTTATTTTATAAAACTTGCAATTTAGAATATATGACATTTTATATAGTAGTCTATTAATATTACGCTACACCGATACCTATAAAATTGAACTGTAATGTTGAATTTGGTCGAACAAAGAGTTATGACCTGTAAAATTACATTCAATTTTTTTAATTTGTACTATTCGTCACTACGAATTCACTTATGAAGTGTGAAATTATTACTAAAAACATTTGCTTCGAATCCGGAACAGATTTTGCATTTGCACTTTCACGATTTTATACATTGTAAATATATAGTTATATCAGTCACCCCATGACTACATCGAATGGCAATGAGAAACATCAAGACAGTACTGAAGATAAATTAGTAGGGTTCGGTTTAGTTTTTTTTTTTTTTTTTTTTTTTTGTTGAAATGAATATATTATTAAGATGGACAGTCAAATATTAAAAAGTTCCCAAAAATTTTCAGTCAAATGTTTTGTCAGACTGTTCAATTGATATTTTTTTATTTATTTTAGCTAAACATGTACGTAAGTATTACATATTTTTAGTGTCGTTAAACTGCATTGCAGTTTGCCTCATATCAGCTGTTAACTGTCCACTGCTGAACATTAGCCTTCTCTATAAGGGAAATTTTGCCAATAGTTGCTACGTTTGGCAGGCAGATTGGCAACCATAGTTAAGCCCTTAGAGATGTTTTAAGAGGGACACTGCTATTATCCCTCTGCCATTAAGTTTCCTTAAGCCCACTGGAAAGGAAGGGGTGGCCTATTCTTTACTTGGACCACACGGTGACTGATAATATAATATAAATAAATAAAACAACAGTTTATCTGATAAAAATAAATAACTACAAGACTCATCCACTATTTTTGGAAGATTTGAAATTTCATTGAAAAATTTTTGTTTTAGGTACACTCTGTAAATGTTATGAATTTAATGTGTTTGACTTGGCTATTTAATTTATCTGTAGTAACAAAAATAATTTTATGATGGAGGATTGAAAACTAATTGGTTGTTTTAATTGAAAGATTTAAATTGTTCACATGCATCGTTAAGAACATAGAAGGGCAAATTTTGCAATGCTCTTTACCGACTATAACTTGTGATTATTAATATTGAGATTGTTAGTATTAATATTAAAAAAAAAGACTTGAAAATTATATAATAAAATAATTTTGTTTTAAGTTTAAAAGTACGTTTTTAATTACGGTTCAATGAAATATACCTATATACATAATTTATGAGAATTTTAGTTTCATATAAAAAAATTAAATTGATTTTTTTTTAGAACTATTTATATTATAAATTTAAGATAGATATGTTCATTTATTTTCATGCTAAGTTACTCCCGAATTAGGTAGACATCTTAGAATATAAAATTAAGATAAGCAATTGATCTACTTATAACTGTTAATATATAGAAATTTTTCTCCTTTGTTATAGATTTAACGCCTATGTACAGAACTCCGGCGTGACGAGGCACCTCGAACCAGAGCATCACAATCACCATTGAATTTACTTTCGCCTATTTATAAATTTGTTACCTGTTATTAAATGTTAAATAAAACTTGTTTGCTGTCAGCTCTTGTCTATTACTTTTTGTCTTACAATAATAGATAAAATATGAATAAGTTTCAGCAGCTCTATTATAATATTGACTTCAGTAACTTACTTTCATTTTAATTATTTTATTTATTTATTTATTTATTTACACTTTATTGCACCAAGTAAATTTGTATTATATTAGCGACTATTTGTCCTGATCTAAACATATTCAATAAATCTATAATAATATTATAATAGATTATCCATGGTACTGTTCATGTCTATAGACAACGGTTACCATTTTCTATCAGGTGGGCTGTCAGCTTGTTTGCCATTCTAAGTTACATAAAACAAAAGATTTATTATATGAATGTGGAATTAACTTCTAAGAAAAGTATATGTTTTAAAAATACTTTTAACATTAAAATTTACTATTTATGTAGTAACGGTGTGTATCCCATAAGAGACGATTAATGGAATAAAAGGGGGAAAAAATTAGCACAAGAGAAAAAAAACTTATGGGCTATAAACCTTACTATAAATATAAATGTGAGAGTAAGTTTGTTTAATTGATACCTTTTAGTGGCTTAACCAATTGCTATGAAATTAAGTATATGTAGTATGGACTATATGGAATTAAGAAGAACATAGCTTACTTTTTATTTTGACCTGTTAACTTATTCTGATCACGCAGACAAAGTTGTAAGTAAATTGTAGTCATAGATAAATGATACTGACTCGTTTGGCAAACATGGTATTATTATGATATATTTTCTTTTTTTTAATCATTCCATCTACAAAAGTTGGATGTCAAAGGATTATTAAGTTTAAGGCAATAAAAATTACTGTATTTCTAAGTACGATATACTTTTTTTTAATTAAAACAACTTATTATCATTATTAAATAATAATAGGCGTTCTAGATGTAGGACCGGTTTTGAGAAATAACCTGCTATTAAAATGTATTAAACATTGAAATTTACAACAATTATTGTAAGATGGACATCTTGTATTGTTATAATTAGAGACAATAATGGTGTAAAGGTATATTATATAATGCTACATTAGCTAATATTGTACGTTCGTGGATTCTTTATAATCACGATTTTAGATGGTCCGAGGAAGTCTATTTCCGTAATTATGCTAGAAAGTTTACTGCTCTAAATACGTGTGTACTGCTACTAATACGCAGAGAATACATTTGTCTTCAATGACAAATCTGACCCAATAGTAAAGTCACAATTGCGCTTCGTACAAGACTTATGTTAAGAAACAGGAGACGTGATCTAGAATTTACAGTGATGTCATATTGTAAATGCCACATGTACATCACGTCCTAGTATAAAATATAGTATTTGAACTTTTTTTCTTTTTTATTATTTAATTTTGAGAGGTTAGAATCTAGATATCTTGACAAAATAATTTTCTTTTCGTATGAATATAGGTATTTCTATTAGGTTATTATAACACGTAGCACAGGACCTTTAAGAGAAAAAGGCACAAAATGAAAATTTATAGTTAGCGGTGAGTTTATTTGGGCTGATTAGATGGATAAATAACCCATAGAAAACTCTAAAGACATTTATTACGTTCAAAAATATAAATAAAATTTAATATATATTGTAGGATTTATTTGAAAAAATTAAGCATGAAGTAGATATTTCTCTTTATGTTTAAAGCGTATTAGTAAACTGAATGAATAATAAACGCATCAGTTATTCCATACCTGCAGTCAGTAGTTACATACATTTAAAAATAAAAGCAGGGTTACGCATTTTAAAGTATTTTCAAATATAGAAATTATATAATTTTATTCAAAATACTTGTATTTCGTTCTATTGTCTTTATTAAAACGTTTTTATTAAACGAGTTTTATACTCATATTTTTAATGCGTCTGATTTAGAAACTTCATTCTTAGGCGTATTTTAAAAGTAGGGTACTTTTATAAAACTTTGTAATTGTGTTTGCATAGCTGTGTTTCAGTTTGAAGGGTGGGATATGGCAGTGAATTTACAGGGTATAGAGAAATAATACCTGAGTCCTCAGGAATGGTAACGCATTGGGGAGGGGGGGGGGGTGGTATCATAAGCGAAACAGTATACTCTGTTGTCTATGGTACTGCTCATGTCTGTAGGCGACGGTTACCACTATCCATCAGATAGGCTGTCAGCTTGTTTGCCATTCTAAGTTGCATAAAAAAATGTAGAAAGGAACATGCAAAATAGAAATATTACAATATAATGGAAAAATAGTAGTGCACTTGTTACCATGTGAAATTATACAAATTAAATAATTTTGGTAAAAACACAATATTTTGTAACTGGACGATGTTTGTATGTGTGTTTGTGTGGTTGTGTTTGGGTTTGAAGGGTGAGGTATGACAATAAAATTACAGGGAATAGAGGCATAACATCAAGTATATGTTTTTATCTCGATACGCCATCTATAAGTATGTTATCTACTAATTATATTATGGAATACAATAAGAAATAAATAAGTCTATTTCATTAGTTTACCTATTTCGGAAATTCATGCGTACGAAGTAGTGGGCAAAAAGCTAGTATTGAAAATGTATTATAATACTACAATGATGATGATGATATCAGCCGTTAACTATCCACTGTTGAATATAAGTCTTCATCTATTGGGAGGGTTTTGCCAGTAACTGTCACGCTTGACAGACGGATTGACAACCGCATTGATGTTTTAAGTGTGTTGCTGCTGGCCATCCCTCCATCTTTAAGATAGTCGCCTCTTACTACACCCATGGGAAAAGAAGGGGTGGCCTAATCTATGCTGGGATCATACGGAATTGTAATACTATATATGTATGTAATACATAGTATTCACTTTATTAGCAAATTTTATTAACTTTACTCTAAGATCTTTAGAAGAATTTGGCAATAAAGTGACTATAAAAAAATTCTGACCTGTATAAATAGTTTTTTATATTATATAAGCAAGCGTTTCATTTTGTAGATGGTATCGTTTAATAAAATGCAAAATGCAGAATAATATATCAATAGAAGTGTAGAGTCATTATCAAACAAGCCAGCAAGTCATTATATCACTGTCAGTTTGTTTAAACAGTGGGCTAATACTTGAAGATAAATTATATTTTGTTGTTTTATTACATTTTGTAATGCTAATAAGTGATGAGAAAACAAAACTAATTTAGGTTTGTTGGTCACTTCCGCAAATTCCAATTTTTAATTGATCATTAAATTTAATTTCCAGTGATCCTTGGACTTCAAAATTTAGCAAAGTATTTTGAAGTCCAAGGATCACTGGCTAAAAACCATTATTTCGGATCACAGTATTGCTAAAACGTTGTAATATAACTTTTATAAAAAAAGCAAATACGTCATCTATTCAGTCAATGTACGCCCGTCTAAGTCGGCCCATACCGACACACAACAGAAATACTTCTTTTTTTATTTAATTTAGAATTAATTTACTACAACACCAACCGTTGTAGGTTACAAGGACACGAGGTCACTGTTACGAAACTAAAGTCCAGAGGAAGTTGCGAAACAAAAAAACTAAATGTGGTTCATGGTTTCCGAGGAACGTTTATGCCTGCACGCTTTTTTTGACAAAAAGTGCGTTTGTGACATTGATGAAGCTGTTTTCTACGATCATGGCTTGATAAGATAGATTACGATTAAACTGTAAATATTACATAAAAAATGTAATTGAATGACCTAAGATGGAAAAGTAAATCTACGTAAAAGATGCTTTATTTTTATACAAATTTGCTTGTAAACATAAATGGTGTGGTCAACAATAAAGAATATATTGTATATTTAGGGAGATTTTGTACTATAGTCGTTTGCTTGGTCACCTATGTCCGATTCGTGTTTTGTGAAACTGAAGAACCGCGAAGCAGTTGTGTTTGCATTGTGGGATATGGCAGTGAATTTATAGGGTACAGAGAAATAACAACCTGAATCCTCAGGAATGACAACGCATGGAGGGGGGGGGACTCTACTCTGTTATATTCATGGTACTGCTTATGTCTATAGCCGACGGTTTCTACTTTCCATCAGGTGGGCGGTTAGTTTGTTTGCCATTCTAAGTTGCATAAAAAATTCTATAAAGCCCATAGGAACTATGGTTTGATGCTTATCATCATTTATTAAACATTTTTGCTCTTCGCACATATTTCATCATCAACATTATCTTTCTGCCCTAATCCAAATTATGAGGTCGGCATGTGATTTTATTTACAGAACGTAAGGTTTTGACTTTTGATTTTACGACCAATTGTTAGCCAGAAATTTTTTTTGGGCATGCATTTTTTTTTTGATGGATGAAAATGGTATGGTGAACCCGCCTGCGCTAACGGGATACGCTTGCACCAGTGAAGGGTGATAGATGAGAATGAAAACAGGCCAGTTAGCCCATCATGATGAATTCATCAGGAATTAACCATGATAGTTTCCAGGGGGAACCGCGTGGAGGTCGACCTGGTTGGGTATATTGCTAGCAATGGGATTCTCAGTCTCTATTATTAACAATCCCTTTCCCCCCCGGGAATGCATTTGTTGGTGGTATCCGCTAACAGTATGGAGGAAAGTACTGAATAAAATGGAGGAGAACGTTGAGAGTTGGCAAAGGAAGCAAGTAAAAAAAAAGGGAGGATGCATGTTTATGACAAATTAATATATATATTTTTACGCTCAACGTTTGTATGGTAACAAAATAAAAACACAGTATTATTTTTAAAATTTACGTAATTTTTAATCATTTATAATACATAAGTGGACAATGGTAATTTACTGAACATAGTAAGTTTTGTCGTTTCCGGCAAATGTTTCATATTCACCCGGAAGTTTTATTTAGAGTGAAAATGATCAAAAGTCCTGCTAATAAAGCAAAAATGCTAAATTTAAATTCTCGTTATGCAATTATATTTAAAATAATACACTATCATGTTTTTCCTTTTTATTAGGTGTTTGAAAATAGTCCGAGTAAGAATAATGCTAATATCCATCTATTATAAGGAAAGACTCGTTTCCAGCAGTGGTATAGTAATGGCTGGGTTTAATACTTCTTTTACAAAATTTTATCAAGCCAGTAGAATTGGCCAAACTTTGTTTTGTTTATATTTAACATAATTGCAATACACTCTATCGACAAGCAGTTTAAGACCTTAAGAAAAAGATTATGTTAAATTCTCGAATTCTCAATTCGAATGAATGAAGCAACTGCTACTTCTACTTCATTCCTAATTGCTAAACTCTACTGATATCTAGGAATCTATCGTATCGTTTTCCTCTTCGCCACTATAGTTCTGGTTTCGAATTCTTACATAAGTATTGGTCATAACAATCTTGTATATGATTTTACTAGATGAAGAGATTCTTTTGTAGCAATCTGGATACCAAGACCAACCTGGAAATCTGAGAGCAGATCGAATGTGCCAAGTACAGTAGACGCTAGTTCCGTATTATAAGGATCGTTTTAAAAATCTGCTTAATATAACCTATGAGATCTCAATGTTAATATATAGCACAAATTATATTAAAATGATGTCATGTTGTAGGTAAAATTAAGATACGCTTCGGGTCATTGAAGCACTGGAGTAAATAAGAATTAATATGATAATATTATATAATATTTAGAACATTTTAAAATAATATTTTTCATTGGTACATTTCATTTATTAGAAAATGGTGTATTAAATGTTTATCTTCTACATTTAGTATTATCAAACAATCTAATTGTATACGATTGATTAAATGCTGTAAACTATATTTGATTAATAAATGTTTAGAATATTTTTGTACTTTAATATACTTACCCTAACACGCTTATTCTTAAGTGACCACATTTGAGGATATTGATGGATGAATATTTTTATTTAAAATTTTGATACAGCTTCCAACCTGTAGATCAAAGTACTAGTACAATTGATCTATTTCAACGGCCCGCCAACCTTCACATTGATTACGTAAATTACATCACACAAAGCTGCGCGCAATGGGTTACCAACATGACGCCCCAAGCGGTAACAAATCGATTCAATACTCTCTCGTAACGTCTCCACTATATATTGGCGTAATAACCTATGCTAATTCATCAGTTACACTGCGGAAGTCAAAGGAGAAAGATCGAAATGTTAGCTAGAGTACGTCCGTTCTAAGTATGCAAATTTTCACTTAAACCAAGAAAAATAAATGTAATTAATAATCTTGCTTTTACAGATTCTTATTCTTGCTGTGGCTGTGGAAGTTTCGCTGTGTCAGGAGCATGTTTATCAGTTAAAAGTACAGCATGAACATCAGCCTCAAGGCTACCAACATCAGTATGTCCAGGTGAAACAACAGGAACCTGCTCCGTTCAAGGAAGTTCAATACCAAGCTACGCCTGATAGCCAAGAACATGCATACTCATCACAAAGTATAGTGCACCAACCCGTTGAACAACAAGAATCCCAGGAGAACACAGAACAAGCTGCACCAACCTATGAGTATGCTCCGTTGCAGCCGCATGCGGTACCTCAGCACAGTGTTCAAGCCATTCGCTTTGTGCCCGTACACCAAACTCAAACAGTTCAAGTCCCAGAACATAGAGTTGAAGTTCAGTCAGCAGCACAAGCATATGCCAAGACTCATCAGGAAGCTCAGTTGCATCCCGTTCCCATCTACCATCCTAAGTCCCACTCTCATGATGAGCCCATAGACTATTACGTGAGTTTATTTCCTATGCATGATGAATCACTAATTTGTAAGAACATCCGAGTCCAAATTTATTACAACTTTCCATTCATTTATTCACATAACGTCTTAATCCAATTTAATCGCGATATAAGAATGCATAATATGTCAGTGTTTTTGCATTTTAATACCTATTTTAGGAGATATATACTGTAAGACTAGTAATGTTTGCATTACGTGTCTAATTTTAAACATATTAGTAGTTTAAATATATTCGAATGAATATTTAGAACATACTCTATAGCATGCTGAATTATTAATTATAGCAATAGGAAATTAAGTTATTTAAACTTCGTTTTTCAAGTCTTTGTTTGATAAGTTGTTCACATCAATAAGTTGGTCAAATCTGTAAATATTGATTGCAGGCGCATCCTAAATACCAGTACGAGTACAAAGTTGAAGACCCTCATACGGGAGATAATAAGTTCCAGCATGAGGTTCGTGATGGTGATGTCGTGAAGGGTGTATATTCCTTCCATGAAGCGGACGGTTCCATTAGAATCGTGGAGTACACTTCAGACAAACACAATGGGTGAGAACTTTTTGATAAAACATGTGAAATAAACTGGATATCTATCATCTATATAAACTATGAGTAGTACAGTTTACACGTTTCTCAATAGAAATGAGTATTATTTTGTGGAAATTCATCTCATTAAAAATTGTTCATTATTTTGTTTATAGACATTGGACGAAAAATATATGTATTTTTTAATTTTTCCAGATTTAACGCGGTTGTCAAACATACTGCCCCTGGTCAACATGTGCACATAGAACAAAGTAGTCAACACCAGTAATAATTGTGATATTTTTGTATATTAATTTATACTCACACGAGACTTTGCCTTAATAATAGGACTTTACTGTTATTTAAGATGATATTAATTTTTATCGTTACTAGATGTGTAAATAAAATTTATTTAATTATTTAAACGACTGTATTATTTACTAATTTAATATTGACACAGAGTAGACTTTTAATAAATTGATTAATATTATTATAATATAATATAATGCACTTAACAAAGGTTACATTCAATTGAATGATTTTCTCGAAGTTCATTCAAGCCTATGTACTCCTTGTTGTGAAGGTAGCGCATAATATGGTAATGTAAATTTAGCTAATATTTTAAAATATAATAACCACATTGTTGTTATATTTACAATTGGAAAAAAAAATCGAAGAAAGTCTGACTTTAACTCATAGCGTATATGCCGGAACAAGTTTTAATATTGCTCGCTACAAAACCTATTGGAATATTATAGTGTCGAGTTATAAATATATGTTTAATATTAATATAATTTTGTAGTAAGTTTTGTAATATTTATGTATACATTATTGCAAAAGATACTACAAAATTTACAAAGCAAATAGGCCTGTTAAAAAAACCCTGATTTAATTCAAATTACGAATATGACATTACTGTCGCGACCGTAAGTGTTTCGCAATGTATTATATCAGAAAACGAATACGGATATTAACGACCTAGATCTCAGCCACACTCAGATATAATCTAGGTTGTTATATTGAATACTATTGAAATTTTGGAAATTGCAATATTACTTTCACAAATGTTGTTGCACTTGAGAAAGTGTATTGCAATATGATATATTGTCGTTTTTGCGGTGGATGAGCTGTCACGCAAACGTAATCTATAGATACACGTTGCGAGCAAAATTGCTTATTTTTTATCTAACTATAAAAATCCTTCCTCCTAATTTTTAATACTAATGTTCCGCCCCGGCTTCGCATGGGATTAGTTAAATTAGTATTCTACATTACCTTTAATAGATAAATTTTTGGTTTCAGTTAAAATCTCTATTAAAAAAATACTATAATGTGTTTGAGCTTAGCCATTACTAACAAACAATCAAATCTTTCTTCTTTATAATATTTAATAATAATAATTAATATTAAAAATATGAAAGTGATTTAATTTTTTTTTATTTGTTACATATTAGTGGCTTAGCAGCTCAACTAATTGTCATAAAATTTACGTGATAACGTCACATATTATGTAAGATAGATAAGGTCATAGGCTATTTTTTAACCTGGCCAATAAATATATCCTTGTCACCGGTCAGTTGTGGATAAAAGCTAAAACAAAATATTCGCAGTTTGCTGGTAAGAGCATCATTTGATACAAGTAAATTTAATTTTTTTATGAGCCGTAATAGTTTGATAGTTGAGAAAAAAAATTCTGACAGGATCAGCTAGTATACTCGTAGAGTGGAAATTGACAAAATATATATTAACCACATTCATTTGTTAGATATAGTTGTAAGATAGAAATATTAGTATAAACAACATAACAAAACCATAAAGGAGATCTACTGCAAAAAGCATTTCAGTATGAGTTTGTAATATTTGGCATTTATCTCTTGAGTCTTACTAACTTTCTAACAAAAAACTTATTATATTCATTTAAAATAGACATCTAATAAATAAGTAAAGCAGTTGCTCCAGGAAGAACAATACAAATATTAGTAAAACAAAGAAAGCATAATTTACAAACACGGATTCAATTTAAAAAAGATATAAAAACATAACAATTTATTTAATTAAAACGACAGTAACACATAATATTCGGTGTATAGAAGAAAAACGTTCAATGATGATGGACTGGCTGAACATGTTTAGTCGGCTCCGAATGTTTCACGAAGGCATTGAACCTGAAAATACGATCATTAACATTAAGAAACATGAGTATCAGAAAACAACTAGTTTCTACACTTATGGATAAATACATAATCTGATATCAATTACCTATCAAAAGTTAGTATAAAATATTTTTTATATGCCTATAATTTTTTACTCTTTTTAATATCAGTGGATTAATGTTTAAAATAACTATAACTTTTAAAATCATATTTATAAAATTACAGAATTTTGGAAAAACACTTTAGAATGAACACTACATTTTGTTTTTCGTATAATATACTGAAATAAAGCATGAGTTTATAATCATATTTAGATAACAATGTAAAGTGACCAATTAGTTAATTTACATAAATGAATATAATTATGATTAAATTTCTTCAATTGTTGAAAACACCACTCATATTCTGTACACAGGAATTAGAATTTATCTATTATTCACTATTTTATTTATAGTAGATATAATAAATAATTCTATAACCGTATTAGCACGGCTATCTTCGATCTAACTTGAAACTAAACGTGAGAGAAATCTTCTCTAGTGAATCTGGCTTAGGAATAATGATTAGGTGTGATGTAACAAAATGTTTATGATTACCGTAAACTAGCTCTGTGGGACGTCGCTTTGCAAAAATTAGGACCGTATTTATTAACCCGGACATATATTTGCAACTCAATTTGAATTCCATTAAGATTTGGACAAATTTTTTTCTTAGTTCTGAATATTCTGGGCAAGATCATAGTAAATAACAGTCGAGTGTTTATATCGATATAAAATTTAGTGATGTTTTATAATAACTTGCTAAATTGTTATTCAATTAGTTATAATCATTATCATCAATATCATCATTTCAGCTATTATTCGTCCACTGCTGGACATAAGCCTCCCCCTTAAACTGCCATAAAGAACAGTCCTGAGCCACCTGCATTCACTGACTCCCTGCAATGCGTTTCAGGTCATCACTCCATCTAGTGGGAGGTCGTCCTATACTGCGTTTATCTGTACGGGATCGTTACTCAAGAAACTTTCTTGTCCATCAGTTATCGGTTCTTTAAGCTATGTGACCAGCCCATTGCCACTTCAGCTTACTTATCCTTCGGGCTATGTCGATTACGTTGGTTCTTTTGCGGATATCTTCTTTTCGGAATAAATTATAATATTTAGTAAATATTATGAATTACATTCATTATAAAAATATGATTAATAGTATCAGATTTAGTATTTCATCACGTTAATATTATTAATAAATGCAAAAAAATATTTGAAAGTTTGCCAATAGGAATAAGTACTTTGATTAGTTCTTATGTTTTAATTTAATCTTTGTGAATGGGGGGGGGGAGGGGGGAAATTGTTAGTAATGGTGTGTAACAGCCCCATTGCTAGCAATGCACCTATCCAGTTGACCTCCTTGCGGTTTCCCTGGAAACCATCGTGATTAATTTTCGTGGAATTCTTCACGATGGGTTAACTGATCTGCTTTCATCCTCACCTATTCTCATTGGTGCTCTGCCAGCGTATACTGGTAGCGCAGGCGGGGTTAACATTCCATTTTCATCCATTAAAAAAACCTAACTTTTTTAAGTTTACCTACTATTAATCATAGAAATATCAAATATTAAAGTTTAAGGAATCAGATGATTTTTAATTGAATGAAAAGGATAGTTGAGAATGGAGTCGCATCATTTGGACTATCGTGATGAATTTACCAGGAGGCAACCAAGATGGTTTCCAGGCAGGTTCGCATAAAAGTTAACTCGATTAATTGCTAGTTCCCCACCTTCTTCTCCCGAAATGAGATATTAGTATTATTTTATTACAATGAATTATTACCCTGTGTGCTTGTCGGAATTGTATTCGACGGTGCGGATTGATCCATCAGCGTCATGTAGACTGTAGACACCTTTGACGACATCACCATCTCTCGACTCATGCTGGTACTTGTTGTCACCGGTATGAGGGTCCTCTACTTTGTATTCAAATACGTATTTTGGGTATGCCTGGATAGAAACAACATAGCAAGAAATATTTCAGTCTCATTTACAAACCACTAAACATAGGCATATAACAATATTTTTTAAATTATCATTATGTTTATATTGGGATAACGGTATGAAGATGATGATGATGATGATCAAGTTTATAATTAAAATAAAAAAAATTTTGAAGAAATATTAAATATATTAATATTAATGAGTTTTGATGGCGTTTCTTCGCTATTTTGGTCATTTCATTCTTTATATTTCTACTATTATTTTCTCATATATTCCTACAAATAACGTAACATGTAATATTAAAGAAATATGGTAAATACTGCCGTGTGGTCTCGGCATATAACCGGCTGTCCCTTCCTTTCTCGTAGGTGTCGTAGGAGGCGGCTAAGGGAGAGCGAGTGATGGGTAAAAAAGTCCCTCTTAAAACATCTCCAAAGCCTAAATGCCTAACTGTCAATTTGCCTGCCAAGCGTGGCAGCTACTGGCAAAAGTCTCCAAGAAGAAGGCTTATGTTCAGCAGTGGACAGTTAAAGGCTGATATGATGATAGTAAACACATTTAATTTTTAAATTTCCTTGTCCTTCACTGTCAAAGAAAGGAGAATAATAGTGTTTTTTGTTACTTATATTTCAAATTTATATAATATCACCAAATGCCGTAATAAATAACAATATGGTTAAACCACGTGAATAATTATAACGAACTTATCGTTTTGGAAACTCACATAATAGTCATGGTGTTCTTCTTTGTGGACGGGAGCGTGATGCACAGCTACAGGAGCTTGATGAACTTGGACTGGAGCAACGTGGTGGACCGCTGCGGGGGCTGCGTGGTGAACTGCAATGGGTGCTGCGTGGTGAACGGCGACAGGAGTATGGGAGCTTTGACTTTTGTGATGAGTCTGAGGGTGGGTGATTTCATGATGGACTACAGACTTTGATGAGTAAGAGTGGCTGTGTTGCTCTTGAGCGGACACTGCAGCTATGGCAACAATGAAGATTGTAACCTGTTTAAACGAAAGAAAATAGTATACATTAAAAATATATTTATTATTTATATTGATACTTATAGTTTAACAAATACTAATATACAAATTGAAAAAAAAAGTCTAATTATGAAAAACTTGATTTTATTTTTATTAAAATAATTAATATTTTATTAATATTTTACAAGTACCTACTTTGTTAAACATTTTTATATTGTGTTTGTTCTAATGAATTTTGAATGAATGATATTATAATTTAAATCATTGCAGTTTTTATACTTAAAACCAGAACTACGGTACTTGTTTGGTAAGTAAGTTACATGGTTACTACGGGGTGACAAACGGGTTTTGTATTTTGTCAACTGAACACCATTCAGAAATTATAAATCATTCCACTCAATTATGAATCAATACCTCTAGTAAAATTGTAACTAGTTACTTTCTGTACACACACACATATATATATATATATATAGATATATATATATATATATATATATATATATATATATATATATATATATATATATATATATATATATATACTACCTACCGTGCGAAGCCGGGTCTGATCGCTAGTGTGTATATATGACACTTGAAATATAAGCTATCAACTTGTAAGGTTGCTGTCACATAATTAGCTAATGTCTTTCCTAGTTAGATACGGAGGTGTAATATAATTCCTTCATGAAGTTATTTCATGTACATATCTGTACTACTTCATGTCAAATTTCTATTTTTAGTATATGAGTACATACTAATACTACAACTACTTTCAGCAACAATATGAACCGTTTTAACTACAACAAAGTATAAGTATACATTGTAATTAATATTTATTACTATAACAATGTGTATAAAAATAAAATAATTTATTAAATGAAAAGCCATTTTATTATTTACACAATCAGTCACAAACTGAAACGATCCAACAATTCAACGTTGCTACATTCTTTATAATACTTTTCATAAAATACGTATCAAAGTTCAGTTACGAAAATATTTACATTTAGAAAAAAAACACAATACAATAGTTACGATACAATGAAGATGCTACAAGTAATATATGTATTTAAAATTATAAGTGAATTAATTTAGAAGACGTTGAAATTATTTTATGAAATGTACTAAATATCTATTTTTATTTCTCTAATAAATCATTTCATAGAACTATCGGTTTTTCTTATCTTCACAAAGGTGCAACATACAAAGGCCCGACTTGATTACAATAATTGCTATCACTCGTTGTCATATTCTGTCCTAACTTATATTATTTATTTTAATAAATAGGTTTCGTCGTATTGTGTTAGAATTTTTCATTAGGTATGTAGTTAGCCTAAAATATGTCCATGGCCAATGGCTGGTGCGGCAACTACTGGAGCAGCGATAGCTGGATGACCCGCTGGACCTTGTCTGTTTACTACAGCATTGAATCTGAAATTTTACGAGACTTAGTTGTAATTTATTTGTTGTGCTAGAAATGTGTTTCTTGTTATTCTATCTCCATCACTATCGTGATTATATCAGCTGTAAACTGCCCATTGCTGAACCTAGGCCTTCCCTTATTGAAGGGGTTTGTCAATAGTCACCACACTTAGCAGACAGATTGGCAACCGTCTATTTTATCCCTCTGTCATGATAAAAAGATTACAGTATATTAATGAAACAGTTTCTTTTTATTTCAGAAAACACATGATAATATAATTGTTTAAGAAGAGTAACGAAATAAAGCTCTATTCTCAGTCACTTGACCATATTCTTTTGCTGTGGTAGTAAACAAGCATAAAACAGCCCATATGATTCATAGACTACAGATGCCTGTAAAACCAGGGATATCACGCGCGACCGACCCAATCGTTGTAATAATAGGCTGATATTCTCTTTAAAATGAGAAAGGTTTCTAAACACTCTTGTTTAGAAGTGAAATGATGGTTCGTAATTCTAACAAAAATGTAATGGATGAACAATCTCATAGATATCATGAAATAGATTACGCGTTAGTGTCAATTTTGTTATTTGCTTTATTGGTAAGGCATAATCAATTAGCAATAATTGCACCTCGGATTAACTTCATTCCCAACACTGTTTGTAGTCTCAAATTTATTATGCTCAAACCCATGTGCTGTCACTGATATTATAAAAATATACTTCTTAATTTTATTTCGTAGTTAATAGTACAAAAAACATTAACTCTAGTAATATAGAGACTTAGACTGGTTATACATATATTTAAATCTATTATATATTGTTTTATAAAATTTACCCATTGTGATCATCAGCGGAATAGTCGACTGTGCGGACGGTGCCATCAGGTTCGACCAGCGAGTATTGTCCTTTTACAACGTCACCGTCACGGGACTCCCACTGACTCTTCTGGTCACCAGTATGGCCATCTGTCACACCGTAGTTGAATGTGTAGCGAGGATACGACTGTAACATAAAAACAATAGCGTTATCGTTTTGTAATATTAGACTCTTAGTTCGATTTTAAATACAATTTAGCAGTTTAAGTGATTTGTAAAATCATCTGATTATTTTTATGATAATAATTTATGGGATTTTGTTACCTGATCTGTTACTTTTTATCAAATGGACTATCAGCATGTTTGCTATTCCAATCCAAGATACATAAAAAATACAACTATGTAATTAATTAACATATGAAGCAATCGATCAATTCTGAAAAACATTAACTCTCTACTTGTTTAACGTATTCTGTAATTCATTGACTAATACTTCTTTAGCAAATTCTTTAGAAATTTCTTTAGCTGTTTTATCCTTGTAACGTATTTAATTTGAATTATATTGTATATTTCTAGTCTCCTTAGCAATTTTTAAACTTATAATTTTATTATAATATGTACATAATAAGGAAATTATATGCGACTAGCGGCCCGTCCCAGCTTCGCACGGGTGGATATTTTTACAATATTTTAAAAAGTGGTTATTGTGACATAACGATAATAGTTGGACATACAGTATCGTAAAGTTTTTTTATAGCTATTGATATTCTCTTCAATATTGTAGAACATACTTTTGTTCTATCACCAATAGTTTCCGCAACGCACACGACGAAAGATATTTTATAGTATTTTTTACACCTTGAGTTTTAGTAAGGATCCCTAATCTTTTTTAGCAATAAATATAGCCTATATTACTTAAGGTGAATGTAGCTTTCTACTGATGAAAGAATTTTTTAAATCGGCAAAGTAGTTTTTGAGTTTATTCATTACAAACATACACATAAAAATACAAATCTTTCCTCTTTATAATATTAGTGTAGATGTAGATAGTGTAGATAAATAACACACTGAATTATAGAAATTGCATCTGTATTTGTGAGAAATATCTTTAATGGATAAATGATAAATAATACTTACATAAACTTCAACAGGGGCGGCGTGTGCAATGGGTGCTCTCAGAACGGGCGCGTGCGCCAGTAATGCGCTGCGACCTGTACATATTCTTTATTTTGAAAATGTATAAGTAATTAATATAATATTATTGTAGGTGTAATTGATATTATGAAGTTGATATTTTTAGGACGTAGTCAATATAATTAAAGTTTTTCTGCTATATTATGGAATATTCTATTGCGTTGTTGTGTAAAAAGTTTATAATATTTTTATATAATTTTTACTTTTGCTAAGTTTATTACTGTAGTCTTTTGGAAGGAATAACAAAGAATATCTATCAGTTTATCCATCTTGAATCCGGTTTATATTGTTATAAATAATTATATTATTTATTAATATTTGATTTGTAAACATACAACGACAATATAAATTTATACTAACTATAAATTACTGCAGTGAGTGCAAACTCTTTGAAACGTAATCAGTGGTTTAAAATATATAATACATAAACGTAATAATTTATTTACCTAATCCCAGCCCTAACGCGGGCGCAGCGTATGCAGATGCAGCATATGGTGCGGCGTAAGCAGGCGCCCCGTAAGCGGAGGGACCCAAAACGATACTCTGCGATGAGATAGCGCCATGCGGGCTAATAAGACCACCACACGCTATACTTATCAATGTGCACGCAAGAATTACCTAAAAACGAAATAATATATAAGTAAATATATAATATATAACCAATATACATTGTTGCTCGTTTACATTTTGCATTTACTGGAAGAGAACTTTAGAAGAAGAGAAAAGAAAAGTTAAGTTCGCCTTTGTATATTTGTTTTCCAGCGTCATATTTCTGTATGCATTATTATTACGTACAATAAAGTATAGTCAAATCAATACCATTGGGCATATCACACAGCGCCATTTAGTTCCAAACTAAGCAGAGCTTGTAATAGTATCAGTATTGTAGCGGTACCAGATATCTGATAAGCATACTCACGCTGAATGCTTTGCGAAAATAATAAATATTTAACTAACAATAATAATACGCAACTTTTTATATACTTTTATATAGAGAGTATTAAATGATAGTCCAAATATTGTAATCTTAATTCTTTAAAATTATAATACATGAGGAGTAGCAAGAGCGTTATAGCATAGTTTGTAATACCTATTACACTGTTAGTGACATCTTGTCTGCTCTTCATTTTAAGTTGTATGAAAAATTTATCATTCAGCCATATAAGCATGGTTGAGTAACAAACAACTAAACATATTTTCAAAGCTTTACATTTACAATAATTATTAGTATTAGAATGTTCCAATGAATTATTTAATAAAAAAAAAAAACTATTTATCTAACAGAGCACGTAAATTTATAAAGTGATGAATTTATATTAAATTAAATTTTTATATATTTATATTATATAATTTATATTAAATTATATAATAAAAATATATAAAAATATAGTACACATGTAATTTTTCCCCGTTTATATATTCGAAATCACAAGATGACACTTTAATTCACATTTCCATCACATAGATATTATTTTACCTTGGCAAACATTTTCCTATTGTGTCTAGGCTTAACACAGTATTCACTACTAATACTGGGACTTGTCTGTCGAATCGTTAAATATCTGGCGCTTTTATACGACGTTATTATGCCCTATAGGTACAGGCATAGAGTCCCGGCCGCCGTCGTATGCGCAGGAAATTTATACATATATCTATTAGGCGTAGCCCGTGAATAAACTAGATCGCTAGAATAACTTGGATATAGCCTTCATCATGAAATATTTATGTATAAGGAATATTTATTTTTAATGAAAAGTTTAAACTTTATAATATTGATATAAGTTTTTCAGCAGAAGCTGAAAAATAAAAACTTAAACTTGCTTAACTTTAAATGTATTTTTAAGTTAATAAATAACGTTAGAGAAAGAGCACAATATAATAAATTGCTGCCAGTAAAATATGTTGTACAAATAGTTTTTATTTATTTCAATATTTAGCATATAATTAAATGGTCGAGAGATGGGCAATAGAGTCCCTCTTAAAATATCATCAAAGTCTAACTGTATTGCCAACCCGCCTGCCAAGCATGGTAGCTATTGAAAAAACTCCACATATGAGAGAGGCCTATGTTCAGCAGTGAACAATTAACGGCTGATATATTATCTAATATGGGAGGAAAAGGATTGTTAGTAATGAGGTTTGACAGCTCCATTGCTAACAATATACCCTATCAGGTCGACCTAGACGTGATTCCTCCTGGACACTATCGTGGCTAATTCTTGTTGAATTCGTTACGATTGGCTGTCTGACCTGCTTCATCTTCATCTATCATCACTCACTGGTGTCTCGCCAGTGTATACAGAAATCGTAGGCGGGGTTACCATTCCATTATTACATATAAAAAAGGTGTATTAATAATTTTAAAAAATTATATGAAGTCGTAATCTATCTATACATAGTACTAGTTCTTGTATAATGGAAGAAACTCGCTTACAAGATACAGGTTACTCTAATTTACAAATTAGAGTAACCTGTGTCGTGTCTTTTGTAAAATATGTAAGTACCACTCCGTATTTGTTAATATAGGCTTTACTTACTTACTTAATTAATCTGTTATAAGCAAATCTATTTGTTTATATACAAAACTTGTACAAGGCATGTCCATATTAGGCTAATGTATGTTCGATTATACTACAGGAATAGTACCTAATAGGGCCTTGCACAGACATGTATCGACAAAAACATTAGCTTAACCTTAAATTTCCTGATAATTAATAAGAAAAAACATAATTAGCAAATAAAATATATTGACTATATTAATTATTAACGATCAGGTCAGGTAGACAGAAATTTAAAAAATAATTTAGGTACAGTTTATTAGCTGATAATATAGTTTTCCACAGATGATAGAAATTTTAAAACCAGTTGAATAGTATTTAAATTTATTAATTAGGTAAAAAATTATGAAAAATTGTATATAATTATATTATTTCAATAAATTAGAATGGGTTTATGTATTTAAAGAAAATCTACCCGCTGACATTGATGCTTCTTTCCACCTTGGATTTGCTGGAAGAGAACTCTTGTAAAGTTAAAATCGCTTTTGTATATTTGCTTTTCACTAATATATTTTTATGTATTATTAGTGTGTACAATAAAGTATAAAGAAATAAAGGTATTTTGAAATAAATAGTAATAAATAAATAAAATAAGCGATTTAGAGAATTTTATATTTTAATCTCTTGGCATATTAATAGGTCACGTAATTGTCGTAAAATTTGGTAAGAAAGTTATTTATTCTGGCAATTTTTAACTGCAAACGAAATCACATACATAGCTGTACTTACTCGTAGGTATCTTTAACTTATTTGGTACTTTATACTATTATCAAATCAATAATCGTGGTAAGATATTTTTTTTCTGGAATTTTTTTTCCTCAATCGAAGTCACATTCATAGCTGTACTTACACGTAAATATCTATAAATCATTTGGTACCTTATACTATTATCAAATCAATAAACGTGCTAAGATATATTTTTTATTCTGGCAATTTTTTCTTTAATCAAAGTTACATGCATAGCTGTACTTACTCGTAGATATCCATAAATCATTTGGTACCTTATACTATTATCAAATCAATTATCGTGGTAAGATATATTTGTTATTTTTGCAATTTTTTTCCTCGATCGAAGTCACATGTATAGCTGTATTTACTCGCAGATGCTGTAACGCATTTGGTACCTTATATTATTATCAAATCAATAATCGTAGCACATACATTCATTATGTAGTGAAATAAAAAATGTATCAACATAATATGGCATTGTCCAATCTCTTTTAATTTATTAGGTCAAACAATCTATTATTTCTATAAAGTTTGCTTTAAATGGCGACAATGTAAATACAATTAATAATCACAGTTTTCCGAAATTATAAGCCTTTTGCTATTTTAGATATAAATAGGCGTATCAATTTTATCTGAAACTCAAATAAAAGGATGCTATATATATATATATATATATATACAGAATATAATAAAATACATGTACAGAAATGTATCTATGGTTGAGTATTTTCGATATATAATATATAACCGTACTATATATATAAACTTACCATCAGGTCGGCCGTATGCTTGTTTGCCACCTTAGTGGTATAAAAATATTGGAACTAGAGGGCGTTGTAACGTCAAACATGACGTCAAACAACTACTGGGGAATTATTTTATGATTCATCAATTCAGTGGTAATGGTCATTGAACTTCATTTATATACAAACTGTAGTCTCTATAAGGTAAAACAGGTTTAATAGATATGTAAATTAATCACTTTAATTATTAATATCGTAAGATCGGAAATAAGATCTTATGTTCTAGATGTCATAAAACATATCGAATGCAAATATTGCAACATTTTGTAACCAATAACTAATAATTGATAAGGTTAATGTTAATTAATGTTAATAACATTTTTTAGTACAGATAACTCATATTATATGTATAACGAGCTATGGAGAGGGCTATGTTCAAAGTTTCTTTGCGTGACAAAATTCGAAATGACTATATCTGTAAAAGAACCAAAATAAACGATATAGCCCGAAGGATAAGCAAGCTGAAGTGGAAACGAGTTGGTTACATAGCTCGAAGTTATATAGTTCGTACTGATGGTGAAGAAAGATTTTTTAGTGGCGACTCTGTAAAGACAAACACATTGAGTGAAGGACGACTCACTACTAGATGGAGTGACGACCTCAAATACATTGTAGGGAGTCAGTGAATGCAGGTGGCTCAGGACCATTCCTTATGGTAGTCTATGGGGGAGGCTGATGTTTAGCAGTAGATAGATAACCTGTGACCAGGATATTTTCACTGACCGAATTAAAAAGTAACCTGTGTTCTTCTTTAACCCATATAGTTCGTGTATACCGAATCTTATAATGATTGGTTAAGCCGCTAAAGCACTAAGAAGTAATAAACAAACAAACATTTTAGGTGATAGATGATAGATGGAGGGAAGACTTTAAACGAAACCCAAAATCGTGCGCGCGTAATGTACTTATTACCACTGTGTTAGAGAAATAATTGTATCTATGAATCTATATGTTGCAATTGACCCCATAAATCAAAACTGTGGGTTGTAATCATATAAACAATGTGTGATGAACTATTTGATCCATTGAATTTAGTAAGAATGTTTAACGAGCTATTCATTAACATTCCACCTGAATTAGAAACCTATAATTATGAGCAACGGAGAACTTAAGAGTATTATGTGAATTTTATTATTACCTCTTACTTATTTTATTAATAAAAAATTGGTACATAAACTGAATTTAATTAATTATAGTTGCGTAATGTAATGAAGTCCATTAATAGATTAATATTTGAATTTGTTTTAAAATAATGAAACAAAATAATCAGAAAAGGAGGATAATAAAATGTTATCATTTATGAAAATTAAAGAGTAATTGTTTTTAAGAAAAAAACACATTTTAATTATTTTCTTCATTTTATGTCGGATACTGGGATAATATATCTTGCGTAATTTTGAAATTGGTTACAAATAACTACAACCGCGTAGTTGTTTCTGTTATGCATCTGTGAACAGTTCATTGACACGCATATCGTAGGAGTGCCAATTTATTTTTCTACTCTAAACAAAGACTCACATTATTTTATCAATTGTTTTTGTGGTCGCTTTTTACACTTTCTGGAACTATCTGGTCGTTTAGCATCGAGCTTGCACAGTGCGTGTCGTTTTACCGTTGCGACAATATGACCGTGTCATGGCCGCACCCACTGGTGAATGTTCTTGCTATGCATTCTGATGAATTAAACATGTTACCATTCTTAGTGATAGATTACTTAGGGACATATCATACACGATTTTTGGGGATAATAGATCGTTTATTAGTAATTGTATTTGGAATAATAGACAAGTATTGAAGGTATAGATTTTTGTGTTTTTTAAGTAAGTTTTTGAGATTGTATGTCCTTGTTCTTGGAAATTTAGTAAACATTATTATATATTACTTATAGAGACAGATCTATGCCCAGTAATACAATTATTACTGGGCAAAGATCTGTCTCTGTAAGAAGAGTGATGTTATATTTAACAGACTTATATTATACTATTATACTACTATATGGGCCAAAAGCTACAGTGTAGGGTTTTTTTACTAATTTTCCAAGCAGTATTTTTTATTAACCTAGTGGGTACACTGCAGATTAATTTTTTTTTATTTCGAATGTGATCATCTAGTTCCCAAATTTTACTAACTTATAAATATTTCGGTAGGGCGTCCACAGCATTAATATATGGTCAGTAGAGGATTTTTATATAATTTTATAAATAATTTCAATTATATGAAAACCTATGATATTACTTAAAACAGCAGAATACTGTTAGTCCATTTAATAGTAATTGTCATTTATAGACAGGATTACAATGATAGACATTATAGAATAGACTGTGAAGCCTAAGGTTTTGTGGCGTTTATGTCTCATCTTGGCAGAATCTATAGATTTTTGTTGGGCTTAAGTTTCGTCTGACTACATAGCTATGGAAATGGTTTTAAGGACAACTGTCCATGATTCATTAAAACAAGTTAGAAAAAAAAATTGTGAAATTATCAGATATTTTTTTAAATTAGAATTATTTATTTCGTGACATTGTCACTTTCATTTTTGTAACTTATCTCGCTTATTAACTATGTAGAAAATTATAAAAATCTCCCAAAATTAAATAACAATTCGATAAGACCTAAAAATGGCTCAAACGTCCTTGTGTGGTAATACGCAGACACTCCCACTTGCACCAGTTTCTGGGCCTTAACACTTTCACTATTATTGTAATATTGTTTCGCAATATTCTTACGGCGTCATAACACTACATATTTGTCAATAGTCCGCTAACTGCCGTCCATATAACAATTAGTCACCTTGTAAATTTCTGAATTGTTTTGTTTTCATGGTCGTGTATAATTATGTGAATTATAAAAATATTTTTATCATATTATGGGTACTCTCTAGAAATCTTTGCATATATTTATTACAAAAAAAATCTGTCTGTACTTAATAAGGAAAGTAAAAACTTCATACCACATTAAATTTATATTCTACTTACTTACCTATTTTTAATTTATCCTGTAATAAGAATATAAATAAGATAACATATTTATTAACAGTGTTTATTAATTTCATTATTATTTACTTAAATTACTTATATCTACATTAATTTAAGAAAAAAAATAACATTGCTTTGGTTTGAAAAATTTTACATAAATATGTATACAAATATATTATGTACACGATTCTGTCATTCTATGATTATGTCAAAATATACTTAATATAATATTTTCGATTTGATTTAAGAATTCTGGCCAAGCCAAGATTTGAAAAATACACTAATTTGTATGCACGGTATTATAATTTATTTATATGTCAAACATTTCTAAAATATTAACTACGGGTTTTTTCTTCTTTACAATTTTACGAATAATTTCCTTGGGAGCACTCTGATCAGCGAATGGTTCTGGTCGTACTTTTAAACGAGACGGGCGGAATTTATCACGGTCATCATCACGATAATAATGAGAAGGAGCAAATTCATCGTCTATATCAGGCAAAAATTCATTTGGCTCGCTCAATTTTGTTGGATTTTTAAGTTTCTTTTTTGGTACCAAAACATAATCATCAAGATTATCACTAAAATATTCAGGGCTTTTGTAAGGCTTATGTTTCTTTTTAGGCCGAGTAGGAGGTTCTACGGGGTAATAACTATCTTGGGAATTTAATTCTGGTAACGTTGGATAATTGTGTTTCATAGATGATAGAGATATTTTATCGTCATCAAATTTAGGACCTTTAAGTCCTAGTTTATAAGAGGGAGAATATTTTTCAAAATCATAAATAGAATCTGGTTTTCCGAAATCATCCTTAAATGAATCTGAGAAAGGTGGATATTTTTGTTTGGTTAATTCTAAATCTGCGACACTGGTGTACATGTTGTATTTGTTTTTCTTTTTCGTCTTGCAATTTGCGTCAGTGCTATAACCAAAGTGAGATTCACTGGCTGAAGTAGATTCATCAAAAGGATGTTTAATGGAATAACTATGTGTGTAATCACTAGGTTCTTGATCAGGAATATAGTTTGGTCTTTTCTTCGTAGGAACTTCTCTAAATCTATTTACAGGATAAGGTCCTCGTTTCCTATGAGTACTTTCGTAAATATCTTCTTCGTCTGCATCTTCTGAGAAATCGAAATCGTGATCGTAATCTTTTAAAGCTTTTTCCTCAATAAAACTTTGACTACTCTTTGCTTGTGGTACGCCTGGGTTATTAACTACTGCTTGAAATCCACTATTTGGACCAGCTGAATATTCTACAGTTCTCATTGAACCGTCTGGTTCTACCACACTGTAGTGACCTGTGAAAAAAATTGAGTTATTTACATATTTTATTTTATCTTAGTATATTTACTATTTCTTTTTAATAAATAACAGTCAAATTGTATCAAAAATCTTTGTAAAAGATAAGGCACATCTTTTTAAATACTGCATTTTTCCTTTTTTCACTAATGATTAGTTAAAACGTTTCGATACGCTGAAGATTCAGTCGAATGAGAAATCATTTATTGTAATTAATTCCAGTTAAAATCCAACATTGCAAAAAATTAACTATCATTTGATTTTTATTTTTAACCGACTTCAAAAAGAAGGAAGTTCTGAGAACCTCTTGTTTTTTTTTCCGAATTGAATTCAGTTGTATTTTTATGTTTGCCACCTCATAAGTCTAAACTAATTTGGAAAATTATTTTTTGATTTGAAAGAATATACTTACAGATTGGACCTATAAATTTTTTATCAAAGTTGATTCAGTAGTCTAGTTTTTAAATCAAAATAATAAATGGTATTGTCACAATTGAGGTCGGTTTTTTGTGAGACATAATCTTTAATTATACAATATTACCTTTCACAGTGTCACCTTCCTTGGTCTCCCATACTGCTTTTATGTCTCCAGTTCGCGAATCGGATACGCCGTAACTAAATGAGTAGCTTGGATTTTCCTGTAAAAACCATATATATGAGTGAATTAACTTCAATTATTCATGCTCATAATTACACTACTATAATATGAACCACTTTATGCAGCGTTCGAAGCGATAGTTTGCGTGAATTTATTCGGTATATTACACGTAATGACAATCCATCGCATGTCTGCATATGAATTTAATATTCTGAATACAAAATAGCTATTAATCGTTTCCATAACACTGGAATGTGAGTAATTAGAGTTTTATAAAGTGAATGTGTGAATAAGTGTTCATCAATTAAATAACGTGTATATATTCATCATTATCGAACGTAACCGGTTATTGCATGTACATATTTTAAAATTAATGGATCTATATAAGTTAATGAAATGTAATGGTATTATTATGTAAAATAATGTATTATTAAAAACATTACAATACACCAAAATCATTAATTAGTCTCAAAATTGGGATATATATTACATAAAAGAAATAAACAAGTAATGTACATGTCGTTCTTGTACATTTAGTGATTCGTACTGAAGATAGGAATCTTTCTATTAAAAAAAGTTTTGGTATATAACAGGCTTTAATTTAATAGGTTGTGATACTTTATAATGAAATATTAGCTAAATTAATGGATTTGTTCTCACTTATCAATACAAAAAGAATCCTGTATACATGTTAATGTAAGCTTTCGTCCACCTACGGACCAAATTTTATTGCAATCTGTTCAGCTATTACTCAATCGTCAGTAAAAACATTTAGATATCTAAACGTATTTAAACTTTAACATTTATAATATTAGTAAGATGACATCAACGTAATATCATATATAATGTAATGTATATAAATCATAAATTATAATGTTTATTTATTTACATTTTGCAACTGTATTGTCAAGTTCAAGATGAGCGAGCCACGTGCGCGAGCGCATCGCACCGCATTAATTCAATGTCAAAGACGCTAAAGACACTCGCTTTCATTCGTTACCTTCACTTTCAGCGATGACTAACTGTTGTTGTTGTAATTTATAAATCTGCACGGATGATATAGTAAGACATTTTATGTATGTGTGTACACACACACATACATAAAATGTGTGTGTGTTTGTTTTTTTTTTTTGTATTGTTATAAATGCGATATATATTAAAATATATTAATAAACAGTTTTTTTTTAGAAATTACTTAGGGTCAAGTACTTGGATTTTGCTCTTGTGACATACAAGCGTGAATTAAAAAATAAAATTGTACTATATTTATTTAGTTTGTATCGCTATTAATTTTTGACTTGTTGTACATAAATAGACAAAAAATATTTTTTTGTATTATGTAGAGTAGTAGAAAAAGTTCATAGATATTACGAATTTGAATACAAATGACAATAATATTGTATATAAATACAGTAATATGTCATTGAAATAATTATGTTAATAAAAAAAGATGTCATTATTTATAATGGTCGAAAGACATAGTGCAGATAGCGGGAAGCAGTGATTGATGTTAGCACAGGATCGATACAAGTGGTGAGACAAAAAGGAGGTCTATGTCTAGGGGTAGGCCGATGTAGGCTTATTAGAGAAATAAAATCGATTTAATTTCCAACTTACTATTTTATGATATTGAAATTAAATCTGATTGCTTTCAGTATTTCTGTACCTTTGATTTCGAGAGGTAAGTTTCGTCATGAAACAAATAATTTTAACATCAACTTCATTTTTGATAAAATTAGTTATTTTGATTTAGAAACTAAATTATTGAACCAATTATGAAATTAATCTAAAAGTTTTTTATATTTCACATAAAAAGCAGCACTCGTGCATTTTAGCTGCTCGCTAACGATATTCTTTTTTACTATATTGGGTTGGCTAGATAAAATTTCTATCAGAGATAAGTCCACCGTTACTTAAAATATTTATAAATGTATTATCTGTGTAATTTAAAAGTGTAATAAATAATATATATAATTAAGTTGCTTTCTAAATGACGAATTTCTGAGGTAATAAGCAAAACAAATTGAACCTTTTTTAAAGTCAGTTAAAAGGCCTTTGACGTGATTATGATTGAAGTTAAAATAGTAAGTCACTGCATTATCATATTAGATTAAAATATTGTTTGAAGGAATGTAAACAAATTGTGAATTACCTAATATACTTATCATAATATGTCAACATAGACTTTCTTTAAAAATATATTTGTTATTGCCTTGGGTATGTATCACGGTTCTTGCAAGTAAAGATGAAATTTTTTTCAAGTACTTAGTTACCTACGTTAGGTAAAGAACTTAGAGCAGCTAGGCTGACACTAAACTTATATTAATAAAAAAAAAATACGCTTATTTAAATCTAGAGCATGATTACTTCAAAACAAGTCCAGTTGCCATAGATAAACGGGTAACGCTCGCCCACTATATAGAACATTGCGACATTAAAGTGACCACTTTCAACAATAATATGTTGGTTGCGAAAGTCTTACATTATGCAAATATAGTTTTGATCAATTGAAAACTAATTATTTTTTAATTACGCCATTACTGCGCCTACCTTGATGTTGTAGAGGTTTACCGTTCACAACGTTTTATTATTCAGTTGTGCGTTCAATTCTCGCACAATATTCAAAACTATTCTCAATATGGAGATATGTAGGGATGAATGTAATTATCATAAAAAAATCATTTAGTTTTATACAGACCCCCTAAATAAGTGACAAATGAATCCTTTGAAGGATTCCTAATCGCAAGCAAGTCCACGAGATGCAATGAGACATTCAAAGTTTAAAGTCCGTACATTCTATCTTATGTACTAGCCAGCGATGATAATTCCATCAATGGATTCGTTTACCACTTGTCTAGGGGATCAGAACAGCGATTCATTAAAAAGTAAGCAGAGAATACTGAATATTTCTATCTACTATTTTCAATAGTGTTTTTATTTCATTAAGTAGATATCTTACGAGTACCCTAGCTATGCTCGCGACTTCACATGTTTCAAAATTAATATTGTTGGAAATAAGAAATAATTTATATTCGTTGTTTCCTATGCCAAATATTATGTACGTTCAATTAATAAATGACAACTAGTTAAACCATTAAAACATATGTGTTTAGTAAACAAACCAAGTAACATTATTACAACAGTAAAAGATGAGATATCTTTAAACATACATATGAAACGAAAATCTTGGATGCAATTCAAGTCGGAGCAGAATTAAGTCGGTATCTTGATATGTAATTCTATTTTTATTGTTAGTTTGCTTAAATGAGGTCTCGGGTTCGATTCTCTGTTAGGACAATTTAGGGAACCAACTTTTCTGAATTGGCTTGGGTCTGAGTATTCTAGATTATGTCGTTGTTTAGTTTCTCATAACTCAGATTATTTTTGCTTGGGTATCAGACGATTGGTGTGAGTGTGGCACTTATTAATATTATTAATAATAAGTAATATAATACTTCCATTTATTTATTTATATTTTTTAATTTTTTACAAAATTCACATCTCCCCTCTTAAGGAGAGGAGATGGCAAACTAACCCCCGGCAGAAGCACAGTCGGCCAGGGTTCAGGGCCCCAGGGAGAGAAACCGGCGTACAATGCGAGCAGAATCTAAGAGCACCGCTTTCTGCATCTTTCCCGGGAGTGAGCCGCCTCGGAATCCCAACCGTCTGAGATGTTGTTCCAGACTGGTTGGGATAAGACCGTTCACCGACATAACGATTGGATTATTTATATTATTGTTAATTATAAACATACATGAAAATATCATATGTAAAATTATATAGCATTGCGTAAAAAATATGTCATTTATTATAAAGTTTTGTATTTAAAAATAACTGTCTTTTTATTTTATGTTAAACTGTCTCTTTTATTTATTGGTAGATATAAATCAATGGTTATTTATGAGACACAATTTTTTTACATGTAATCGAAATAATTATGCTGGAGGTAAACACCTCTTAGTATAGTCATTTTAACGAGTTCTAAATCTACATAATTAATGTAGGTTTCTTTACACAATATATAAAATATTGCTAATTAGACGTTTTAAAATTCATCTTATTTACATGTCACATGTCACTATGTCATATTGCAAATATAAACAGGAAACGTTTGTAATAATTTAAAATGATTCAAAATCAGCATATTATATCATGCTTTTTACTACTTTATTATATCATCTTTATAATAAACATAAATTACATAAATAATATCTCATCAAAAGAGGCCTTGAAATGCATTAGTTTTATATTAATATTATAATGCGAAAGTTTGTAAAGAAGGATGGATGGATGAATAAATAAATTGTTAGATGTCTCTTACTTTTTCACGCAAAAACTGCTGAACGGATATGAATAAAATTTGGAACACGGGTAGGTTATATTCTAGGCACATATCGTCATAGTCGTAGAATACTGACGGATCTGACAAATATTACATATAAAGATTCGTCAGTATTCTACGACTATGACGATATAATAAAAATCAAGATTTCGATTAAAAAAATTAAAGGGATGTGTTTATTTTTTTTTTAAGAAACGGATAATTTAAATTGAATATAATAATTTTTTATCTATATTTATATAAATTACTGTTAGGTTAATAAATATTAGGAATACGTGAATGTTAATATTTAGCAAGTAATATACACATTGGTTAATGTACGGAAGAGAAAAAAACTAAATTAATTTAATAACAACATTTAGCTTAACTTGCATAGCACTGCCAATAGAACTGTTCTAACGTAATTAAAGATTCTTAGAAAATTAATAGTTATTAATCAAGCTAATATGTTTATTTATATATTTTTTGCATCTAAATGTTGTGCGAACTTTTTGTAATTTTATTTCCCTGTTTGTAAATTCGCTGTTTTTTTTTTATTAATTTAGTTAACAAAATTTTAAATACTATATTTATCATATTTTTTATACCCAAATTAACAAGGTATACTTTGTTGATTCGAGTATATGGAAAGAATTACAGATAAATAACTGGTAAAATAGATATACAATATGAAGATGTTTTCCGGAATTGGTGTGTTTAAGAAATATATGTCAAAAATTGGATGTAGCAAGAGATGTATATAAGTAAATGCCTTTGATGCTATTTTGAAATTTTGGTTAGTGATAAATACAGACAATATCTCCGCTAATTCTAAACTGACTTTAAAAATTTCTTTTTCCTCATAAAAGTTGATCCCACACCAATTTTGTATTTGTTCTTGTGGAGCAAAATTTTAAATTACACATAATGAAAACCTGTCATTATTAGATATAGTAATCAGCAAGTAATTATTGAAAATTAAGCATTCACTGATCTGGGTAATTATTATCGTGTCGCCACTGCGTAATGACGTATTTGTGACACATTGCGTGTCTATTGAATAGTGAAATTCGCATAAAATATTCGTTTTATTTTCTTTCTTTCTATTTTTTGTCAAAAATCTTCTAGGATAGTGCTTGATAAAATCTCGTTATGTAGTGTTCTTCGTGTATTGTATGAATGCGTTTTTACCGACACGTGTAGATAAAGTAATTTAATAGATTTTTGTAAATGAAGTTTCGGTTAAATCATCACACGGTGTGCTATGGTAATGATGCCAGCATAAAGTAATATTTTACGGAACTAGGTGTTATTTTACGGAAGTCCATATCACTAGTTATTTGATCAGAATTATTTTGTTTAGTTCTGCTACCGTTAGTATGTGTGCAACTGCCAGCACTTGAAGATTGACTACCACTATTTCCAGAAGTTATATAACATTCCATATTAGTCATTAATCTCTGACTACCATTTTTTCTACACACAATTTGCAACACGTGTTCCATCTCTAAACAAGTTTAGATTTAGGCTTTTTAGGCTCCGAGCAGCGACCTAATAATTTACCTCAAGATGCCTTGTTTAGAAGTGAAACACGTGTCACAAAATGTGCGTGAACGAAATGGCAGTCGGAGATTGTTGGCTAATATAGAAGGTTGCAGAACTTCTGGAAATAATAATAGTACCTAGAACATTTTCGAGTGTTGGTAATCGCACACATATTAATGGTAGTAGAAACAAACATAAACAAATAAATAGTCATAAAGTAATATGATGACTATTGATTATCAAATATAGATATAACTGTTTTTACTACACTTAAAAATTAATAGAAAAAATGAAGCATAGGGAAGGGACTATAAATATTATATAAAGTTGTGCATACTCACAGTATTAGAAGAATCATGTTTTATTTCTTGTTCTAATTGTATGACTTCCTCTTGACAATTCAACACCATCAGATTTGCCAAGAGAACCTAGAATATAGTACTTAATTATTTTAAATTATTAATTATCCAATATTATTCAATAATTGATATCCCTTTCATTCCCGTAGCTGTTGTAAGAAGTGATTAAAGGAACTTAGTAGTCGAAGAAGGGGCAGCAACGTCCTTTTTGAATTGTCACCAAAACCTAATTGCGGTTGCTAACCCGTCCATCAAACATGGCAACTATTGGCAAAACTCCCCATATAGGAAGTATCTATTTTCAACCGAGGACAGTCAACTACTGATATGATGATGATGATGATGATTAGGTATTGATACGATATGTTATTATGTAATTAATATTGGTAAACAAAAATTATCTTCAAAAAACTATTATTACTAAATTATTATCAAAAAACACATTATGCATTATTGACTAGTTTTAGGATATCTTTCTAATTATATTATTGAAAATAATTATGTAGAAATCTATAACACAGGGCATTCCTTCTTGTACTTAGTTTTAATGGAACAGTATTGACATCAATTTATGTTATTAATTCTTATGGGCAGAGAATTGACATAATTTACCTTGGGCACATTAAAAATATTTAATATACAATGGCGGAGGTACCCATTAGAGGGATTTCTTACAATCAACCTATGGAGGAACATGAGGGATGTTATTACTTGCACCGTATTTACTGATGACAATTATTAGTCTTTAAGGTTATAGATATTTTATTTTGAAATCAAATAAATGAATACATCGATACCATAACAATTATATTATTCCTTTAATTACGTCATTAATTGGATGAAAATATTTTATTGAATTTGGAATTTAAAATTTACCTTAAATGCTCAATACAAAATTTTGAATTTTTGTTTTTTTTTTTAAGCAAATTATTTGCATATAAATTCAATGTATATATAACAACTAAACATTGTCACTAAACTAGCTATTTTTTATGATTATTCTAAACATTTCTTTCTATTTAAATTTAAGCCACCATCCCCTATAGTGCTCTTCACAATAAGGAATGCTTATAGTATTGACTCAATTTTAATATTCAGTAAAAATAAATATCACTTCTTAAATGTAATATGGGTATAGTAAATTTACTTACAAATAAAGCAAATGCTTTCACCATCGTGTTCTCAAAACTGGGTACTTCTCCAAATCCACCATATGAATTATCACCAACACCAAACTTTGAACTCAATGAATATATTTAAATTTCATGTAATAATAGAGACGTATCCATTTCCAAGGTCTAGGTGAAGAAGACGTGCCATGTTGCCACCACTTAGCTATTTATAAACACACACAATAGCACCTATGTATTGTCCGTACATTCTCTCTTTCACACATCGTTAGTGACAATCGCTCAACAAAGATCCACTGACCGTTTCGTTGTAAATTAAGGAGATTATCTTTTCTATTGTACGGTAGGAGAAAATACGGAAGATCTTTGAAAGAATGAAGCAACCGGTCAATTAATATGTATCTATATATGAGGAAGATAGGAAACTATGCCTTTTCCTTCTAATGACAATGTAAGTGCTCATAAATTATGACCGTAAACCATAGTGCGTTTTATATCTTTATTATACGCCTGCTTTTTTACAACCACATCGTGATACAATGGTAAGCAAGTTGCTTCGCGTAAATGAATTTCTAGGTTAGATTCTTGGTAGAGTTCACTTGACAAACAAAAACTGCTTTATGTTGATGCTAGATGGGAAAATTTTTGCTTTTTATTTTTGGGTCCAGACCATATCTTTAGTGTTAATCGTAATTTGGATAATTATTTTACAATCGAAAGAATTTACTCTCATGTTATTTCCATACTACTTGTTAAAAAATGATAAAATAGCTCTATAAAGAAGAAGACATATTGCGCCGATTCCAAATTATCCATTTATTTGGAAAGGCAAGGCAATGGTGATGAATAGCTCTAAAAAAACATAAATAGCACGAGTATATGTGCGTTAGTAACGTGAAATAGTTATATTATCTACTATCTGAACTTAGAACCAATTCTGGCAACCTTACACATTATGTCACCACAAGAGTTTAGCACAATTTATCTTTAAAATAGAGATTAGCCACATTTCTCAGTCAAAATTTGGAACTATTGATAAGTAGTTTCAAATTTTAAATTTTAAATTACAAAAAGATATTTTTGAATGAAAAATCTCACTATACTTTATATTTTTTTATACCAATTTTCAAGTAAGAAATATCGCCACGTTTCATTTATCCTAACAGATTGGAAAAAGGATTCTGTAATTATGTTGATAATGGTACTATGAATGTTTTTTATGCAACTTAGAATGGCAAATATATGGCCATAGACATGATCAGTACCATGGACATGACACAGTATATTGTTTCGCCCATGCGTTTCCATTCCTGAGGACTCAGGTATTATTTCTCTGTACCTTGTAAATTCACTGCCATATCCCACCTTTCAAACCGAAACACATCCATGCAAATATAACTGCTTTCCAATAGAAACAAGAATGGGGCAGAAGTGCCCAAGCAAACGACATTTGTTCAAAGTTTCCCTCTGGTAAATAAAAAAATTATAAAATATCGGGATTATGCTTACTGACTACAATAAAAAGTAGTCTTTAACCTTCTACATCCCAAATAGTGTATGTATATCAAATTTAATAACGATAAATTAATTATAATTATTTACAGCACCAAGAGATAACAAACAGACAAACTCATTTTTACATTTATAGTATTATTAACGATATAGTGCTTAGATAGACACTTGTCTATTTTAATTGATAGGTTGGAAAATGTAAGTAGCTTCGTACCTATTTTACTTTCTTTTGTATAATTATAGTCATTAATCAATAATAATAATTCCATGATAATTAGCTCATTAATTCCTTTATTTTAACGATACTTGTATTGCAACATTATATTACTTTTTTTCTGCTTCCTGTATATTTATTGTTATAAATAGTATAATAGTAAATAGAAAGTTTACATACCTCATAATTATTATTTTTATAATATATTTTTTTTAATATACTAATTTTAGCACGTAGTTTTGTCCTTTTTGGCCTAATTTGTAAAAAATAATAAAAACACTAACAGTTAAATTACGTATTCTTAGCTTTATAGTTTTATGAATACCGAAAGATAGGCCACCATCGCCAAATCTATGGTGAAAACTTGGTAAAATTATATTTGGGAATTTTTTTTTAAAGATTTTTATATAAAGATTAGTATGTTAATTGGTTTGAATATTAACAATACATAAAACTGACTGGTTTATCTATGCAAATACAAGAATGTACTTTCTTATACAAAGTATGTGAAGTCTGTGACAGTAGTAAATTACTAGTAGTAATAACTTTGTTGCTAATTGCTTGTATATCATATAATTTATAGGTATTCTATCAAGTCCTAATTTTTCTTTCTCAATTTATAAAAATATATATTAATTTACGATACATTTCTTATTTATCGCAAATGATGTCTATGTTTATGAGTATTACTAAATTAGTCTATATATTTAATAAAATGCGCAATGAAGTCAAAACTATACAAAATTTGCAAATTCAGTGCAATGGAGAAATGTATTTTCTATAACATTTTTAATGTATATAGTAATGTATGCATAGCGCTGCCATGTTTTATATTATTATTTAATATTTTGAATATTTTTTTTTTTTCTGTTAGAGAAATTTAATATTTGTAGATTTTTTCTCCATTTGATATTTGAGAAACAATAAAAAATTGTATTTAGCAGCGCCATATTTCATATTATTATTTAATATTTTGAATATTTTTTTTTCTGTTAGAGAAATTTAATATTTGTAGATTTATTCTCCATTTGATATTTGAGAAACAATAAAAAATTGTATTTAGAATACTTTTTTTTTTATACCACTGAGGTAGTAAACAAACTTTTTATAACTATGATTTAAATGGTTAATTTTTATACGATGCCTTGACTTTTACATTATATTCTATTAGATATTTGCGCATAATGCCTCTTTGTAGAATATAGTTTAAAATTTTATACATTTTTATATAATTGACAGTAATAAGAATGCTTTTACTGTATTTTTATTACTGTCAAATATATAAAATACTCTACCACAAGTAATCTATTCCGAAATCTTTGCAAGCAACCGAATTTTTATTTTCAACCTGCTTTAAAAAGAAGGACGTTCTCAATTCAGTTATATTTTTCTATGTCTGTCACCACATAAGTAGGTCAGTTATAAACCAATTTAAAAAAAAAATATCCGAAAGATATACTTACAGATAAACCCCAAAGAAAATCTAACAAAATCGGTTTGGTGGTTTAATTAAATTTTATTAATTTTTAAATCAAAACAACTGGTTTTGCCATAACTGAAGTCAGAGAAGTTTCATCACATAATAGAAAATGTTAGATAAAGAAATTCTTAACAAAATAGAACATTTTACCAGATGGAGACTTTGTACAAAAGTCGATTGCTTGGGTACCTCTGTCCCATTCGTGTTTCAACCGTGAAGTAGCTGTGTTTGCATGGCTGTGTTTCGGTTTGAAGGGTGGGATATGGCGTGAATTTACCTGGTACAGAGGAATAACACCTGAGTCCTCAGGAATGGCAACGCATGAGGAGTATCATGGGCGAAACAGTATACTCTGTTATGTGCATGCTAATCATGTCTAAAGGCGACAGTTACCACTTTCCATCAGGTGGACCGTCAGCTTGTTTGCCATTCTAAGTTGTATAATTGCGTTTTACTTTCGCATGTGTAATGGAATGTATACCTGCCTTAACATCCACATTCCCTTAAAAGTAAAGACAGTATTAACATTTTTCATGTCATCAAAGCCTCTAAATCATACTAGTCATTCAATTGAAGCGAAACATACACCGATACTTACCAGGTACTATTCAATAATATATCTCAGTACTTTTTTATATAGGTACGATCAGCGGTGTTCCACGCTTGAGCTGTTTGTGTAAGAATGATGATAAATTTTAATAGGAAAAAAATACAAACTTTCTTTTTTAGCTATAATGATGTAATAAATTACAAATATTTGTGCAGCAAATAGCTTATTGGTATGTATTGTCCCAAATTAAAATAAAATCAATGCTGTTAAAATGGGCCTATTTATTTCGCAATTGCTACTGCTCGTTCTTAATTTTTTTTTAAATATATTTGTAAAATTATATTTAAGATTATTGTAAATAAAATTTTACCCTACAAGCAAAATTATAATTGTTTTATTTTACGAAACATGAATCTGTATTATGTAATACTAGCAATTTGCAAGTTAGATTTTTAATTTTTTGGTAATAAAATATAACCTATGTTACTAGTTTATAAGTATACCCCGTATATAATGCTTTTATATATGTAAGACTTTTGAAATCAGTTAAGTATTTTCTGACTTTATCCATTGTATTCATTGTAAAAACTAAAATATTTCCTCTTTATAATTTAGTTTGCAGGCATTATTAATAAAATCTACAAAATAATATTTCGCAATTAAGTGTAACTATTAATTTATTTCATGAATCAAATTAAAATCAAATCCATTCAGGGTTTGCTGGAAGAGAACTCTTACAGAGTTAATCTCGCCTGTTGTAAATCTTTATTTTATATATATTATATGTTGTAATTTATTGTGTACAGTAAAGAATAAATAATTAAAAAAATAAATAAATAAAATGAAACAAATTTAATATAGGTATTTAAGATGTGTACGAAATAAAACAATTTCTATAAAATGTATCATTCATTTACTCGTATTTATGATTTGTATAAAAACAAAAACGAAATATTGTATCGTCAAAATCCTTACCCTATTAATATTATCGCCATACTTTCACAAATAATTATAATAAATATTTATTTATAATTATATTAAATGTTTTATTAATATCACAGTTCAACACTGATTCTGTGGTAAATAGGTACCTCAGGTACCCGTGAGACCTACATTGTTCATAAACTACTTTAGGTACAGAGCCACCTAGTGGACTTATAGGGCATACTTTTTGATCACATCGTTAATTTATAAGCGACATCTAGTGATAACCCTGATAACTATTATAATTGTTGTAGATTTGCGGATGGTGAGCGTGACCGATGCGTTTTACGACTGCGTTAAATCCGTTGTGCTTGTCGGCGGTGTACTCGACGATGCGGGTAGTACCATCTGGTTCCGCAACTGAGTACGAGCCTGAAATAAAGATATGTTAATTCCGTGTCTAAGCAGATTTCTTTTTATTTTTACATTTCGGTATGTTTAACTATAAACGTGACTTGTTAAAAAAGAGTTTATAATTTGGTATTTAAGTGCATCTTGAAATTTTTGTATATTTTAAAGCTGTAAAGAGACAATACTACCTACCAAATTTCAACAAATATTACCATAAGTATACCATAGACATAAAAATTTACTTTGATGCCTATGGTACCCTTTATATATTGCCATTATTGTTATATCTCCGTTCTCCATTATTTCATTGATATATCTCATCCTTCAACTGTTCAAGTACAACTGATTGTCAACTTTATATATCTTCATACCAATTCTTTCATAAAATGAACAAACAAAACTGTATACTTTTCAATTGGTTCTATTTCATATTTTATATTATTAATTTCTTTGAGCTTACCCTTAACAACATCACCGTCTCTGGTCTCCCATTGACTTTTAAAGTCACCAGTGTGAGGATCCTTTACTGAGTAATCGAATGCGTATTTTGGGTGTGACTGAAACGATACATTTTTATTATTCCATTATGCTATTATAAATATTTTATTTCATCACTTATTTTAATAAATATGTTTTATTACATAATGTCCTTCATTTAACATATTAATTTTATTTGTAACCATGTTCATTCTTTTTGTAATAAAAATTTTATATAGAAATGTATTGAAAAATATATTGTTATCTTATTTTAGTATATTGATTTACTATTGCTACTATAGATTTATAATAATAAATCACTATTATAATCTAGTAATAAGTTATTACTAAATATTACATACTACCATTACATAAAATATAATACATAAAATATATAATATAATATATAAAACTGAAACACTGCTTATAAAAGACATCAACGCAACTAAGTATTTTATACTCGTAAAAGTTTTTGCTACAACTATTCTTACAGGCGACTTGTTTATTGGATACTGAATTGATTTATATATATATATTGAATTATCTATTGAACAGATTGCTTCTCAATAATATTATGTACTGATAATAATACAGTGTTTACAAAATATTTGTTCTTTTTTAATTTTTTAATTCATGTTACGTTATTTGTAGATATTTTTATTTATAACTGGCTGATCATCACCCTATTCAAGTTTTATTTTGTTTCTTAAAAATCTTAATTAAATCTTTACAAAAAAATATTTAATATAAAACATAATGAAATTGTTCCAATCAATATTAACGAGGAGTATTTCATATTTATTTGGATAGAAAATGATAATCAATTTAAATATTTTTGCATTTTGCAACTTTTATTATAGCCACTTATGTAAATTATGTAATTTAGAAATATTTATTCAATAAACAAATAACAACCATAATAATGCCATAGGATTACACGTAACAGAATAATAAACTCTAATTTCCGTTGTATTGTCTGTTAGTGGAACGGTTACTGTGTTCTTTCAGTCGTATTATTTCCCATAATACTATGATTGACAATATCCGAAATCTGGAGGACGATTTTACTATGCCACAATGTACGTACGAGGCTTGCGCAAACTCGGGACGTCACGGTGAACAAACATAGATTGCTGTATACTATAGTTATACTTTCCGATAATGTAATAGCTCTCCATATCGTAACGGAAGCTATAAGTGGTCATAGACTATTATCTCTGTCGAATATGAACAGTTTAAATTAATAAAATTTATTATAAAAATTTACTATAATAGTTATGGTATAAGCAAGATATGTAGTGTACGAGTGTATCTACTTTAGGCGACTTCAAAAAGATGGAGAACTTTATTGTTAACTAGCGATTATAGCCCGGTTTCTCACGGGTAGATTGAATTATCAAACATCATTTAAATTCTATATTACTTGCTGACAATATAGCTAAGTAGTTTTTAAATTTATCCATTACAAAGAAATATTTAAATCTTTCCTTTTTGTAAATTTAATACAGATTATTTTCTTATTTTTAAAATTTATGTTTAGTTTTAATACGATGTCTATAAACATTTATTAGAGAAAATTAACGAACTTAGTGGGGTTACTGTTTCGTCGCCTATAGACATGAGCAGTACCATGGACAAACCAGAGTATACTGTTTCGCCCATGATACCCCCTATGCGTTGCCATTGCTGAGAACTCAGGGTTCCTCTGTAATCTGTAAATTCAGGCCACCCTTCAAACCGAAACACAGCCATACAAACATAACTGCTTTACGGTTGAAACACAAATGGGATAGTGGTACCCAAGCAAACGACTTTTGTACAAAGTCTCCCTCTGGTATGATAGTATATATATACACTATCATATCTATCACTATCGTATCTTAGTACGGATTACTCATATATGATTACCAAAATGAAGGAGGCTCTCAATTCAAATCTATTTTTATCTGTAACACAGTATCATTAAAAATTAAAGATTACTTATGATATATATATTTTTTTTTCAATCAACAGAATTTAGTTTAATACTAATTTAATTAGAATTAAAAATTAAGTTGTCACAGTATTGTATACCGCTCTATCCACTGTTATTGATGCTTTTTTTTCACTTTAGGTTTGCTGAACGAGAACTCTTATAGAGTTAAGTATTTGCTTATCTCTATGATATTTTTTATATATTATTAATGTGTACAATAAAGTATAAAAAAATGTACAATAAATTGCTCTCAATATGCTTATGCCCATATCTATTTTTTTTATTTAATAATAATAATATAATTTAATAACTAATTTTACGCAATCAACCGACCTTTAGCCATTTCTGAATATTTTTTCTTATTTTATTGCACCATTTTACATTTAATAAGCTCATCTAGTACTTTATCACTATTCAAACTGATATAATTAAAACCTTTTACATATATTAAAATAATAAATACTAACATAATAGTCTGCGTGTCCGTCATATCCTCCATTGTCACCATCGTAGCCTGCATACCCACCGTAGCCCGAGTAACCGATATATCCGGCACTAACTCCGGCGCAAACGGCAGCTAACACAATAACCTGAGAACATAAATTTATTTTATACAGACCTTAAAATAGCAATTCAGCTATAACCTAAATGTTAGCAAGTAGTAATTCTAATCTGTAGACACGAACAGACTACCATTTATATGATACGATTCCCGAGGATAAGCACCATGATTTTTTTAAATGTATGTGTGAATTGTATATCTATTTTAATCTAAGTTAATATTCACGTTTTTAAGAAGTTTACTTTTTGACATGTAGTTATTTAAATAAACACAAAGCGCGTAAGTTTTCGTTGTTGCTATCGGGGTCTGGATTTTGTCAATGATATACACTCACTTGACAAAAGAAGTATGAACTATTTTAGCGAAACTTCTCTGCAGTACTATTTGCGGAGTATCTATCTAATTATTCTTAGTTCATTTTAATGCTTATTTCCTTTGCCTTATTTGAGACATGTTTTGTGACATTTCGAATGACATAAACCGGAACAAAACCGACAACATTCTGCGTATTCCGACAAGTACATTCCTCATTAGATTCTATAGTATTTACAGGCAAAAACTATCCATTTACTCCCATCGAAGTATGTAGGTACTGTATAGACAATCAAACATAAACAATGATATAATACTACTTACTATGATTCATACTTATCACACGTTGTATTTCAATGATACTCATACAATAGGTCTTCATCACCAGGTATGTGCTCCCCTGCTTTAATATTTCTGACAAATTGTCATTGTGTTTTTACTATGTATTTAATTTTTATACTTTACTACAATAATTAATTAAATCTGAAACTATAACTTAAAATATTGATTAAAAATGTCTAAAGTTTCAAGTATGAACAAAACTAAATTATTAAGAATGTAAAAGCAAATAAATAATGTAATTACTGAAATCTAATATAATCAATTTCAATGATGAAATTCAATTTGAATGCGTACTAATATTATAAATATAAAAGTGAGATTGTTTGTTTATAACCCTGTATGTAGTGTCTTAATGGCTTAATTAAACACTATGAAATTTGATACACACTATATGAGATGGAGAAGAATATAGGCTACTTTTTATCCTGGTTAGTGTATATATTTCGGTTATTTGGCCGAATTTGAGGATAGAAGCTTGTAAATTACAGAGAAAATATATTATGACAACTCTAAATAAGCAGAGAAGTAGGGTAGAAAGGTCATGATTCCAATTATATTAATGTAGAAAATTAAGTTTCATTTTGTATAAGTACAACTATAATACTTATTACAATAATACTATACATGAAAGTATTCTTGTAATAAGTTATATAATATCGTTGTAATTAAAAAAAATATTTTTATATTATAATTTAGTGTATGTATGGTAGGAAAAACTAGGAAAAAGAAAAAAAGGGAAACTAGGTGTCATGTCCTATAACGAGATTAAAGATGACTTGAAATAGAGCTGGTTATAAGAAAATGCATGAATTAGTTGACCAGACAAGAGAAAACTCTTAAATAAGAAGAAATAGTATGGTATGGTACAGACAACAGTGGTCACTTAAGTCGAACAAACTATTAGGTTATAAACCATTCTCGGGAGTATAAAACAATATTACATATACTTATATTTCTCAAAAATCGGCAAAAATAATTTTAAAACACGTTATTATCACGTATTTGATAAAACAGGTCTCTATTATAATTTTTATATAGATAAACTTGTAGAGGGTCACAGTGAAAAAGAATATTCTTTAGAACAACAATATATATAATACGTGTAGATACAAGACGAGACAACCATTTGAACAGAAACAAAAACCGTGTAGAAAAATAATATCAACATATATATGTGGCCAGACTTAAATTTACATCATGGCCACAAAGAAGTTTCAATAAAACTGTCTACTACAGTATGATGTATTTTCATTCATTTAATATTCTCTGATATATCTCTGGTATACCTTTATAATATAAGAATGTAATGAACCTAATAATTTGTGCTTCGAGATAAATGACTTGCATTTTGACTATATGAAGCAATGCATTGGAGTTATTTAGATGGCCATTAAACAGAATACCAGTGTGATCGATACAGTTATTGCGAGTGCTTTATTAAATCGGACCATTTCACTTTTAATGGTTTTATTATAGAAATTAGACACAGCAAGATTTATATAATATACAAGTACTTACGATATCATATAAACCTTACAAAATACTGTATTAATATAATATTATAGATGTATTTAGCTACTTTTTTTTTGTGCCATTGGATTTAAGAACAGAAACAGGTGGTTATTTTTTATAAATCTACCGCCCAGTCTGGAATGCAATTTCAGTTAAGAAGAACGAACAAAAAACGTAGCTGTTATTTTTATTATGAGACAAACTAGTACAGTAAGCATAATTTCTCGTTGTAACTTGTAACTGATTTATAATTAATATTACATCTGTAAGCTTGTAGATTATTATATATAAAAAAAAAGTTTTATTATAACATAAAACTATTTCTCAAATTTTGGTTTGTGCAAATTTATATGTTCGTTACCTTTGGAAATAATGTAGAAAGCTCTGTGTAAAATTTCATATTTCTAGATTTACTTTGATTAGCTTTTTTACTCAGACAATTTTTTTTATCTAACTTGAAATGGCAAATAGGATAACAGCCGATATATATATATATATATATATATATATATATATATATATATATATATATATATATATATATATCACTTTTTATAAATATATAATGTCTTTGTATTTAGAAGTTAATCATATCATCGACAGTAGCAATATCATTATATAAACCGAAAAACCTAATTTTTTTACTAAAATAATTAATATAACATTATTTTCTATTCATTTACACTATGTGTATGTATAGACAATCAATATAAATATATCATTTTCTTCCTCTACTGATAAAAACCGAAAATTATCAATTCAGGCAGCCTATACCTAAATTGTTTCATTTGGTGTATAGATACCGCCACTGCATATATAATATATGAACCACAGTCCTTGAGATAAAGTTCTGCCCATCAAAGTTAAGCACTTGGAAGTGCACTGGAATACAGTGACAAAGAACTAAAATCACCGCATTTCAAAAGAAAAAAAATCTATTTTATAGTACCTCAAAGACTGTGTTTAATACATGCTTTAATAAAAAAAACTATAGGATCATCACTGAACATTGAACTTGGTTACGTTTCTGGTGCATACGAGTAGAACCTATAAATCCGACACGCACTGTTCCACCACACTTACTTGGTACGCACGCATCTTCGTTTATCACTAGGTCACTTTCGTCCTCTTCAGCGGTGCCGACAGGATCAGAACTGACACTGATGCAGACCTGCCCCATTGCACAGTATTTATAACGATGGTAGTTGCACCACTCTTGGCGCATGCGCTGCTGACTCGATTCACGTATAAGCAACCGATGGTAAACGTAAATATGTTACCTATTTGTCAAATAGGTAATATTTTATACTATTATTTTTCTAACTTTGAAAAACAGAAGGATATTAATGCAGCTGCATTTGTTTGCATACATTTTAAAATATTTGATCCAATTTTCAAAAGTTTTTTTTTTAATCTTTTTCAAAATTCTTTTATCTTATTTTAAGGGTAATATAATTATGTAGTAAGTAATATAATTGTGTTAAGATTGAAGTTAAATCAGAAAAAAAAACAAATAATTGTCATTTTATTACATGCAAAAATTTTATAGAATTTATATAATTGTGATTAAAACAAAACCTACTATTTTCACTCTCATGCGGGAAATATCGCAAGTTACAGTTAGTAGTATAAATTCAATGTCTTGCCCTACAAACGTCGTCTAACGATATTCCAGCCTCGATTTAACTTATTATCTTGTAATTATTTTAGTAGTAATATTGGAAAATTAGAGAAGTTGTAATTAATGGATGAAATGAAATTTTAATGAAAATGAAATTATTCATAAACATTCAAAAGTGCTTTCAATTTTATGAAAAACTAACAACGAAAACATTGTAACAATGGAGTCTTTGTAATCGGGAATTAATTAATAACTTTAAAAATGAGAAGTATTACTAGTCAACTGATATTTTTTACGATATTATAGTGTAAACCTTATATATTGTACAGAGTATTGCACAGAAATTCATCAAAATGGGCGTAGAAATGTTCAATTTATTATTAATTCAAATATTTTACTTAATAATAAATCCTACTTAACAAATATATATAAAACATTATTTACTTTACGCTATGAAATGAAAGAAATGTGTTACGCTAAACTAATTTAATTAACGCTTAGGTTTCAGAGAATTATCAGTTAGTTACCAGTTTTTTCGTATCGTGTGAACTAAACATGTTTTCACTTGGTAGACTCATGATATTAATGACACTTTGTATATACATAACCATATAAAAAAAAGTAATTTAAAATTTGTATCAGTTTTCTATTTTTATACTACAATTATGGTACATGATACAGTGAGTTTCAGTGTCCTCTGGCTAAAATTCTAGCAGCCTGTATACAATTTTCTAAAAAATAAATTAAACTTATTAAAAATCTGTAGTTTTCCTTATGATCTGTCCATGGATCGAACTTATGGATACAAAACTATATTTCAAATATAGATGTGCTTCACTATTGTATTTAGTAATTGGTCTAAATATTGTGTCAAAATAAGATTCGTTTTGACACAATTTATGTTCCACAAAAAAACATCAACTTCGATTGTGGCAAAAACAGTTATTTTGATTTAAAAACATAACTACTGAACCGATTTTAATAAAATTTCTATGGGACTAAAGAGTATATATTCTTTCAGACAAAAAGATCCGATTCGATTTATAATTAATGAACTTATGAGGTAACAAATATAAAGAATACAACCGAATTGAGAACTTCCATTTTTGAAATCAGTTGCAGATAATATACGACTTGCGATATCGTCAGTTTTTTTTTAATTTAACTGAAAGTTGATGACTTACAAAAGTCATTGATCATTGCACCAGTTTAGGTCGTTAAGTTTAGCCACTTATTTCATTCAATACTATTTTGAATAACCTTCAACTACACAAGGTTAATTACATTCGTAAGTTTATGGTTATATAAAAAAAAACTAATCTTTCATATGGCACTAAGACATGATATGTATTAATTATTATTTTTATAGGCGTAAAATAAAAAGGACGAGAATTGTATTGTTTTTTTTCTTTAATATACTTAATATTATTAACTAGCTATTTAGTACTTATATCATATTTTTGTTAAAATTTAATCGTATATTTTTGTATATCTGTTACTATTTTTGTATATTTTTGCATATCTTTGTACAGAAAAAAATATATAATCGAACTGGCTACTTTTAACTGCTTTATTTCTCATAGACATTTTATTTTCGTTTATATAAATATATTTGTATATGTATTAATGCGAAACAAAACAGATATTTGATAATCTATTGTGCTATTATAACCTTACTATCATTATGAAGATGTTTGTTCACTTATTCAATTCGATCGATTTATATTTAGGATTTTGTTATACAACAAAAAACTTTCATATTGATATAATTATTATGAAACCATGTTCTGCAGAAAACTCATCATCAAAGGCATTTTTGAATTAGGAAAAGAATATTAAAAATCAACAAAATATTGATGCTTGCTTCGTCAGTAAATGAATGCAGGCTATAAAGGTGCCCTATATTCAACAATGCACTTATTGTGCACCGTTGAACTAATAAGAATGATTATAGTGTTTCGTCTTATTACTTTTTATAATATGTCTACATATGATGTCATACTGAAACGTAACTAAATTGCTTTTGACGTAAGAACACCATACTAATTTGAGTAGGCCTACGAGTGGAAAATAAGCCACATAGCGATCGTTATAATATTGTGCAGTTGCAAATTATATATAACTAGCTATGCCTGCAACTTCGCCCGTATAACCGGGACACATTGATTGACCGGAATAAAAAGTAGTCAATGTCTTTTCTTTTCATAAATAATTCCATTTGGAATTATTTACTATGGGTGTAAAAAAATTTATGACAATTGATTGAGATGTTAAATCACTAAAATTTAAGAGACGAAGATACATCAAGATTTAATACTCAGTAGTATATTATACTCAGACATAATTGGATGAACCACTAAACTGCAACAAGCAAGAAATAGATTTGTTTTCAAATTAATACAATAAGCAAAAATTGAGAATATTATCGTATAATAGATTAGAGTTTTAATACTAAGACTCCAAGAGATCGTAAAAATCATGTTGTACTGAAAAATGGGTGATATGTATAATAATTATTAGTATATATTTTATTAACATGAGCGATTTTTTATTGGATACATTTCTTGCGTTAAATATCGCTTTCCTTCTTTTCTCCTGTATATAAATATTACCAGAAAGTGATTGCTTTTGCCATAAAGAACGGCCCTGAGACATCTGCATCCACTGCAATGCATTTGAGGTCGTCACTCAATCTAGTGGAGGGATCGTCCTACACTGTGTTGGCTTGTGGCCACTCAAGAACCTTTCTTCTCCATCGACTGTCGGTTGTTCGAACTATGTGGCCAGCCCATTGCCACTTCAGCTTGCTTATCCGTAGATAAGCAAAGACAAATTTTATAAATAATTAATTAGAAATATTCATAATTATTAAATTGTTTTTAGAAAAAAGACAATTGAATGCTATGTTATCATACTTTGTTAAGCTAAATTTATGAACGCTCTTAATGAAATTTTATACTTTAATTAACACTAATAAACATTAGAATTATAATTTAAGTAACACTGTAACAGAAACGGTGTAATATCAAAAACACTTTCATTGCGCTATAAATAACAAATTCAATTAATACGAGCTCGAATAGGAACATGTGCAGCTAAACTTTTACATTGTTGTATCCCGGATACTGAGTTAGTTGAATGTATAAATCAGACAATAGTGCTGTCATTCATATGTGTTACATTGTCTTCATTAAATTTTTCATTGAACTCCATATAATGATTTATTACAAACACTATAACATAACTAAAACACGCAAAGCATACCGATAATTGATGATGTATAATTAAACACTATTTAGGTATTATATTAACACTACTGTCCGACTGAACTTTCGGTTTCGGTTTCGGCTAGTTTCAGCCAGAAATTCTACTTTCGGCCTTAGTTTCGGCTTCGACCACAAATTAGCCATAACTTTCAGCCGCGCCGAAACTTTGTGTGTGTGTTTGTTTGGTGTGTATGTGTCTAACTGAAATTTGTTTTTTTAAGTTTACTTCCAAGAGTAAGTCATAATTTTAACATGTTTTTACATATAAATATATATGACATATTTGTTACATACTTTAATTAGTGTTTATTATTACCCTTTAACTATCTGTGTGTTTGTGTAAATAATTATGTAAAAAAATACACTAGATTTTTCAGTATAGAAGATAAATTTGAAATATGTTTCAGTAAGTTTCAGTTTCGGCCGAAACTAAGACCAAGGCCGAAAGTTCAGTTTCGGTTTCGGTTTCGGCTGTAAAACCTGTTTCGATCGGACACTAATTAATACCATTCTTTTTTTAATGGATGATAATGGAATAGTAACCTCGCCTGTGCTAACGGTATACACTGGCGGGGCACCAGAGAGGGATGATAGGTGAGTTTGAAAGGGCAGGTCTGTTAGGCCATCGTGATGAATACACCTGGAAATCAGCACGATGGTTTCCAGGAGGGACCACGTGGAGATCGACCTGACAGGGTATGTTGCTGGTAATAGTAGTCCATATTACTAACAATCTCTCCTCCCTATTAATACCATTCTACTTTGAATTTGCTGGAAGAGAACTCTTTTAGAATTGAGCTCGCCTTTGAATATTTACTAACTTCTGTCATATTTTTATGTATTATCAGTGTGTAAAATAAAGTATAAATAAATAAATAATTTTTTTTTATTTAAAATGTAAAAGATATACAAGCAAACTTCTATAGAACTAAGACTTATTTTACTACTGACGATACGCTCCGGCTTCCCATGGATAGTTGAACATATATTTTTTGTATCAGCTTGGTGCATCATGTATGAATTAGATGGGTATGTTAAGCTATCTTTAAAAGAAACACATATGCCATTTTTTGTTGTGCTATAGATCTAAAGAGAAATAAACCCATCATACATTATTTTGTTATATCTTAAATAGATAAAGCAGCTTTTTCGATGAAAAAGCCCAAACGGCTTCATTTTTTTGTCGACATCTTCCACAATAATCTTCATATTTCAACAAATTTACACAAAATATTAACGATATAATATATTATATTATACATTATACTATATTACTATTATTTATATATTATATTATACTCATATTTTCCTCG